CTGGAGCCCAAGCCTCCACCGCCGGCTGCTCTACCTGGCGGGAATTTCGATTCCACGGATTCGACCAAAGCTCCCCCGAAAGGTTGTGGTGTGGACGCGGCCAAACGTTTTGGATTTTGCGTGGGTTCTGGGATCCCCTGAATTTTGTTGACCCTGAAGCTGGGGAACATATTCAGCCACAAAAAAAAAGTTTGGTGCATGCTGGGCCAAGGCCAGCACCGGCTTGCCGAATCTCGAATGAGAAACCTCCGTCTTTTGGTCACCAAGGACCTTCCAAAAGGCAACACAGTCCCAATTTGCCATTTCCACCCAGTCGCAGAAAGCTGCACAAGCGAGCCTTGAGGGAAACAAAGCAGGATGACCCATAAAGCACACACCAAGAACAACTGCGTCGCTACGACAAAAAGCCCGCCTTGTCTCGCACTTCGCCAATGGCCAAACCAGAGAGTTGGAGATGTACCGCCTTCCTGGTGAACTCGAAGGTGACGGTACCTGGCGAATCCATTCCGCTGATAAGCTGATAAGCCGATAAGCCGATAAGCCGACGACCTGCCACGAAAATGCTTCCCTGAAACAAGACCCCGCCTTTGCTTGAAGCCATAGCGAGACCTCAATCGTCAGATGAGCCCGGAGGCCGGAGGGGGGTGGGTGGGTGGGGGGGCAAATTTGAACACACCCATTTTCAGGGACATACTGGGATGCCCTTAGAGAGTAACACATCAGGCGTCCATGTCTATGCCAATTCGGCAAACCCTGCTTGTGGTGTTTTCTTCCACCGGGCAAGGATTCACACTCAGCAGTGACCAACTGTTTTGTTTGCATCTGAACATGGCTCGCTCATGCGCGATTCCATGAGCGGCGTTTGTCCTCCATGCCAATCATTTTTACAAACCGCGGGGTTTCTGAGAAAAGTTAGGTGGCATTCGAACGGTCAGAAAAAAAGGAAAACAACAAACACGGGATTTCTGCGCAAAGTTGGGCGGGACTCGAATAGATTCGCAGGCGGCTCTTGCGCAATTTGAGGTCTGCACCTTCCAAAGTTGGCCGACTGCTCCTTATGGACTTCGTGCGAGAAACCTGGCCGCCGTTGACTCGCACCTCGTTCCAGCCCCCGTACCTGACGGAAGTCGCAGGCGGACATCGACATGGCAACGGCTGAACAACCGAGATTTCCTCCATTTCCCTTTTTGGGACCTCCAAAAGTGGGAGCTTCAATAGAAACCACCGCAAGCATCGCAACTTTTGAAGGGAAATTCACTGACCCCTGAACAAGGCGGCCATTGCGCAGCATTGCAAGTGGTTCCTAAGCCCCATGCGAGGTTCCCCCTTTAAAACCAATGACACAAAACCATTGGAATCGCAGTCTGGGAGCCAAGCATTCTTTCCAGGTTCTGCCAAGCTGATTGATCATCGGACTTGAATATTGATTTGGAAACCGCCAAAAAAGAACTTGCTTTCTTGAAATTAGTATAGCGGCGTTGCGACACATCCACAGCATGTTTGTGCTTTTGGAAGTCTATGTTTCGGGAATGTGAAGGGGGTTGCTGCCAATCGTTTTTTTTTTTTTAAATCTTATTTTTTGGGAACTGCATTCCCAGCATTCCCAGCATTCCCATCATTCCCAGCATTCCTAGCATTCCCAGCATTCCCAGCATTCCCTCTGGCCCTTACCTACATCCTCTGCGTTCTCAACATCTGGGAGGGATGCGCAGTTTCTGACACGTTGCATGTTGGTCCTATGTGGCACTTGAGAGCTTACATAGAGCCTTTGTGGGACCACCAAGCCTGTCGGCGGATCGCGTAGCGATTTCAATACAATGACCCCTGCCCTGCGACCCAAAATGATCCTCGTCTCTCGAGGCGAGGGATGTGAAACACGTGCCCTTCTTGCGTGTCTCTTTGTTTTAGCGTGCACCGAAAGGAAAGAAACCATTGGTGTCCCCTTTATAAAAACCCATCTTCGGTGTCACTTTCAACGAGATTCCTTCTTGGTATACAAAAAGCAGCCCTAAAATCCAACCTACGAGCATGACAGAGGCCATTCTGCCGCTGTGACTCTTAAAGTCAAATCGCATCATGGACCACTTTAAGGTCCGCGCTACAGGGGAACCGGCTTGATTCACCAAATGGACGTGTCAAGACGACAAGGAGCCTTCTTTTGGACGGTGTTGACCGCTGGCTGAAATCCCTCGTCAAAACAACTTGCCAGACTAGCGCTGTGGTCTTCAGCTTTGCCAAGGAGTGCATTCATGTGCTTCGATAGGCCATACATGTTTTGCGCTGGGGTCCAAATACCTCAAGAGCACATTTGGGTACAGCAGAAACTGGGACACGATCCATTCAAGGCGAATCAAAAGAGACTTCACATGAAATCTCCAAAGACACCCATATGGACTGCTCCGCTTGGCTTTCTTATACTCGACGTCGGGGCTCAACTATGAGCTGCGGCAATGCGAAGGCCTTCGCACAACGCGATTTTTTTTGTCGGATATAATATAATCGGGTTTGCCTCAACTTGACCAAATCACCACCCCCAGCCCCCAAATCACAACCCCCAACCCCCAACCCCCAGCATAGTACCGTTTCCATATCCTCCACATAGACCGCTTGAAGGTCGGACGCGTCGCCCATCCGAACGATCCCACAATCCGAACACGGCGCAACTTTCTCCGTGCGATCCCGCCTCTGCGCGTACTGGTAGAGCTTGAAGGCATAGAGCTGCTTGGGCTTCAAGCCAGACACCACCGCACTGGCGCCAAAAAAAACACAAATGGAAACCCTCCAGTTGCGGGACCTCCTTCTGACCCTCAAAAAATGGTAGGTCATTACCCAAAATTAAGGGGTCATGGACCCATTTTTTAAGGGTCATGGAGACTCTAGGTAGTTGGTTTCGGGGAAACATACAGTGGATGGTTGTGAAATCCATTTCGCACCACTTGGAAACTATGGTTGAAACCGTTGCTGGTTGGCATTTACAGTGAAATCCTCATTCCAGGGATCTCTGCGGTGGCGCGAGATTTCGTCCATCCACAATTTGGGTGTCTCGTCTTTTTAAGGGGGACCCGCAAAATGGTTCCTGTTGGTGTGCTTTTAAAACCAACCAACTGGTGTACCGCCAAAAACGACAACCACAAATATGTTCCGCATTGGGAGGAATCGCTTTAAAACAGAAAGGGGCCAAGAGCAACTCTTCTGAAACGCCAGTGCAAGAAACCAATCAACTTCCGGAAGGCGGACATTCGCCTTTCGCCCCACCAAGAAATGCCTGTGGACACCCGCGGCCCGGCAACACGTCCAACCTGGGGAAGCGACGTGCAGAAACAAAATGAAGCTAAACGGTCAAGGACAAACCCAAACACAAACTGCTTGAGCTAGATGAGTCGATTTGGACAACTTCAAACATACCCTGAGTGAAGAGTAGTTAGTTCCCTCCAGATTCAGGTGTGGTTCCCCTCGTGCCGAACAACAACTATAGTGTGATTCCTCTGACCGTGGACAGTTCCGGACAAAAGATCTCTGGCGTCTGGCGGATCGCGCCGGGGCGATCCGGCTGGCCGCGCCTGGCGGAGCCTTTCTTATTCCGGAGAAAGCCATAGGCGTAGCGCCGGGTGTGGGTCCAGCCCTTCAACGCCACGGGATATCCGTTGCCCAGGAGATACCTGGAGGCACGTCAACAAGGGCAAGGCTGGGTGTAGCTCCAAGGTGCACCAAACAGTTGGTGTGAGAGGTTGGACAAAATTAAAGGCCTGCCTTCATCATGACTCGAACGTTGACTTCGCAAAGCCCAAGGGTAAGCAACAACATGTTCAGATTATTCATTTATGACCCCAGGGCTACTCATCAAAGGGCTACTCATCAGCATAATCATTTACACAAATATCCCTGTCATTCAAAAACATGTTGTTTCGTCCCAAACTACTCTATTTCACAGTACCCTTATTCAACACGTTTGTCAACAATTACTTCACAGCACTCTGGGGTACGTTGTCTTCGGCCCTATGGCTGCCAACTCCGGAGCAACATCATCTTTAATGACTCCGAGTCTCCCTGTTTCGTGCATTTCCCTTGCCCGCCACCCCAACTACCTCAAACTCATGTGACGACTGCAGCTAGGTTTAAGTCTGGAGCCTACACCAGAAGTTGATACTTTGACAACTGTCAGTCATTTACTGCATTGTCCTACTCTCTTCCTTATAGCTGTATATATTCATTTATACGTATTAGTTTCATGTGCTTGCTGACTCGCTGGCTGGCTGGCTGGCTGGCTGGCTGGCTGGCTGGCTGGCTGGCTGGCTGGCTGGCTGGTTGGTTGGTTGGTTGGTTGGTTGGTTGGCTGTTAGTTTGTTGGAGCTTATTTTGGAATCAGTGTTTGTTTAGTATGATTGAAAGTGTTTGAATGTTTGAAAATATCTTTACGCATATTGTTCAATTCGTGTTGGCATGCGCGATTTGATTGGAACGCTCCGGGGTGTTGAAGCGCCTAGGCTGCTCACCAGAGCAGCGTCAAAACAAAAAAACAACCAACCAACCAAACAAAGAAACGGACAGACAGGCAAACAACCAAAAAACAACCATAAACACACAACCATGTTCAAACATTGTTCAAAACATATGCAAACACAAAGCGGAGCAGCCTAAAATCTTGGACCTCTACTAGCCACAAGCAAAGTGAGATGGCGTGTTGTTGCCCTGCCTGTGGTTGGTTGAAGTCGGTCGTGTTTGGTGTAAATCGAGTTGCTGCTTTCAATTTCTTCAGACGCTTGCTAGCTTGCACTTTGTGATACATGTCAGGAGACATGGGGGGCCTTGATTCTAAAGGCAACCTTAATAAATTCTTGAGTGCAGCTCACATGATTTGAGCGGTTGTTGTGCTTGCAGTCTTTCGTCGCTTCCACTTTAAGCTCTTCCGTCCGTCTTCCTGCTATCGCCCCCTTTACGGGATGGCTACCCGCCCTATTAACTATCTACTTCGCAAAGTTCCTCGTCCGCTTTGCTTGCGCTCTTCCTGTTGGCCCCTTTGCGGGATGGATTATTCTCCCTGTCTCTGTTCAAGTTTCTTGTCTTCTTCGTCTGTTACCTGGTGGTCTTCTTTTTCGTGTCGGTCTTCTATCTACGAGTATGTGTAAACTCTCTCCGTCTTCGTCTTCTTCGTCTCCCGGCTTGTCGGCATTCGGGTCCTATTCGCTTTGTTTCTCTTGGCCCCGATGATGCAGGACGGCTTCTGGCCCTTCAAGCTCCCTGGTTGTCTTCTTTGTGTTTCCTTGGCACACGACTTCACCTTCCGCTTTTTTCCCTGTTCTTCCGGTACGCTGCTTGGCGAGGGCTTCCTCGCCTTCCACCTGTCGTCTTCGCAGCCCGCATCATTTATCAGGTTGAAGTACTCTGTCTTGCTTGGGGTTGTTACCCTCGGAGACCCTAAACTTTGGCTCCCCTGTGCTTCTCGTACACCAAACTTGGGGTCAGTTTGCTTCTGTTGGTTTGTTTTGTTCCGCTTGTGTTTTGTTGGGGCCTCGCTCGTAGCCTTTGTGCGTGTGTGTGTGTGTGTGTGTGTGTGTGTGTGTGTGTGTGTGTGTGTCGAGTCCCCGATCCAGCCGGGGACCAACCTTTTCTGTTAGCAGGGGGCAGGTCAAGCAAACGCTCCCCTGTGTACCTGCCAGTGATCGATGAGTGTTCATTTGGTCCCCACCGTGAGCCGCTGATGCTTGCTTTACCCCGGTTGAAGTACCTAGAGGGAACCCGTTTCGGCTCGACCTGCATTTCCTTTTCGATACTCGAGGCACTTGACTCGCCACGACACCCACTCGATTTGAGTCCTGCACTCTAGTCTTGTGTGTATCCCAAAGCCAACCCAAAGCATGTTGAGTTGGCTTCAAGGACGTTGACATATTTCAAATGTCCCTTGCAAAGCCCATGAGAGCTGCCTGTGAAGACCCCTATCCTCATAACGCAATACCGAGGGAAACCCCAGTTGAAGGCTCAAGAAAAGAGCAGTCAGGGTACTTGTAGGTAGTCGAGTCCCTCAGCGTGGTGTCTCCTCGGTCCTCAGCAAGCCGACGGAAAGGCATGAGTTGACATGGCGAAGCAATGCGAGGTGCTGGTCGATATGAGGAGGCACGTTTTCTTGGCGGTATTCTCTCTGGGGTTGAGCAGCTTTGAGGTAGGATGGGAATCCCTCCAAATAAGGCTATACCTTTCAAGTAGACAAGTCTCCGCCCCGTGTTGGACCGGCTTGAAAGGCGGGCCAAAAGCAAACCAAGGCCCAAACGAGCGCCTTTCCGTTCGCAAGCTTCCCACAAATCAGCGGCATCTAACGGAGATGACCCCTGTGACACCCAGGTGGGCCATCGCTGCTTGAATTTTGGCTTTCCAGGGCATGGGAGTCCCAAATCCCGCTGGCCAGGTCAAAATAGGGCAACCTAATGGGCGGTTATCCCTTTGCCAATTGGCCTTCAACTAAGCAACAACTACCCAAAACCAATGCAGTCAGTGTTTTCGGTTCATGATCTTGTGCACAAAAAATTGTCAAAGAACATCTGGATACATGCAATGACAATGATGCGCCGCAAGGTCTGCGAGAAAACATCCTCCCGAAATGAAGCTTCTTTCAAAAGGTGAACAAGGCTGATACGAATAAGGACTGGCAGAATGGGCTCGGACTCGACTCTCTTTTGGTGAACACGGGCTTGACCACTGGCACACTTGGCCCCTGCAAAGTCATTGCCATTGAATCCGTTTCTTCCATCATCCGAAACAGCAAGGTGGAAGGCGTCACAACAGATCCCTTCTTTCCGATCCCGATTTAACACGGAGCCTCCCCATCTCTTCCAAAGTATCATCCTCAAAGTGTCCCTGAAAAAAACGGGGGAGAAAAAAAAAAAAACGCAAGGGCCATTTTGAGCCCCGAAGATGCAACCAGTTTGATGGACTCATCGGCCGTCAGGCCGGAGGGAAAAACAAGCTGGTGTAAAATGACTTGTGCTTGTTCAGAGACACTGAAAATTCAAGCCGCCGGCCATGCAACAGTGAACATCTGGCAGCTTTAGTAGCATTCTATGATGTAGCTCATGGCGACAACGAGTGTGGATAGAGGCTCTGCATCAGCGCTCGTCGGCTTTCCAACTTGCCGGCTCTTCGTTCGGGCACTGCTCTCTACGTTGAATCAAACTAATACACTGCAAATGAGCTTCTGTTTTTCAGGGTATCCTTGTCGGGCTGGTTTAAAGAAAAACACATGGACAACCAAGTGTAGGGAAGTATTGAATGGCTGCCTTTTGACCGAAAGGCAGGCACATATCTCGAAGTAGAAGCAGCCAAGACTCATTGAAGTTGCTGTCTTGCATCCTCGACAAGTATCCATCTCCGTCCTGACATCATGGGAGCTTCAAGCTGCACATGTACCACAGACGCACACAAGAAATCTCAAGCAAAGAAGCCTGGGAAACTGTGTTTTCTTTGTTTGTTTGTTTGTTTGTTTGTTGCTTGCTTGCTTGCTTGCTTGCTTGCTTGCTTGCTTGTGTGTGGTTGATTGTTTCTTTGTTTCTGTGTTTGCGTTGTGTAACACTGCTTTGGTGTTCTTTAGGACTGCCACAAGGGGCCTTCCTGGAAAGAACCCCCCCACGCGTGTGAGGGACCCACAACCTGCAAGCTGCACGTCAGGAGCCTGAGGTGGCTGGGTCCCACGTAAGAAACTCAAGCGTGTTGCTTCCCTGGAGTCCCATGCCTGTTTGGCCGGGCCGGAAATGCGCTGTGAATGACCCCCCAGACATCTGTCAGGAACTCTACCTTCTAGGAGTAGCCTCCCCATTCTTTCCAGGGATCCTTCTTTCTAGAAATCCACCAAAAACCCTGAAAACATGGCTGGTTTTTGAAAATGACGATGGCTGAAAAGAATGTGGAATCAACCCCTAGATACCTGTAAGAAGCACATCCACACTTCCCGCCCCAAATTCGACCGCCGAACCCAGCCCCACCTCGAAGACCTTGGCAAATGCCAGGCCCGACAAGTGCACGTGTCTGCTCGTCCTGCGTTTTCCCGCGCTCGGCTCAATCGCTCAGATGCGAGCCACGTCGTTGGGGGGGCGCGCCGGAGAAACTACCCGACATAGATACATGGTTATGAATTCTAAGAGGGAAGCACCTCAAGAGTGGTTGGTGGGCATGAATCCGCACCATGATGTGCACTAAAGGGTCGCAAATTGAAATTCATGTGTCAAAATGGGGAGCCCCCAAATGGCTTCCCTTTGCTTGGCCTTTGGTTTCCCTTCACCAAGTCCTGTTGGAATAGATGCACAGTTACACAAAACACACACCTATACATAAGTTCTATATGCCAAAACGCAAACCGGACTCGTTCGCCCTGGCTCTCCCATGCCATACGAAGGTTGAATTCTTCTACTTCGGACAGTCCCCTGTAAAACTATCAATTTAAACCTGGAGAAACAAATGATCTATGGGCTCAATCCATGGTTTTGTGATTTCCATGCAAAGGCAAATATTCAGCAACTAAATGGCAGGCTTTGCCTTTCAGCCCAAACCACTCTTCCAGGCCGATGTCTACCATAGATAAGTAGTGTACACACACACGTACTCATGTTTCTCCAGGGGAGGGGATGATAGAGCTGCCTTGAACAAGCCCACATATTTTTCAAGTGGCGGAAATGGACCTCCAAAACTGGCTGCTTCGCCTTCAAACCAAGCAAAGGTCCCAAATGGAAAGATACACCTTTCTTGGCATCCACCCGTCCTCGGGAACTCGAACAAGATCTGGCCGTGCCTGAATCCGTCTCGCTTCATTCCCTTGAGATTTCCTCTTCCGGGAAGTTCCTTTGTCCCAAGGGGGTCAAGAGACAAAGCTTAACGAACAACGAGCCCCGCTTGAAGTCTCTGCACACGTGGGTGGCTTTCCTTTGTCTTCTCTTCAAAGGATCTTTCAATAACAGCAATCTGGGACAAATACCTGTCCTAAAATCGGCACCTTGTGGCCGGAAAAAGCCCAGCTCCACAAGTGGATTCCAGGGGTGGAACTGTGGATGGGCATAATGTTTGTTGGCATTTACAACGGATCCGAATCATTCCAGAGTTCCTGAACGGTGAGAAATGGATTGCACCAGCCACAGCATGGGCTCGTCTTAAGGACCTGCAAAATGAATGCCGGTCTTTCCTGTTGGTGTCCCTTTCAAGCCAACCAAAAAGGGTACCCTCAAGAAAGGACAACCCCACATATGTTCCGTAGTGATAGATTCCCTTCAAAACAAAAGCGCAAAGATCAAGGGGGCTAGATGGGACCCACTCAGATGGGACCCCCCTCTTTCAGAGGATCAACAGTTTCTCCTGTTCCTGATCCAACTTCCATTCGAGTAGCTCATTGGCTCGATGTGCTCCGGTCTTGGTGGCCACCGAGCTTCTGGACGCATACGTCCAGCCCAGCGACCTCGAGGCGAGAGCCAGTCGCGGCCGCCTTTGGCCCTGGGACGAAGTGGTCTTAGGGTCCAACAAGGATAGCCGCCTTTAAGGGATCTCTCGGGAAAACAAAGCATGGAAATCCTATATAGGATATATCTAATAGGGATAGCCACCTTTATGCCTTCATGTACCCAAAGGATATGTCTAATTTTCGACTTTCAGGGATCTGTCTGGAAAACCAAGTACCCTCACTCCCACTAACATGGCACCTGATAGGGGGGTTCCACAAGAGGAAGCTTATCTTCCAGGTACTCTCCCACAGGTGCTATGTTAGTGGAAGGGAGGGTACCCAAAGGATATATATCAAACATTCAACTTTCAGGGATCTGGCTGGAAAACCAAGTACCTGCTTGTAGTTGAAGTGGTGAAGACAGTTAGACTGTATTGCCGCGTCACCCTGCGGCGATCGATTCTCAAGATGTGGTGATTTTCGCACCACCTAAGAAACTGTGGAGTGATGATTCACCTGGAAATACCGACAAACATGGTTTCCCATGGGTTTAAAGTGGTGCAGGATTTTGTCCATCCACAGTATGAGAGCCGCCGTTGAAGTCAAGAAGAAGACCCTTTTGGATTGACCCGCACTTTGGGTGTTCGCCACATGTGCAGACAAACGCATCAGGTATCCGCCCGCTTCGGCCTGCGTGAACATCGAGGGACTCCCAAGATAGTTGGTGCCCAGTTTGGTTTCCCTCAAGCAGACAACACCAAATGGGCAGCACCCTCAGCCCCGTTGACTCAACCGGGTTTACACCGGCTGGGCCTGGCTTTCCTCTGATTCCCTAGGAACTCCCTCCAGTAGGGAGGTTAGAATGAGGGTACCGTTTCTTTTTTCTGTCTATTCTAGTAGGGGAACCCCCCCCCCAAAACAAAACGGTAAAAAGGGCACTGGGGGACCTAGGTCCATTTCAACCAGGCAGTTGAACCACCTGCCAAACCGGCCCATGCATGGCAGCTTCACCACTCCCGAACTCACATACCGGACCCCCTGGAGCCGGCCGAGCCGCAATCCGTTCACCTTGAGCAGGTTCTTGCCGGCAAACGCGGATGCGTACTGGTACACCTTCCAGGCGTACAAAGAGCCTCAGCACGCGGTCAGGCCTCTGCTTGCCGACGAAGCATAGCCAGTGTAAGAGTTTGCTGCTTGTTGTAAGTCTTGGCGCGTTTGCGTTTGTTTAGAGTTGGCAATCTTGATTCCTCTTTTTTTTGGGGTGGGGGGGTGGGGTTCAATGGAAACCAACCGAACATTACAACTGTTGGGTCTCCATGTAGGCCTTACAAGAAGCTTTACGAAGGCACACCTAAGGGCCAATCGGGGTGTTGGGCACGCCTCAACTCTGGATTGGGACCCTTGGGTCATGCCTACTGGGAGGAAGTTCAAAAAATCAGAGCCACATCACATGAAGACGAAAAAGGTCCCCCCCCCAAACCAAAAACACTGAACAAGGCGTGTCGAATTGGGCCTGAAACCAAACAGGGCCAAACCGACCATAGCTTCCCCACTTTAGTGGAAGCGACATTTCGGGGTGCAACAGATTCGATTCGGGGAACAAAGAGTCCCAAGCTCGAAAAAAGAGACCCCCTCGAACCCCCCAAAAAAAAACACAAACCTTCAAGCCCCCGACAAAAAGCAACAAACCCCTTTGCGGCAAACTGAGTCAAGCCAAACCCTTCGACCCTTGAGGCCACCGATCCGATTCCCTCCGCGGGGCCTGGCTCCAGGCCGTAGAGGAGGGCGGTGGCAGTGCCCTTCCGATTTCGTAGGAAGCCCTTCGCCTGAAACAAAACGAAAACTGAGATGCCCAGTGGATTTCCATGGGAAAAAAGGGCATCCTTTTTTGGTTGGTTGAGTTTTAAAGGGAACCCTTCCCCCAAAAAGGAAAAAAGGGCGCCACTGGGCAACAAAGAAAACCACTTGGGTCTGCAACTTTTCGGAGTTGGTCCCACTACTTTTTCCGCGGTTCTACAGGGAAGCCAAAAGGAACACCGTCCTTTTGGGGGGAAGACCCACTTGGAGCTGTGAAAGCTAGACACCGCGTTCTTCCAAGATGTCCATGCCCATGTTTGGTTGGAGAAACTTGTCTATGCTCATTCACTGAGTGGAGACAGCAAGTCAGAATGCAGTTGACCCAAGTCTTGCAGCCCAGCGGCGTATTTCCTCGAATGCGTCCACCCCTTCAGCTCGCATGCGTAGCCATTGCTCAAAGTCTGGACATAACCTGCAGCCGAAGCACCACCGGTCATCCCACGGTTCAGCGCTAGAAGGGTGCAAACATGTGCAAACCCCGTGTCAGATTGGTTTCCAGCTATAAAGCAATCCCCAAGGTCAAATAAATGGTGGAGCTGTTCAGCCATATCCCGTGTTGAAAGGCACACGCTTCTCAATTGGCTGCTTTCAAAACTCAAAACAAGCACTCATGGGTACCACTTGCACTAAGCTCGAGCGAGATCTGCAAGCCCATTTTTGGTAGGTCGAGTTCGAGGAACTAAACACCCAACCACCCACAAATGACCAACAAATCCCACTCCCTTCTCTCTGGCAAAAAAAGAACAACAACCCACCAAAAACCCATAAAACCCGTGAAACACACACACACACACACGCACGCACGCACGCACGCACGCACGCACGCACGCACGCACGCACGCACGCACACACGCACACACGCACGCACGCACGCACACACGCACACACGCACACACGCACACACGCACACACACACACACACACACACACACGCACGCACACACGCACACACGCACACACACACACACACACACACACACACACACACACACACACACACACACACACACACACACACACACACACACACACACACACACACGCGCACACACACACACACAGGCTTTGGTACCATTTCACTGGTGCCACCACCAAAACCGCAGGCGACCCAAAAGCCCACACCGCCCGCCGGTTAGGCCGGGCAGCCGTTGCTGGGCGCCAAGTTCCGGTTGGGCGACTTCCGGAAGAGGAAGCTGCTGGCCGACAGCGAAGCCAGCGCTTCCGCGCCGCCCTGCGCCATGGATGGCACGCGTCAAACGTAGGGGCTCACTCCCCATCGAGTTTGGCGAAAGTCTGGACTTTGTGCTGTACCACCAAATGGTCTGATCCAAGATCGAGTGTGTGGGTTCTTCTGAGGGTGTTCAACTGGGTTCAAAGGGACACCACAAGACAAACCACCACTCACTTCCTGAGTTCCTGAACTTTATACGTTTTTGGATCAGAACATTTGGTGGTACAGCACGACACACACACACACACCTTTATCGCATGCGCAGAATTATCATTGGTCTCAATGGAACATGAATGATCGATGTGTTTGTACAATACATGATCTATACAGGTACTCTGTAAAAGAAGTAACTAAGTAGTAGTACTGCGGTACTTGATTCAAAACGACCTCACTCTTTATCTTCCACAATCGGCCGAAACTGGATCACTGGGTCCTTGAGTCCTGCCAGCCTTAAAGGCGTTGAACAAAGGTTGTGTTCTGCACATAAGACATACCCCAACAATTTAGCATGAATTGGGTCTCAGCCCCCAATACCTGCACACTCCGAATAGAGCCTGCCAGGTGTTCGGGTATGTGCGTCAACTAGGGACTTGGAACCCAAACGTTCTGGTTTCCCTTGCACCTAACCAGGGTACCCACTATGCATCGGGGCTTAGGGTGCAGCTGGCAGCCCACCATTGAAATAAGTTCTCAGAGTCCTCTTTTGAGGGGAAGTCATACACCCAGAACGCAACTGGGAAGCTGGGTCTGAAACGTCAAACGTCAAAAGACATGGTCTACTTGAGGTGTTCTTCGGGGCTAAAAAGGAAAACGGTGGCGAGTCACGGCTCTGGGAAGGTTGGGGGTCTAAGATTTCTTGGGGTTGAGCTTCAATGGAAACATTGCTCCTCCTGAAATCAATCCTCGTCGCCTGCGAAAACATATTAGAATGGACCAAATTCCTTGATCTTGTTGGCTACGCCAAACCTGCCAACAGGCAGGTAGGAAACCAGACCTTCTTTCGGCAAACAAACTCACTCCAATACTCCAGTGAGAACATGATCACGTGTTGCTCAAAGAAGGCCTTGCTCAATGTGCGTGGGACATTTAGGCCAAACTTGGAGAGACAACCAGCACAAACAAGCGGGTGATAAAAAGGTTGTCTGAAATTTAAAAACTGCACATTTCGCCCTGCACCCCTGCACCCAAATAAGCCACTGAACCAGTGACACTCTGAACCATGTTCACCTTCTGGGTAGGACTCGTCAATCTTCCTGCACAATTGTTTCCCTTTGAAAATCACCCCTCCACTACGATACTCACTTAAGGTGGCCTCAACAAAGGTCCAACAAGGAAGGCATACGGCCCATTCAAGTGGCATCCTCGGAATCACCCTCTACACAATGTGTTACACTCCCTTAAAAACACATATTTGGATATGATCTTTACTTGTCGACCCTGTGGTGCACATCAAAATTAGAACAAAAACAAAAAGATCCAACCCCTCTTGAGGTTCCAACAACTTCTAAGACCCATAGCCAGGTTGAGCACCCCTGGAGCAGTTTTCACCTTGGACCTCGGCGCTCCGCACGTGTTCGCTCGCACGTGTTCGCCTCGTTGAGCTTCCGAATGGCCAGACCGGAGAGGTGCACGTGGTGGGTGTTGCGGCTGAACTTGAAGACGACTTGGCCCCTAAGAGACGAGTGAGTATAGATAGGTTTGTATAGATAGGTTTGTATAGATAGGTTTGTATAGATAGGTTTGTATAGAAAGGTTTGTATAGATAGGTGTGTATAGATAGGTTTGTATAGATAGGTATGTATAGATAAGCTTGTATAGATAGGTTTGTATAGAAAGGTGTGTATAGATAGGTGTGTATAGATAGGTTTGTATAGATAGGTTTGTATAGATAGGTATATGTATAGATAGGTTTGTATAGAAAGGTTTGTATAGATAGGTGTGTATAGATAGGTTTGTATAGATAGGTATGTATAGATAAGCTTGTATAGATAGGTTTGTATAGAAAGGTGTGTATAGATAGGTGTGTATAGATAGGTTTGTATAGATAGGTTTGTATAGATAGGTATATGTATAGATAAGTTTGCATAGATAGGTTTGTATAGAAAGGTTGGTATAGATAGGTGTGTATAGATAGGTTTGTATAGATAGGTTTGTATAGATAGGTTTGTAGAGATAGGTTTGTATAGATAGGTTTGTATATAGGTTTGTATAGATAGGGTTGTATAGGTAGGTTTGCATAGATAGGTTTGTATAGATAAGTTTGTATAGATAGGTTTGTATACATATGTACATATATCTAGATAGGTGTGTATAGATAGACAAACGAGTGTGTTCAACCAACTTAGTAAGTATAGAACGAGTGCGGCGTGCGGCGCGTGTTCAACCAACTTAGTAAGTATAGATGGGTTGCACCCAATGCTCTGAGTGGGGGGGGGGATAAGCGGAGCGTAGGTTGCAACCATGGTTCTGAATGGGGTAACTGGAGTTACTACCCTTATAATCTATAACCTGTGCTACAACCCAAATATGCGGCTTTTGCTGGTGCGGCTACTACCCGTGGTGTGAGTGGTTTTATGCAGAAAGCATTTTGACAGCAAGCAATTTTGGGCTCGCCCCTATTTGGACACATATATGGGCGTGTTTAAACAAGTTAAGGGTGCCCGTGTTGGTGTTCTAAAGGACAGCCAAAAAGACCACTACCATTTTAGGGGTCTAAGGACCAACGCCTAAACCCCTAATTAAGAGCATCGCCGAACGCACGCCAAAGGCAAGGGATTTGGAAAACAACTCCAGGAGATCTTCCTGCAACGTGGCTCGTTGATATAAAGAAGAGAAAGAGGTGAACCGCAATGAATGTGATGCAAAACAACGTTCATGAACCTTGCTTGTTATATGTGATTGGTTTATGTAATAGTAAATGTAAATACTACTAGTATACACATTGTTATTGTAATATGGTTTACGCGCATGTGAGATTTGGATGTTTCAGGCATTTGGTGGTTTCCTCAAGTGCGGGTAGGGAGGAGGGGCATTGCCTGTATTGACCACAGTCATGTTGGTTTTCGTGGTTTCAGCTCAGTTGGAATCCACAATCGAACCGATTCGTACGTGGATGCTGAGCCACGCCCTACCAAGCCTTTGGGCGGATTTGCCGCCCGAACTTTCCATTGCTATAATTCCAACAGCCGAATTAAGAATTGGATCCCCAAGCGGGGACCCAACAAACATGGTGAGCTCGTTCTACCCCAGAATCGGCGAGCTCGCTATCAACATCCAGTCGGGGAAGTGGACTCCATGAGGATGTTGGAGGCAAGCAGCTGACAAGCCGCACCTGTGGTTTGACAGGGCTGCTTGTACTTAGATATCCGCTCCGAATGTTGACATTCAACAACCAAGGAAGCCTATAGTGACCCTTGCAGCAAGAAAAAACACCTCCTGCCAATGTATGAAGCTCATCATATCTTGGTGCTTGTACTCCCCCGGTTACGAAAGTGACTTGATGTGTAATATCGATGTCACTCCTCCCTATATTTTTGCCGCTGCAATGCCGCAATGGCAAAAACCTTACTGTCAACAGCAGACAAGCTGCCAGTTTGACAGATTCTCCAGTCATAGATGACATGTGATTTCAGCCGGCCCTGGATTTGTGCAAGACCTCAAGACTTGGTTGACGTTGGAAGGGGAGAAACCAAATAAATTTCCCACTAAACCACAACAAGCAAAAATGTAAAATGGTTCCCAACAACAACCATGAAGAACTTCTCAAGGATTCTACCTTAAGGCCGCTGCCTGGGCCAAGCCGGGGGCTCCCTCCCAGCATTCCCTGTCAAACATCACCTCGCCAAAGGAATCTCACCGCAAGTTCGCAACCAGGTGATGTATAAAGCCGCCAAAAGGAAAATGTAGAGGGAATCCTGAAAGGGGGTCCAGGGGGTCCCAATTTTCGGCCACCCATCTGGGTGAATTATAAATTATAATATTTTACCAACCTGAAATAAGATGGTTGGGGGGCTATTCCCCACATTTACCACCATTTGGGGTGAGGTCGTGTGAGGTCGTTATAATTCACCCAGACCCATTGACCTCACCCCCGGATCCGACCATGAGCCCGGCCTCTTGTCGGCCCGCACGAGGCCTCCCGCGGTGGGCGCGTCCGACTTGGCCTGGGAGGTCCTGCCCCAGAGCTGGCCGTTGACGTGCAGGAAGTTCTTGCCCGCGAAGGAGGAGGCGTACTGGTACACCTTCCACACCTGCAGATAAAAACACATGCTCCCATTTGGTTAAGACCCCCGGAAAAAATAAAAATAAAAAGTTTCCAGTAGTGATAGATTCCCTTTTAACACCAACAGTGGAAAATGAAAAGCTATCTTAAGCAAATGGAAGCATGGAGTTTTTCAAAGTGGTCAAAAATACATAGGATGACCTGCAAATAGTCTGGCTCCACAGGAAAGCAACCTTACACAATGACGGAGATACACACAACGGGGCAACTCAACATTGCAACCTGCAGGAAAAACCACAAGGAGTTGATCAAAAGGTCTGACATACATAGGATGACCATTCGGTGGAAAACCACGAGACAAAGATGTCATATTTCAACTACACGGGAAAAGTTGCCCATGGTCATTTGGGGGCCAGGAATATTGATCAACCCTCACATTTAAAATTACATGCTGGAAGAAGACGGACCCTATGAATCATTTGCGTGGTCCTAGCTTCATCGCCACAGCCCCTGTTGGTCTTTTACCGAGAACCAGCGCGACATTTTTGTTCGGGAGGTTTCAGACTTTGTAGACCTTCCAGATCTTCTATTGTTGGCAACGCTCTGACAGTCCAACCCTGAAGGCATGCTTGCACGCACGTTGAGCCTCACTTCACTTTGCGCTGCAATGCTTCCCGGTTTTGGACTTACACAGATTTGTTGAGGAAAACAGTCAAGCTTCACTATTTATTTACTTATTTCTGTCCCCCCTCAGTCTTTGCAGGAAAGCGCAAACATTTGCCAACATCGAACAAAATTGTGCTCTCACGAGAACGACGGGCAAAACAAACTGGGGATCCACTTGCAGGGAGTATTTAATAAGGGCCTTTCCGCTCAAGCTCTGACTGCACCTTCGAACTGGGAGTCCTTCAAATATAATCAAGCCACATGTGTTCCCTAACGCTGGAGAGGGGAAGCTCTGTGACAAATTTAACGTCATCACAAGTCAGAGGTGTACTGTACCGGCAGTCACCGTTCTGGTCTTGACGCCTGGATTTGCCCCACACGGGCTTCGCGTGACGCATACTGTGGAGGCATAAAATCCGGTTTGCACCAGTTGATTGGTGGTTGATCCCAGTATTATTTAAAGTTTCATCCATCCCAACTGAAGCCCCGAAGGCCATAGGAAAAATGGGCACCATCTTTAGGCACTTGATATCAAAGGGAAACCTCCACTAAGAAACAGGAATCAGCACCACTGAGGACAAGCGGCATACAACGCCCTGGGCGCAAGGCCCGACACGGTGGCCTAGGCGTGTTGGAGCAAAGCGGATCACCAGGATCCGAACAAGCAATTTCCTTGCAAGTTGACATGACAAACAACACAGGTGCCGCGGACGGCATTCTTTGCCTTCAATGAGTTTGCCGTGTGTGCCCCATGTTGTCCCCTTGATGATCATGAATTTCGACCGCCAATATGGAAAGGTACCCAGGGCTTCAACGGGTGGCCGCTGACTGGGCACTGGCTTGCTGAGGACTAAAGGAATGGCCCCCAGAAAAGGCTCAATGAGAAGCACTGACCCCTCCTTTCACATATGGGTGTGTCCCTGTTTAGGCCGGGAATGGTGGTTTCCTTTTTGGTTTCCCTGTAAACCCACCTCAGCAAAGGCTAGCCTCAAAAAACGTCAGGCCCATATTTGACCGGCTTACCCAACTGCCAGTGAGAGGCTAACCAATGGAACCCTGATCCGTCGAGTAGCTGTTGCACTCCCTGCTTGGTTTCGGAGAAAGCCCTTTGCATAGCTCCTCGGGCAGCAGAGACATGCGGTCTGCAGCAAAAGCCCACAACCTGTGACCACTCTGTGGGTTTTCTTGGTGGCATATAGGAGCTCTGCAAAAAGAGAGAAGAAACACGAACCACACAAGGCAAGTTTGCTTTGGACATGATTTGGCAGGACAGTATATGCTGAGTCATCCAGCAAGAAGCCTTTCAATTTCGGGCATGTTTAGCACCCTTTGGGATTCGACCACGTCCATGTGGCTGTGCAAATCAGAAGGCCTAGCTCCTGCGATCTTCCACGGGTGGAGGCCGTTTGTTCACTTCAAGCCTGCAATTGTCAACCAAACTGCTCCGTCAACATGTCGGGTTTCCGATCTGAGCAATTAGCAGATTCCCGTCATGTGGCCCAGCCGCGACGGAGATCGCGGTGCCAGGTGTCCCCTTGCTGCAAAGTGTCTAGATGCTTCAACGTGCACACTGAAACATCTCGCTATCCCAGGACCGGTCACGAAATGCTCGGCCAAGCCAAGTTCCCAGTGAAACTCATGACGATAAAATCACATTTTCTTGAGATCGAGAAACGGAGGGAACTAACATTATAGACCAGAATCGACTCTTCCAACAAGGTGGTAAAGACATTAGATCCGGACAAACACAGTATACATCCTCTTGTAGTTTCCTTGATTATAAACAACCATGTAGCCACCTAGTCGTGCATTCGACCTTTGCGATGGGAATGTCAGTCCTGGTGTGGGTCCATCCACGCAGCTTGCAGTCGTATCCATTGGCCAGCGTGAACTGGTAAGCTGTGTTGATAGACAGCGTCCTCGGCGATCGGAGGACATGATTGAATGGAATTCGGGAAGCCATGAGAATAGCAAAGGGGACGTAGACCTAAACGCCAACCTGTTTCTACGGAAACGGCAATCACGGGTCATAGAGTTCTCCTAATACTCCCCATTTCGCCAGGTCGCGAAGACCTTGGGCCGACGAATTTGGGTCAAGAGAGGTTGCCACCCCCATTGGCGCGGCCCCATTTGGAAGGAGAAACCATGCGGCGCTCAAGCCGGTGGCAGTTTTGGGCGTGGCTCAACATCTCAAATAGTGTTGCTTGCGAAACCAGGGATTCGTGCAGGATCTTTTCACATGGGCAACTGTACGTTGGCAGCCTGTCTTCTGTAAAGCCGTGCAGTGGTATGCCTTAGACTCCGGTTGAACGCTGAGTGAAAGTTCAAAGAAGCTTGGAGAGGAAAGCTCGCCCCACCGTCTCTCAATCGCGCCCAACAACCAACAACAATTAGCGGTTTCCTTCGGTTTTCTCTTAGGGCTCCAAACCCGGCTGAACAAGGGTATTGCGGTGTCCAGCATCGCGCACCACCCCTTTGATGCGGTAACTAGCAACTTCCCTCAAGTTGTTTCTTCTCTTTGTCTCGCTCGTTGTTTCTTCTCTTTTTTTTTTGGGGGGGGGGCACAAGCTCTGCATCTTCAACTGTTACAAACAAGCATCCCTTTACTCAGCACCTCTTGGTGGTTTGGATTGGTGGCTTGGTTGTTAGGGGTGGTTTCCCATTTACCCCCTTTGCAAGAACCAGGGGTTCAAATCCAAATCCAAGCCACCAATCCAAACCACCAATCCAAACCACCACTCTAAACCACCAATCCAAACCACCAATTAAGAACATTTCCATTTGCGTGTTCGACCCATGAAATATACGTATGTCCAGTAGTGAAACCGACTCCCTTTCAAACCAACCAGGGGAAGCAAAACACGTTCTTCAGTAAATGGAAGCTCAGGCACTGACAAAACCAAACCCTGCATGCCAAGCCCCTGCAAGAACAAATCCAAATCCAAACCACCGACACGGGGTTAGCTGGATACTTTGACCGTGGCGCAACCGGCGTCCCTTTTTGCCCTGGGGGGAAGAACCCCCTGATCCACTTCAAGGGGCAGAGTATTTTTTTGAGTGGGTCATAAGCATGGCAATAACTCACTTATCATGGTTACAAGTCTCAAATCAGTGGGGTCACTTCCCTGACGTACCGAGTCGATTGCCCCTTGAAGTACATTTGAGTCGCAATCAAAACCCGGTACGAAAATGGTGAACCCAGAACCATGTAAAGGATCAAGAAGGCGGCGCAGCTATTTCTGGTTGGGATCGTCGCTTACAAACCTTCATCTACCCGAATCGGTTTTGATTGTGACTCAACCGACAAGGACTCAAATCGAGCCTGGGGGACCTGGGGGTAGCCAGGCTCACTCGCCACTTCCCTGACGTGCCGAATCGATCTCTGCAGGCGTCTTGGCTTTGGTCTGGAAGCTCTGCTCCTTCAGGCTGGACAGCACTTCTCGGCCCGCCAAGCTCCAGGACCTGTGAGCTTGGCAGCGCGGGCCTTCTTTCTTCGGGTTTCGGGTTTCGGGTTTCGGGGGGGGGGGGGGGATCAAAAAGTTGTTCAGTGACCCTGGAACAAAAGGGAACCCTTTTTTGGGAAAGACAATTTTTAGTGGGGCAGCCACCAAAAAAAGGGTGCCACTGAACAACTGAGTTTTGGGTGGGATGCGTTGGACACAGGGAAAGACGTGGAAAGCGTAGGTTAGGCAACAAACTTTGAGGGAAATAGCGGGAACCTTCCAAAGGAACCCAGGGAAGGAGTATTTTCGGGGATCTGGGACCTACATTGCTTTTAGTTGTGTTTTGCTTTTTCTCCGGAATTCCTTCCATTTGTGTGAGGCAATGTAAACTCGCGCATTTTGCTGGCTGTCATACGGTCAAGACTGGGGTAGCTCATGCGGTTTGTTCGAGTTTCATACGGGCACTTTTGGGGTTCCTCGTGCCCGTCGCGTCATGATACCAATGATCCGCAAGCTTTGGCACTGCGTTCATCCCAAACAATTATTACTGGGGCGCCGCATGCAACAACATGCTTTCCTGAAACAAACACGCATCGTGCAACTCCCCCGGTTGTTTTTTGTTCTAAGGAAACCACGCCCAAACAAATCTGTGTGTGTGTGGGTTCGTTTTGTTGGTTTTTTGTTAGTTCAGGGTTCCCTACATTAATCATAATTGGAGACCGCTTGGTGAATATCATGTTACATGTCGCCTCCAATCGTTTGGAAGGGCGTTTCCAGTCAAATTCACATCCATGTGTCCCACCTATAAACATCGCCAACTTTATGGTTGCCCCAAATGCGAGGCTTCAAACCGCCATTTATATAAGGGAAACAAACAAATGTGTGTGTGTGTGTGTGTGTGTGTGTCTGCGTGTCTGCGTGTGTGTGTCTGTGTGTCTGTGTGGGTGTGTGGATGTGTGTGTGTGTGTGCGTGTGTGTGTGGGGTGCTTCTTAAGCTTAAAGGGAAGCCCAAACCACGATCTGCAAAAAACACAGCAAACACATGTTCATAAGCAAGCGGCGAGGCCTTAGGGTCTCGACTCTTTGCTGGATTTCAATTAGCTCTCTGAACTGAGTTGAGCCACAGCCGGTATGGGAATGTGTCACAAAACACGGGGAGCCCCCCTCCCCCAAACAACAAATAAGCTCGGGCGATATCCCCAACAGCACCACACCCTCCCAGAATCCTCGCGGAACGCCCCGGGACCATCCTTACCGCCAGTGTTGCTGAGGATGCAGCCTTGTAACTTAGCTATGAGTGACAGCGCAATCTCGCCCTGATCGGGTGCCCGACAGCACTATTAGGGCCCGATCGGGGCCCGACGGCGCAATCGGGGCCGGATCGGGGCCCGACAGTGCAATCATAGCCCGATCAGGGCCCGACGCTGCAATCGGGGCCCGATCGGGGCCCGACGGTGCAATCGGGGCCCGATCGTCCCGTGGTGCAAGCCCAGCCACCAATATTATAGCTCAACGCCGGTTTTTCCTTAGAATGCGGATTACGACTGTATCTATAGCAAAACTAGGCGATGCAAGCTTGGTACAGTTGACGGGGCCCGAGTCGGGCGCGATGGCGCAATCGGGGCCAATCGGGCCCCAAACGGTGAGCAAGTCAGAAAACAGTGAACGTGTGCTAAAAGCAATTGATTTCGGTTTTGCTTAGTGTTCCGCCCATGAGCAAAGCGATCTTGATCCGATGGCTTTTCAGACGACGGGCGCACGACACACTGCTTCCCTCCACGGAACCCTTGGTGGAACATTGTGGTGCCTATTGGAACCTTGTGAAACCTCAGGGCCCGCAGCCCTCGCAGAGTCTCGTGGAACCCTGAACTCATAGAACCTTGCCTCAAACCACTCCGGACCACCGCAGCCCACGCAGAACCTCGTGGAACCCTGCTAGAACCGTGCTGGAACCTTCATGGAACCTTACCTTGCAAAACCTGGTGGAATTCTAGTGGAACGGAACCCTGGTGGAACCCTGGTGGAACCGTCGTGGAACATTCCTCAAACCAGCCCCGCAGCCCTCGAAGAAATTGGTGAACCCTGGTGGAACCCTCGTCCGGAGCACAAAGGGCTGGTGGAACCTGGTGGAACTCTCGCTGCAGATGGTGGAGCCCTGGTAGAACCCTGGTGGAACCGTCGTGGAACCTTCCTCAACCAGCCCGGACCACCCCGCAGCCCTCGAAGAAATTTGTGAACCCTGGTGGAACCCTCGTCCGGAGCACAAAGGGCTGGTGGAACCTGGAACTCTCGTGGAACCTTCCTCAAACCAGCCCGGACCACCCCGCAGCGCTTGAAGAAATTGCTGGAACCCTGGTGGAACCCTCGTGGAACCTTACCTCAAACCATCCCGGACCACCCTGCAGCCCTGGTGGAACCGTCGTGGAACCCTACCTCAAACCAGCCCGGACCACCCCGCAGCCCTCGAAGAAATTGGTGGAACCCTGGTGGAACCCTCGTGGAACCTTACCTCAAACCACCCCGGACCACCCCGCAGCCCTTGCAGAACCTGGTGGAACCCTGGTGGAAACCTCGCAGATGGTGGAGAACCCTGGTGGAACCCTGGTGGAACCCTGGTGGAACCCTGGTGGAACCCTGGTGGAACCCTGGTGGAACCCTGGTGGAACCCTGGTGGAACCCTGGTGGAACCTTAGCTCAGGGTCGCCCCGAACCACCCCAGAGCCTATCTGGGCTGAGACCCCAAAGCTTTCAGCTGTTGGGGAAAAATCCTTTGGATTCGCTTTAAACCAACCCCCCAAAATGTTGTTTTCTATATAATATTGTTGACGGATGTGGGAACGAGGCAGAGCGAGAATCAGCGCAGCACAAGCATCACGGAAGTGGTTGTGCCACAACCCTGATACAGCATTGCTTAAACAATCACGTCCTCTCAACAATATATTGAAAAAAAAACACCTCTAGAAGGTCAGTTGCTTGCAACTCCTCTCAGCCAGTCGCACCGCATGCGGATCTCGGCCTCACGTCTGCATAGGTCTTGGGAATGCAGGAGGCAGCCTTGTAGCAGCGGTACCCGGCGTCTGTCCACACACTCCTTGGCCGGACGGCCCTGGAAGAAATACAATCCATTTTTCAGACTGCCCCAACACGCGCTTTTTGCCATGTCCAGATCATAGATCCCGCACTGTCCAAAGAAGTCCTTGGAGGGCGGCTTAAAAGCAACAACAATAATCATTATCAAAACAACATCCAGAAACATGCTAGGCCCCCTCTTTGTGCTGCCTGATAGACGCCAATTTCGATCATATACTGATTCAAAGCCATAGCAACAGGAGCCATTGCAACCCAATAGTGACTGGGTGACTAGTAGTGATTTGGATGGCAGCTTTCGAGACCAAGGGCCACTCCCTTCCATACACTACCTGGGAGCGGGGAATCATTTCGCACTGAAGGCCTCGACATTTTACCGAAACAACAAGGTGAACCTTTCAGGACCCAACAAGGCTTACAAATGGGTATGTGTCAAACTAGTTGCTACCCCCCTGCGCCCCCAAACCAAAAAAGTTCTCACTTGGCTTGGTTGCTGTCGACCCCCCTGCAAAAAGCTTGACTTTTTTAGGAGGTTAGTGGAAAACGCCTTTATTTCCCAAAAAGTTCAGGTCTAAAGATCCAAGCCAATAGTCAAGTTGGTTGCAAACTTGGCTCCAACCATCGAAACCGGCATCTCCAAAAGAGGCATGGCAACCTATCCACCGGTCCCACCGGTCCCATGGCGAGGAGCACAAAGGCCACCTTGGGGTCTTTGGCTCGGCAAAGCCGCCAGGCCGCCAGCACCCAGCTCGCGTACTCCGCGCTGTGAAAGCCTAAGGCGGCCCCGAAGCCGAGGGGAAGATCTGCCGTTGGTCGAGGTGCCTGTGGATGGTTTCAAATTCCATTTCGCACCCCTTTGAGTCATAGCAGAACCTGCAAAATTATGGGTATGATTCAAAATTAAACCACCAGGAATTGGATCCCTGGTTTTAGTTCATGTTTCCATTTGCCAGGGCAAGCAATTTTGGGGTTACCAGTTTTTTGACGAAACCACAGCCACATCTATCTAACGATCCCTGTCAGCCCAGCGCAGAGTCATGAGTCGGGTCCCGTTTTCAGGCGTGCCAAATCTGCTGAAAGCCAGCCGTGAGCTCCGTACCAGCAGCTGGAGGTGGCAGTTTGACGCTGCCAGAGTGAGTTCCCTGCTGTGGATGGGCGAAATCCATTTCGCGCCACTTGGAAAGCATCATTTTTGCTGGTATATACAGGGGAGCAGCATTTAAAGGTGTCTTTGGTGGTGCAGGATTTCGTACACCCACAGTAGGATTTCTCCAGTGAGCATCACGCGCCAAGGGAAACGCACAAAAAATGCCGAGTTTCCGATCCGACGTAAACAACTTCACAACATGGGTGAATTGCAACAAACAAGTTTGACATGAGGGATGGTCCAATCAAGGAACCTTCATGGGCAGGGGCAGGGTTTCCTCAACATAAATGTTTAAATAGTGGCCCCCAAAGTCATTCCCAGAACCCCTCAAAACGCAACCACTTTCAAATTCGCAGGGAACCATAGGCATGTTGAGCCCAACATAGTACAAGTCATCACTTCAAGCGACCCAGAATATCCGGAACCCGATCCTGAGTCCATTCCAAACCGAGAGACCGTGGCGCCCCTCGCTGTTCGAGGACAATGCCCAGGCCGCAGATCCGTAGATCTGTCCTTGAAGGGCGGTCGGCAGACGCCATGCATGTTTATCACAACAAGTATCATGGCTTTAGTTTCATAAAATTACTTCAAACGAAGTACGACATGTTAAATCAAGATGGAGTTGGGCGGCCGTTCTGGGAAGATGGCGAGCAACCTGATCTTTGGAGATCCAGTTCGCCGGTGCAGCCGCGGTGCTGTGAAACCAAAGCGGAAAACACTTTGCAGGACACCCAAGTCTTCAAGTGCAAAACATGCTTACAATGGCAACCAAAAGGGATAATTTATTCCAGCCCCCCTCCCCCAACAGTTTCTTTTCTATCCATTCCATAAGAACATCCTGTTTGCAACTCAGCTACGACCTTGTTTTCTTGGAAAGCCAAAGGAACTCCAAGGCCATTATCCGGGTCCCGGGATCCCTGTGACACATATCCATAGAGGCATGAATGGACTTGGTGGAATTAATTTCGGTTGGCGTTCACGTGCCGCAACTTCTGAGGTGTTTCCTATTGGTCCTATTGCAATTCACAGCCATATGGATGAACCTTTTCGATGGTATACACGCTGCACGGGGGTTGATCAATGCTCCCCCGCAAAGGACCATGCGCAACTTCTTCCCACTTAGTGTGACATATCCTTTTTGGTGGTTCTCTGATGGCCATGTGAACCTTTTCTGGGCTGTCTTTAGATCCTCTAAAGACTCTAAAGTTTAACTTGTGGGTTAGATTTGGCAACCCAACCACCAAAGCAACCCAAAAAAGGTTCAACAAACAACTTTCTGGAAATCTGATGGCTGGGAAAACCGCCCACGTTTTGATCAAACTCCCCCCCCCCGGCCCCATTTCTCTCCCCTTCGGTGCATCGGGCCGCCGGTGGCGCAGTGGCCCTGGGTGATGAAGTCGAGGCTGGGCGATGCCTGGCACTGGCCCTCCTGGCGCAGCCAGGTGCCCACCTGGCCGACCCGGGGAACCGGGAACCGGGCGCCAGCATCGGGGGAAAAGGGCTGGATGTCTGTTTTTTTGGGCTTGGAGTGGGGACATGTCCCCAGTTTTTCAGCAAAAAGGGACCAGGGTCCAATTCCGATCTTGCGCTTTCGATTTTTTGGGCTATATACGGGACCAGGGCCTGCTTGTGGCTCGCCTTCTCCCTTTCGGCAGCCGGCCTTGCTGTAGGAGGTGACCTGCTTCACTTTGGTGGTGCCGGAGATCAGCCTCCCCACCTCTGCGGTCGCATCCAAACGATTTGGAACCAGGCCCTTCTCAGCACCCAGCGATGTTCAATGCCGGTAACCAAGGGAATCGCCCTTCAAAACCGGTGATGTGTTTTTGTTTGGTTGGGGGGTCAAGTTCGTGGGGTATTTGGATGGTTGTCATTGTCTTTTGAGTGGTAACCCTGAGATCTCCTGAAGGTCAACATAAAGCAAAGACGAGTGTTTGCGTCTGACACATGCATCAAACCTGCCCGCTTTTTGGGAGACTGGTTTCGAGCTCTTCGGACCTTCCTTCAATGCGGCACCCTTGGTTTTTGCTCAAGGGACACCAAAAAGTGCCATTGGAGAACCAGTGCACTGTTAGAGACCGTGCAAGTAAGGCTCAGTGGACGACATGTCATGTTTCAGGCGACACGAATGCTCTCACTCAGATCCCAGTTGCCCCTGATTGCTCTTGTCAACACCCTCTCCCTGGGGCGCCGGCCAATTGGCATGCGCCCAGCTGCCAATCAGGCCGTGATCCCTCCCTTGCTGTGTGCTTGTAGGCAAAGCCAGCACCTCTGCGCGTATTGAAAAGTATCATTTGGGAATGGGTCAAAAGTAAACCATCAGGAATTGGACCGCAGGTTTTAGTCCATGTTTCCATTTACTAGGGTTCGATTTTGGGCACCGTTTTTTCACCCACAGCCCCACAGCCATTTAGGGAAACACAACCAGAGCAAAACCACTGACTAGTACATCGGTGGCATGCCGTGCCTTTCAAGAGGATCGCCCAACTTCCAAGGGGGTTACCATCCTTGAGGACCTAAGAGTCACGGCCTGGGTTGGAAACTTTGGTCTGAGTGCTGAATGCAGTTTGGGGTCGGTGATTGTTGTCCGCAAAAAGGAGCCAACCGACCAAGGAACAATTGCTACGCATCGTTTGAATTTGAGAATCCGCCAGGGTACCTGCATCCTGGGCCAGGCTTGGATCCGCCAAAAAGCTCAACATGTTTCAGCTTACCTCTAATTGGTGGCTTGGATTGGTGGTTTGGTGGTTAAGGAGGGGCTTCCCATTTGCCCCCTACAAGAACCGGAAGTTCAACTCCCCAAACCAATCCAAACCACCAATGAAGGGATACCTGATTGTTAGTTGCGAAGAAACAAGGAAAAACAACAACAGCGCCGTCTTCGGCGAGCCATAACAATGCAGAGCTCAGCACATAACTCGCTGGAGGCAAGTCACACCAGCCCCGCTGCCCACAGCTCTGCTCGCATGCTTCGCGGCTGCTTCCCGAGACCAACTCCTCGCGAGTACTGTAAGCTCGGAAGAGCTGGATGCGGGGACAGGCGACTACAGGTGTCCACCAAAGGGCATGCCAAAACGGTCACAGCTACATGCTGGCCTCAATTCCTGCGAAAAAGGAAGGCTAAGCTGTCTCTCTGTCCACCTCGAACACGTATGACCCTGGTATGAAGCCCTCCACAATGGCTGAAATAATCTCGGGGCCTAGTCTTGAAGTCAATGCAACATTGACCCACTGTTACTTCCTTCTCGGATCTCGAGAGGCCTCAGAAGTAGGCTACCAAGCCACAAAACGATGAGAGCCCAGCTGCAAAAAGCTTCTAAGGGGCACAAGTTTGCTGGTCGTTTATTTCCGGTAGACACAAGAAAAGGACACACACACACAATTGCATTTCCACCACTGAACAATTTAAGGTGCATCGCAGAACCAAAATAAGCGATGCCATCATAGGAGTGCAAACAAGTTGCTTGAGTTCTCTAGCCATCTTATGGTTCGAACAACTTTGGTCAACAAGACTGATAGTACATAACAATCACCCGCTTATGGCTTTCTTCACCACCGCTGAGTGAATCATCATCATCATCATCATCATCATCATCATCATCATCATCATCATCATCATCATTGACATGTTCAATCATAATTAGGTCACCCCTTGTGTGCGAGGTAGCTTTGGGCACGGATTCAGGACACTTTCAGAAGGAACCCGTGGCAACTTGGATCTGGCGCCAAGGATCGTATGGACCGGTCGTGTAGCCCGTCTCTCCGTTGCCCACGTCGGTGCCCTTAAGTCCTCCTGTGGGAGAGCGGAACATGGACCCGAGAGGTCTACCTCAAGGAGTCAAGAGGTGGGGAAAAGTGTCACATAACTCAGTTGTTCAGTGACCCTGGAAAACAAGGAACTTTTGCTGGGGAAGACCATTTTTAGTGGGGCAGCCACCCAAAAAAAGGGATAAAGGGTGCCACTGAACAACTGAGATAAGGAAATGTGGGCGTCTGTTCTTGAGGGTAATGACCATTTTGGGTTCGGGAGACCAACGGCAAACTTATGTGGGTTGCCCCAATCTTGCGACGGGTGACAGTCCCTATATCCGGAAAGATCCCAATCCGAGAACAAGATGGTGGAACCAAGGACACGGAGGGTGGGACCCTGGCCTGACTGGCCGCGTGTCTGGCTTGCTCGGCTGACAAGTGTGCCCTCCACGGGTGCCCAAACCCGCAAGATCTGTCCCAACCCGAGTAACCTTTCAAAACAAATACCTTAAACAGAAGCAGGTCATGGCGACGTGTATATCATTATTCAATCTAAAATTATCGAAGGGGCCTCGGGTGCGAGCACCTACTGGTCTCTTGATCAATGGCGTGTCGCCAACCATTGCTGAATTGAGAAGCGCTCGTTTGCAGGCAGAAGGCATCAGGAGAACACGTTTCAATAACTCGCAAGAAAGCGTGATGCCAATCCCCTGTTTCCACCGTGGTGCCTTCAATTATATAGCCTCAGCGCCTCATCCTTGCTACAGGCCAGTGAAACTCAGCAGTCATCAAGGGTTCCATCTAACACCAACCAGAAAAAATGAAAACAACAACTGAGCAAATGAGGTGTATTGCAACCCTCTCCGCCAGAACAAATACCCAGCGTCAGAAGGGATGGCTGGGGTTGGGACCATCCCAGTTAACTGCCAAAACCTCGAATTTTAAAAACTATGCATTGGGCACCTACTACAATTCACACACCTGTAACAAAAAGCATAAGACCCCTCGTTGTTTGGCTGCTATAGTCTGTCAGGTGACATGCTGGCAGCAAATCAAGGGTTCCCTGTTGCAATACTGTTTGAAGCCACCTGGCACCATTGAGCATACTTGTGTCCATCTGACCATGGATCGATTTGGTCAGGACTTTGCTCTTCCAGGCATCCGCAAGTGACCATAATCATGTGGAGGCAGCTTTTCAAGGATCAAAATAATGCAATTTCATGGCTCTTAAAATGCCCTCCTGAGTGGCAAACGGAAATCTGTCAACATGCGCTGCTTCCGCTTCAATGGACACGGATATGACGGCATCCATTTCAAGGAGTCCCTGAATTGGACACACACACACACCCTCAAGCAGGGTTTCCATAAAACAGAGAGGATTCCAGTCCCCTCGTAGTCTTCCTGAAGGGAGAACATCCAGAACATGTGTTTTTCACAACTCGCCTTTGAACATGAGAGCTTTCTCTCAGAGTGTTCCCCCCCGTATCCCCTGTAAACACCCTCATTTCGAATTTATCAACCCCCTTGCTCAATACTCCATGAATGTAGGATTACTTGTTGGTGTCCCTAGATTTCACCCGCTCTTGTGTGCTTGGGTGCGTCCTTTGGTTGACCTTTAGACTCAACGCGAGCGCTTTCCTGGCCCTCTGCGCCAACGCTTGCCATCGCCCCCGCCGCCGGTGTGGCTGCTGCCGTAGACGTGCCTTAGGTCGAAAGCAAAGTCGCTTCTCGGGAAACGACCTGAGTCTTGGGAGCAGCGTTCTGAGTTGCCGCCGCCTTCTTTTGCACACATTTTTTGGAACCTTTACCCTGGTCCTGGTAAAAGTTTGGGAATGAACTTGGGGGTTTCCCTTAAAGCAAACCACCAGCAGATGGTTCATACGGGTTCATAGGGGTCATTCCCTAAGTTCTGGTGAGAACCAGCAAGCAAGCCTGGCTGCTGCAACACGGCGAATCCCCACTCAACAAACGTGGGGTCTCCCTAAAACTTTAAAGGTTGGGGGGCGCCAGTGACAAAGGAAGGCTTCACTGTCAGGGGGCTCTGGGAAGCCAATATGGACCCCAAACTGCCAAAAACCCAAGCTGGGGCCAAGAACCTGCAGACCTTTTCAGCTGCCTTCAGGTTCCCTCATTGTTTCGAGATGACCAAAAGTAAGAACGGTGGGAAGCTATACAGTTCTCGGTGCTCCAGCAATTCCCACATATCCACCCAACCCCATCCCCCCCCCCCCCCCACCCCCGCACCCACACCCCCACCCGTGCACCCCCTACCCACCAGATCCAGTGGAAACCTGGTCAAGGTGCTCCGGTAGCACCGCCACACACTTGGAGTTCTGACCATAGGCCACAGAGCCCACCGGCGCCGACCAGATGGCCTCGGCTCCGCTCCAAAAAAAACCCACCGAGTCAAAGGGATAGACATGGAAGGGCTTTTTGGGATTTGGAAGGTGGGCTTTCAAGAAAAACCAAAGCAAAAAACAGCAAGTACCCACCATGCCCGTTCCCTTGAACAAGTTTACAGGGATATGTCCATCAAACTCTGACCAGTGCAGCGGACCTGACCGAAATCTTGCGAACAAACGCCCAAGCCATGGATCCCGAAAGGAAGGCTAGCAAAAAAAGAAGACTTGAGCAAAGAGTCAAAATGGAACCTCACAGAGTTGTCCTGGACCATTGTCCTTTACAAGGGACCTGGAGGGTAACCACATTCTAGATGTAGTCAGCCTCCAGCCTGACCCGAACACCTGGGACTTTTTGGGTCCCCCAACCTTTCGCAAGTTGCACGTCACAACTTTGGCGCATCACTTTTTATGGTCTTTTGAAGGTTTTGACGGTTGCACACATGTTACCCAACCCTCATGGTGACGCATACCCACTGCTCCAACGAGTGGCACAAGTCTTGCCACTGAACTCGAAGCCCGAGCAGGACGGCCGCCTTGCGCATTCTCCTAGGCAAATCAAGCACAGCCTAGCAGGCAAAACTCAACCCTTGGGTATCTTGTCAACCAACCAACCAACCATGCAAAACAACCAAACCAAACCAAACCAAACGGAACCAAACCAAACGGAACCAAACCAGACCAACCAACCAACATGCAACCGGCACAGTGATATACAAACATCGCACTGGCAAACGGACAATTCCGGGGCCTCATCTCCAGAGTCGATTTGCAAAAAGGCAAACTGGTTTCCACGAACCCGAGTGACGCCCACTGGATCTTCTCACCTGGATATGAGCGTGTGCTTGGTTTGCGGGCGTCCCCCAACAGGGATTTCGGTGTTCCTTTTGGCGTCCCAAAAAAAGCCAGCAAACAAAGGGGGCCCCAACTCCAAAAAACGACCGACCCATACTCACATCCTGAGTGGACGGGCCAAACAAGTCCTTCTTATTTACCACTAAAACGGCCTCCACGAACTCAGGGAGTGGCGCCCTAAAATAGATTTCGGCCTCCTTTTGGCTTCCTTTTATTAACCACCAAACTTGGACCAAACTGCTTGGCTAAAAAAAGGGGTACCAACTCCGAAAGAAACAAAAGAAGACACAAAACAAAAAGAAGACACAAAACAAGAAGAAGATAAATCACCACAGACCCCGAATGGCGCGCTTCGGCATCCGCGCTCCTCGGCAGGACTCCTCATCCTCCAGCGTGACCATGGCTGGCTTCCCGCTGACTCGGCCCACCGCCAGCCCTGAGAGCTGCACCTAGCAACCGGCTTTTTGTGGGAAACCGAACGGGAAAAACCGGTTTTTGGGGACTCCAACCTCACAAAAAAGGAAACACCCAAATGGGTTCAAATCATGGGTCAAAATCCCGGTTAGCCACCAGTGAACATCCCAATCCAACCACTAAAATAGGTTCTAAAATGGGTGTTGAATTCACCTACCCCAAAATGGTACCATTGGTGTTGATCCGACACGAAGCATGGGTTGCAATGGCTAAAATGTCCTTCTTGCTGTTTTTTTGGGGGAGGGGAGGGGGGCCCGACACAAAACCATGGGAAGCAATTGTTAGGTGTTAATCCAATTGTTGGGAGGGGGGAGGGGGGGGTCCGTGTTCCCATTGAAATATTTGAGGCAAGCGAAGCCCCACTTCACCCCACCAGTCCGCACAGAAAGGTTTGGGGGTTCCAGGAGGCCCCTCGGATCGCTACATGGTCACGCTGGATCCGATAGAAATTTGGGCCTCGGAAAAGGAAAACAAGAGGACCCGATATCGATGCATCGATGCTCTACCGTTGTTGTGGGGTTCGGAGCAACTTTGTGAAAGTGGCGGTTTCAAGGGAACCCACTGGGATCTACAAGTAATTTGGAGAGCCCCTCAACATGCCAAGAGAGGCTAACAAACACTAAGCTACATAGTTTAGAGCCCGAGGCGCTAATGTATCGCTTTTGCGTTTGAGCCGGTTGAGTAGCAAACTCTTGCAATCCTGCAGATTGCGCCAAAGGGTCGTTATTCGGCGGCTCGACGTAATGGATGGGCCAGCTGGGTTTCAAAAAATAGCAGCCGAGGCGCGGCGCAATGACAGTTCAAGCCGCAATCGGCTGCGCCGACGCAAGATGACGTCATGCAATATCCAAGGCCAAACACTTGTCAAGCTGGATCTATATCCTTGTAGAGAACCCAGTGTCGTATACGGTGCGCCGAGCTCGGTTGCTGCATGAGTGCAAAGCTGTGAGCGCAAGCGAGCAACGCAAGTATACCTTTTAACTGCAACCTTGGCAGCCAACAAAACGAGAACAGGCGGGAGGGAGAGGGGGGGGGGGAGAGGTCGAGGGAGGTTTTTCCGGGCTTTAGTGGAGGGACGTGGCTGCATTGACTGCAGGTAATCTCGCCAAGAACATCGTTCCGCAACGCGGAGCGGCGGCGCGCGAGCGCCGCAAAAATCGTGCGCGCATGTCCAGGACATGCGCGCAGGCCCTTGCAGGTCTGAATTGACCACCGGCTGACAGACTGCGTGGAGTTCTGTCAGGATTTCTTTTGGCCGTGAAATCACTGAATGGCTGCGAAACCGGGATTCCGTGAAATGCGGCCGTGCAATTCCACAGTGGACGTGGAATCCCGGCCTGTGAGGTGCCCAAATGCCTTGAAAACCACTAGATCAAGGTCGAGAGGAATCGCCACCCAATAGCGTGGTCTTCTGAATGTCCAGGGTTGTCATTGCTGTTCCCTAGCATTCTGCGTCCCGCAAGCGCAGACAAAGATACGTTATATATTCGGGGCTTTGTAGATACGTCTTCTTGGGCAAGCCCGGCGCAACAAAAAAATCGAACGCTTAGGGTTTCCCCTTCTCGTTGTGGGCCCCGTGAGTTCCCCTGCTGCGCTCGCAGCGCAAGCAAGCACGGTCAGTTATGTGTTCCCAAACCCTTGGCACATATAGGGGAACCCCTTCTTGGAATCCCTCTTGGCAGGTTGCACATGCTAACGGTGAACTCACATTGACTGCGCAGCCATACACCCTGTAAGCACAGCAAATTAGCCAACTAACCTGGATGTGTCTTGAGTTCAACGGACCTTTTACCCAATGCGTCGTGAGCCATGTACTCACACGTTGAAGCCGGCGCATGCCCAGGGCAAAGCTGCCCTGAACTGCTTTTCTATGGGGCATCGCGATGCAAATGGGGCCCGCGCGCAGTCACGAAACCAGCAATCATCAGAACATTCAAAGCAGCCCGACATACATTAGAGTCTCTTTGGCGAAGGCAAAAATTGGAGTCTTTTAGCCTGTGGACAGGGAACAGGACACCTGATCTGCTGCAATTTGTCCTGGTCTTCTGGCTTTTCGTGTGGTTGGCTTCGTTGCAACACGGGGGAAAAGGGACTTGCGGTGCTCGGTATCCTTGCAAACAAATCAAAATAACAAGGGAACCCTTTTTGGGGAAGACCATTTTTAGTGGGGCAGCCACCAAAAAAAAGGAAAAGTAATTGGTGCCACTGAACAACTGAGTAGGAATTGGCATCCCATCCTCAAGCCTTGGAGCCTTGGAGCCTCACGCCCCTAAACGCCCAACCCCCACCCCCCGTCCTGCCCCTTCCTCCCCCTCCCCCTCACCCCCCCTCACCCCCCTCCCCTTCACCCCCCTCACCCCTCACCCCCCTCACCCCCCTCACCCCCCTCACCCCTCACCCCCCCTCCCCCCCCTCCCCCCCAAGGCGCGTGGGTGGATTGCCGGCGGAAGGCGAAGGTGATCTTCCCGTGGGCATCCGCCTGGGCGAACCCCAGGCGCGGCAGCGCCGCCTTGGAGGAGGTCGTCTGGCCCTTGGAGTCGCCTTGGCGTTGGGAAAGCCACCCTCAAACCACCAGGGGTTCTGTGCGATACACAGCTACTACATAATATATAGCCATATATGGCCATGGGTCGAAATCCAAATCTTACCCAGTGAACATCCCAAAATGGGTGGTGCACCCACCCCAAAATGGTACCATTGGCTTTGACCCACAGCCATATATGGCCATGGGTCAAAACCCAAATCGTACCCCTGGTGAACATCAAAATAGGTGGCAAATGGATGTTCATCCACCCCAACATAGAGCCATAGGTTATGCCCCATGGCTATATTACTATGCAAAGAGTATATATGCCAGGTTGCCGCTTTGCATGGGGGAACCTAAGGAACCTTGCAATGAACAGGGATGTGGGTGGAAAAACACTGAATAACTCTCTTGTTCTGAGGCGGCTAAGGGGAAATAATTACATGCCTCAGGGGGGTATATGCTCCAAACAAATATGGCTTTTGAATCTGGCAAGTAATTGATGTGCATCTTTCCGCCAGGAACATCTTTTCGCACAAATAACAGCTTGCAGGTCGAACAACAGAACCCTAAACCCTAAACCCTTTGGGACCCGGTGGATTTTGTTTGTTCACCAACAACAACAACAACAGGGTCATGTTTACAGCATGACTTCGCCTGAGAGAACGCCTACAGCCACCCACCGGGGGCCTAAGATGCTAAAAGGCTGTTGCAGCGCCAAAATCTGTCCAACAACAATATGTTCAAATGGTTGCAATGGCTTTAAGGGAAAACTTACAGGACACTAGCCGCCCAAAGGAACTCCGGCCTAATGTTGAAGTATTAGTGATACGGACAGCCCTCAGCAGCGACCGACCAATGGAACGCACAGAACTAAACTGAGCACGACGCCGTTCACAATCAGCTCGTTCTTGCCCGCAAAACGGGCAGCGTACCTCGGCAGGGTCCATGGACACAAGCACATACACAGGTGCGTACCTTTTGCGTTGCCGGGGAATCCCAAGGCTAAGTTTCAAAATCCAAGGAAGACCAAAAGGTCGATCAACTGTTTTGCGGCTCAGTGAAATCGAAAACCAAAAAATGATGCTGAACACCCCGGGACTTGTTTCAACTGACAGGGCGACTTGTTTAGCCTCCTACATGCCTCGAAACGTGGCCTATGGGCTTAACCAATCAGCCCTGAAGAAAACTAGCAAACACTCCGAAGGGAACTCAACAGACATCGTCTGCGTATTCATATCTTCAGAAAGCCAGAATTTAAAGTTCTCGAAACCCGAAAGGGCAAAAAGGTTGCTCAAGTCCGGCAAGGGAGAAAAAACAACAATGCATAAATTGAATTAAATTTATCACAAAGTGCTTCCCCTTTCTTTGCCAGTCTGGCACCTGACTCCAAGTCATGAAGAAAACCCACACTCAGCAGAACAGGTTGATTTTGATCCGGGTGACGTCCCCTTTCCGCGGGGAGTTGATTTCTCCACGCGGCCGAGGCGGCCGAGGCGCTGGTAGACGCGCCAGGCGTATTCCGCGCCAGGCTCCAGGCCCGACACCACCGCCAGGCCCAGGCCCGGCTTGTTCCGCAGGAAGCCGTGGGCATAGGTTCCTGGGCGAAAAAAAGAAGGGGTTCATTCATTCTGGGTAGACTTAGCTTGGTTGCTGTTGACCCCTCCGCAAAAAGTTTAACTTTGTATGGGTTTAGTGGAAAACCCCTTGATTTCCCAAAAATAAGTTAAAGTCTAAAGATCCAACCCAATAGCAGTCAAGAAAAAATGGGGTTCATTCACTGGGGTCCATTCCGTACTGGCCGCTCTTGAACTTTGCACATCTCTGAACTGCATTGGGTTTCGGCACTCTGGACCTAGTCCAAGAGCTTCGCTCTTTACATTGCTGTCGACAAATCCAAGCCATGGGGGAAACCGCAGAAGCAAGACTCTAGGAACAGCCGCTGACTCTCAAAGATGCTCTCTGGGCTCAATCCATCGCCTCTAACGTTCATCGGTCAACCGCTAGCATTGACGACGATCGCCCAATCCACTTGCCAGCTGAGCCACGTGTGTGGGTCCAGCCGGTCAAGACGCATGGGTATCCGTTCCCCAGGCGGTAGGTGTAAGAGCCAGACATCGACAGGGTGGAGTCCTTCCGATCGTTGAAGTGGTTCCTGGGCGGCTCCGGGGGTTTGCCTGTGAGAGGTCTGTTTCAGTCTCTGGATCATATGGGCAAACCAAAGACTGAACATGAGCAAACGTTGGAACACAACAAACATCACGTTTGGCAACCGCCCCTTTGTCTGGTAAGCCACAGCGCTGCTGCGTGATGCCCCTACAACCTGGTCCGCCGAATGAATATTATCCCCGTGGAAATCCACATACATCAGCGCGTTGGGTCAAACCACGGGGAACTAGGAAGTCGCAAGAGTCTCTTTGTTTCAGGAAAAACTGATTCAAACGCAAACCATCTTCTAGTCTTCCTCATAAAAGGAAACATGGGACCCAATGGAATTTCAGCGGTCACCCCCCTCCCCCAAGGATGTTCGTTGCCCAAGACTCTCATCCAGCGTGGTGAGGTACTCGTCCACCGCCTCGTCTCTGCGCTTCACGCTGAGCGCTGAGAGCTGCACGTGGTGGGACCTTCGCTTCATTGGGCCGAAGATGATCAGGTAGATGCTCGGGTCCAACAACCCACTTGCCGGAAATTCAACACTGTGGTCCCTAAGAGTTTGCCTGGTCAGGGGGACAACCAACCCGTTCTATAATTCTTCGCAAAAAGAAAACAAGAACCATCATCGTTCAAGGAAACTTTTTGCGTCTGAGAATTCCGTGTGGTTGGTTTCCCTTGAACCACCATCATTCAAGAAAGCTCCGTTTTGGAGCTTAGAGTCGGAGGATTCCGCGAGTCTCTCAATGAAGGTTTTTGGGAACTGCCTTTCCACTTGTGTCACACCGCTCTTTCCCTACCCTGTGGGGAAGCAAGCAAAAACATTTCCACTTGAGTGGGCACCGTCCAAGTTCAGACTCAATTTGATAACCTTTAGCTCGGTTCCTTTCGGGGACATGTTCGGAAAGGTCTTAGAACGAGTTTCAGTTGGGTTCAGGGAAGCCATCTCCATTAAAATGAGAGGAACTCTGAAAGAGAATCTGGCATGTGCTCTGCCTTTCCATGCAAGCAAAAGCATGTCCGAACAGCTTGAGGCTTTGGCTGGATCGATAGGCTTCCCCACTTTGTGTTGTGAGCCCTCGTCACAATACTAGCGGGAACCCTGTCTTGCCACACAGCCTTGCCACACAGCCGTAACAGCCTGCCTGAATCTATGGTTCGGACATTCAAACATACGCTGTTCTGTCGGATGACTGACATCTTTGCAACCCCCAGGTTGTCAATCTCATAATGATCCATGGAACCGTTTCAGGTGTGCCTACTGCTCTTTGCATGTTCTACCCGCAACAGGCAAAGCGGCAACGTGCACTGCAAATGGTCGATGTCAGAGCTCCCCTTGAACAAATGGACCAAAAAAGGCGCCCTACTCTTGTCACACTCCCAAACAGAAAAGTTCTTGATTAGCTAAGGCCCCCCCCGAAGGCTTATTCACGGGAAAAAGAGCGCAACGGAGCCCAGTCACTGGCGTGCGAAGGTGAAAACAATCCGGCCCTTCATGTCCTCAGGGCGTTGCCGTCCCACGGCGTCAACGAGTGTCTGCTAGCTCGTTGGCTGCATGCCAAAGCCGCAAACTCCCTTCTAATAAGTTTTAGATCGGCACATGTTGGTGACTTTCAAGTTTTTCTCGACCTCACCTTGGCCGGGTTTTCAAAAGCAACGAAGGAGAATTGATCATCTGCCCGTGCTAAAGGGAATCCCCGATCACTTTTTGCACATGAGAAGCCCCACTTCCGTGTTGGGAGAACCGTGAAAGGACGGCCTTGCAGTTTGCAAAGGCCCGAATGAGCTATGGCCAAGCTCCTTCTTGTTGGCAGTGGTCATGGTTGCCTGTGGTCATGGTTCCCTGAATAGAAATCCGTAGGTTTCGGACCAAGGACCATCTGGATTTATTACTAGCAACCGCTGGGAAGAACATCTTTGATCATGGTACATATGGTTCAACACATGCCCAACGAGTCGCCGATAATGAAGACCATTGAGGTTGGGATCTACCTGGTCGCGAAGGGTTTGTAGTTGCAGAGCAAGCCCTACGCAACAGAAAGTAGAATCCCTTGCAGAACTGAATTGGCCAATTCAAGCGCTATGGTCCATCACTAATGTGCCTCATTCTTACTTAGCCTGGGGTCGCTAAGCACTCCGCATGCGGTCGATCCAATTTTGCGCGGAACATCGCAACGGGCAAGAGTCAACGCTTTAGACAAAGGACAATTGTGGCACAGACTGCGCGCCGCTGCTTTTTGATGGGGAACGCATCTGCTCAATAAGAGCTAAGTTTGTTTCGTTTTCCAAGCGCACAAAAGGACAGCAGCCTCTACAGGCGCCGGTCTGCAAGCAAGGCACGGCTTGGCTCATACCTCTCTTCCTGAGCATGGCAAAAGCACAATCAGCCCTCACAAGACTCATGTTCAAGAGTAGGACAAGGCCAACATGCGAAGCAAAGGGGGTGCTTATTCTATCCCATCCAAAAATAACTAAAACAAAAACACAACTTCTAGAAGAAGGTCTTGTTCCATTCCAATTCCAAACAGAACTAAAACCAAAACAAAATCTAAAAGGAGCTGAGCACCAGGCATGCCACTTGGAGCCAGGTATCTTTGCCGCAGCCCATCCACCTGGTGGTTTCCTTTATTCGGGGACAGCCTGGGTTGATTCATACCACATTCCGAATCGCAAGGGGCATGCCAATAGCCAGGTGTCTTTGCCGCGATGGTATTGAAAGACACCGTGGAGCCTTCCGCTATGCCGTTCACCGTGAGCCCGTTCTTGCCCGCGGCGAGGCCTGAGGTTTTGCCGGGCCCCCCTGTGGGACTTTTGGGCGGCAAACCCGGGAACACCCCCAAAGACTTGTCGGCAGTGCAGACCGTCCTTTAGAGATTTCTGGATCCTTCAAGCGTTCTGGAAGCTAAGCAAATAGAAAACCAGTGGGCTGTCTAGTAAGAAAACAAATGGCCAGGTGTGGGGCAGGATTCCCTCACACGTGGCCCTTGACAAAGTCCTACGTAGGGATAGGCGGAAGGCCGAAGGGCGAATGCGTTGGACCAGTTTGGTGACGGAAAACATTAAAGCAATCAGATTTTGAAATGAGCAACTCTCCATGAAACGATCCTTCGTCAGCTCCACCCCTAAGTTAGTTTGATTGAAATAAGTCAGAACAGGTTCGATCGGGTTGATAGCCAGCCCTATCAACCCCAACTACCTAGTGTCTTCTTGGGCCCAACCAAATGTTTCATCTAGATGGGAAACCTGAAGAAAGGACATGTCCCAAACAGAAGTATCGGGGCTCACAGTTCGCCAAGTAAAGGTTGCGATCATTTTCTTTTGGAGAATCCTGTTTGAACTCTTTCAGAGGTCCACCTTTGGATAGGGCATAACCTTCAAGTTTCTGCACGGGACCCGCGAGTCAGGGGTGGCCAAAACCTGACACCATTTCGGCCCCTCCCCGCGTGGGCTCGAAGTCCCGAAATCGGGGACCTGCCTCAATGGACAAATCAGCCTCACTTCAAAGGACTTGGACGCAGGTTTTGCAACTTGGCAGGCGATGCTTGCGAAAGGGCACCACGAGATATATGCCTACCACGATGAAACCAAAAGGATGGCACAGCTTTTAGAGATCGGGGCAACTCAACAAACTGGGCCATTTGCCAACATTGTGACGTCTCCATTGAAGTGAGGCCTTGTGGAAAAAGCTCTGGTTGCTTCCCGCTTGTCTCCAGTAAACTGTGCATTCACGTATCAACACATGTACCTGAATCGACAGCCCCAACAACACACCACACCCCGCACCCCCACAGCCCCACACCCACTTCAACCAGGCTGGGACGAGTTTGGGAATGGCTCCGTCAAGAATCCTTCGCTTTCTGGAAACTTCGCTTCCACAACTCAGATTTGTCTCCAGGGCGAGTTGAAACCACACCGAAACCACGATCCCTCGCCGCCGAACCCCATCCCCATCCCACAAGCCCCCCCCCAACCCCGTCATTCAGGCCCTCCCCATTCGAGCTGCGATAAAAAAAACAAACACCAACCACTCCTTCCAACTCGTAAACCTCCAAACCATTTCTCGTGGTTGTTCTCCGCGGCGCTGGCAGACTGGTAGATGCGCCACACGTACTCCGCCCCCGGCTCCAGGCCGACGACCACGGCCAGCGCGTTCCCGCGCTTGGCCCGCAGAAAGCCCCGCGCATAGGTCCGGGTGTGGGTCCACCCAGAGAGCCCACAGAGGTGGCCGCTTCCCAAACCTGAGGAGCGAATCAAAAGCGCTGCAAAGTACCTCGCAGGAACCCTTTTTTGCCAACGACAACATGTGTTTTGCTCTTTTTTAAAAGAAGAAGCACGAACTCCTCAGCTTCAGAGCCCAAACAAGGATGTTCAAATCCATATTTAGTGAACCTGAAACTGCAAAATGATGTTGAAAGAGGGAGCGATCCACTGTCCCAAAACCAGGAAGGCACCAGTGCCAGGAAAGTCAACCTTCAAGCAGAGTCAACTCCGACAGAATTATAAATTGTCTGATCTCAAGTTCCGGGACAAGCAGTATTCTGAAATGTCCTTTGGATCTGCATCTGGCTTGCAGAACATAGAACAACGCCCTGACAGCTGGCGTTTGCTCTACTTGCTTCGGGGCCCTCAAAAAGCAACCCAGCCTGGACATCTCAAAGCTGGCACCTCACATTGATCAACCACTGGTCGGTTGCTGAATTGGAGAGGGGGTCCGCATCACTTCGAAAAACTCCCCCCCCCCGTTCCACACCAGGTTGTGGGAAATTGAGTCCGGCCTCCCAAAAACTTGCGACCCCATCGTTAAGAGGGGATTCCCAAAAGTATCACAGTGCTTGGAGAAACCCCATCAACCACACCCATGAATCGGACCAAAAGGTGGAGAAGCGCGGCCAAGAAGCGGTAGAAGTACGTCTTCTTCACGCTCAGCTGCTTGTTGCCACCTAGCCACGGGCGGGTGGCAGGTGTCTCCGATCCAAGTCAAACACACTCCGAGCATGCGTCAGGTTGCAAATACTAGGGGCCCTTTTCGGAAACCAGGCGACATTCGGTGCCTTTTAAAGGGTTCTAAGAAGGCCACCGTACGGGTCCATCATCTTTTGCCCCACTTCCTCCTGAGTGGATGCCAACCCCCTTTATTCCCCCAGAAGCTGACAGATCAGAAACAGAAAAGCTCAGCTGCTAGACACTAGGCTCAGCGAATCAAAGACCTGGGGTCACATTGCCAATCGCTGCTTTCAAGCATTGGCATGACGCTTCAACTCAAGTCCGGGTTGCCAAAATGACCCCGACCCAGCACTTTTCAAGAGAACTGCACGTATATACAAATCAATACGTCAGTATGATTCCCTCGTGCGCGCAAGCAGCACCTCGGATGCAAAATAAATTCCGGCTGCCAGGCCACGATTGTTGAAGTTCGTCTCTGCCCAAGAGGTGAGGTACTCGGCATCAGCCTGCATGCTTCGCAAACATCTCATGCAGTGATGCATAGACAAGAGCCCAGCGGCCAAATACCTTCAACGACAACGGCTGTCAATACTCATAATGTGGGTCTATCTCAAAAAAATCGAACCCATGGACGGTGTTCCTTTGGTTTCCCTGTAACGCAACCCACAAGGTATCCTGAAAAAACATCCGTGTGTCGCCAAAGTGAAGACACCTCCAAGTGGTTGGTGTCATGTGAGCTTCCCACAGAAAGAAATAAGAGTTTTCCACAGTTGCGACACACTCCTCGACCAAATTGCTCCTCAGGCTTTGGCCGACATCCATAGACCATACGTAAACATGAAGAAAGTTCGGTATGGCTTTGCTGATCAAGTGCTTGAAGGCCATTTTCTCGGCACCGAGCCACCCTTAGAGCTTTCGAACAAGCTGCGAAAAGGATCAGGACAGGACCCCTTTATGGGCGCTTGCCGCGTGGTTTGTCTTTGCTTCCTTTGCATTTCCCTGAAACAACTAACAAGAGGGAGGGTCTTTTACCAAATCGAGCACTCCGAGGAAGGATGCAATGCCGTTGCATGCAGGCTGCTTGCATCATCCCTGGCACCAGGGTGGATTTGCTAATCCATTCAGGAACTGTTTCATAATAACTGTGTGACTGTGTGTGTGTGTGTTTTCCTTGTGTGTGCACCGTCACAAATGGTTGCTGACTTGGACGATTGAAACCAACATCGAACCAACCTGGGAAGATGGAAACTCGCCTGCGCGCCGATGTTCCATCTCTGGCGACCGCTGTCATCGTCCTGGTTTTTCAGCAGCACCACACGCCATTTGCTCGGCAGAACACAAAGCAAAAGGGCATGCAGAAAGCTTGGTTGACGTTGGGTTTGATTCTCCTTCGAGCTGCGGGTGGTCGAACAATCACATTGAACCAATCGTAAGGTTACGGTGCATTGGGGTTCTTCGTTTTGGCGGAGACCAGTGACTTAAGTTGTCAATCACAAGCGGGTCTAGATGGAAGCAAACCAATCTTTAGCACGTGGCATCTTGATAGCGCCGACGTTGGGGTCGCTTATATCACAGGTGCTAGGCATCCCTCTCTTGCCCGTATTGGCCTGTCGGTTTCCATTTTCTTTATGGTGCTTGGTAGCCAGTTGTCAGGTCAAACATGGCGGTCGGTGGGGGTTGGCCATGTGTGCGGTCCCCGAATGACATGTGCCATTGGATAATGAGATTTTGGCCATGCTGGAGACATGGGTCTGCTCCCAATGTTCACAGAATGCGCCCATTGCCTGCACCAGCGGTCCACTTGACGCCCAACCAGGTTTTGTGACTTGGATCAAGCAGGTCCTGCACAATTGCAAATGAAGGAACCGCAAGAATCCCGTCGGATTTCAACATCGCAGAAGGCAGATAATTGAGAGCACCTGCTTCGGATGAGTTGACCGTTGAGCAGCCGGAATGATGAGTAAGCCGGAAATGTCACATCTGTTCTGAAGCAAGGCCAATCAACACCATGCAAAACCAAATAGAACACGCCAGGCAACCCGAACAAAAAAGAAATTAATTGAAACACAAGACCGGAACAAGCCAACCAAACCAAGCCAAACTGGCTAAACCGACCAAACGAAACCAAACAAAGCAACCAAGAAACAACCAACAACGGACAAACTGGCAAAAAAACCGACAGACAGGCAGACAGACGGACAGACTGACAGACAGGCAGACAGACATGCAGACAGACAAACGGACAAACGCACAGGCAAGCAAACATACAGACATCAAACACTCCATGCAAATCAGTAGAGGCATGAAAGCGCGCAGCAAAGGATGATCTTGACATAAGTCGAAGTGTAGGCTATCAGCCGAGCATCCTTCGTCCACAAAGCGACCTTGGTGCCACCTTGGATCGCAACGAGGACACCGCATGCAGCATGCATACGTGATTCCTGTGTGATACTTTGTCTGCACATGTCCGTTGAATGACCTGATGGCCCTGACATAATCAATCAAGCACATGACCAATCAACCGATGGACGAATCAAACAACACCAAGGAGTCAGCTAACAAACAGGCCAACATGAGATCAGCCATCCCACACAAGCTGCAAACCGCACAAGCGCACATATAAACAAACAAACATGTTCTTTCCTGCAGTATCTCCGCGTAAAATACCTCAGCGTCACCTACAAAAAAACAACAACCTGTCTTTAGATAGAACCGTATGAACAGCAACAATGTTTTACCTACCATCCAACGAGATCTAGGAATCTGGGCAAGTCACTGTGATTCGAAAACCTGAAATAAGAGACCCGGGAAAAAAGGACCCGTCATCACGCGTCGGATCGCTTTACCCAGGTCAGCTCATGTTATGATCTAACCGGAGATATCCCCAAATAATCCACATTTCATCATGTGACTTGATTCTGGCCCACATGTCATTCAAACTTCTGAACAATAACATCAAGCTTATCTCAACATCCCAGATGTCTGGGTGTTACATAGGGAGTTCGAAAATTAAAAAAAAACAAAACAGAGTTACATTTTGGCCTCCTTCCGGGAAACACAAAGCAGTCTGGGCGATCTTGCACCCATGTGACATGGCCAGACTCATCGCAAAAAGGTGTCTCCACCTTGGACTTAGACCCTTGTAAGCTTTGTCAAAATGAACCTTATGACACAAAAGCACATTCCCCATCCGCTGCTATTGCCCTTTTGGGACGATTCAACAACCACAATTGGCGATTTAGCGCACCCAGGTGTGGCCAAACGAACCATGCGACCTTCTGAAGCTTATAAACCATCAACTACCTTTTCTCCTCCCAATAAATGGATTTCGGTTCTCAATTTGGGAGTACCCGGATGAAAAACAACGAGACAAACAACATGACACACCTAGTTCCCAGCATCCAATGAACCTCAGCTATGGAGCCGAGGTGCCTGTGTTGGTGCTCAACAGCCGGCGCTTGCCCCGTACACCTCCGAGCACCGAGATCTGGTAGGCCGTGCCAAAGGGGCGGATCTTCCAGCGCTGGCGCCCGCTACGGTCGTCCCTGTCGTGCAGAAAGACCTGGCGTGGGCACCAAAACGGGAAAAGAATCAGCACACAACCTGAGGCAACTAAGCAACAAATATAAAGGAAGTGGACCGGGGAAGCTTCTAGGCTGGCGCCTTTTGTGGGGAGCTTCCATGTGAGGCCCAAAGTTTGGCCTCCGAGTGGAGCGTTGCCACATAGACTGTGCAACCCCTGGTTGGTGGAAGATAGGTTTTGGTGACCATTTTGGAGCCTGCATGGGAACATCCCAAACAGCAAGAGCATCAGTCCCGACCGCCAGCCATTGAACAAACAGGACAAAAGGTTGGACCAAGCCCTTCAACACAGGCTGGAATCTGAAAAGGCAATGGCTGGTGCCTCGCGCTTGGAAAGACAGCACCATCACCGGCCCAAGCCTCTGGATTTCCCAACGGAAACACGGGCGATGTATCGGTAGCTACTGGGAACGCCTTTCCCTACGAAGAAGCTGGCAGAAATAGAGCTCTGTGGAGGCGAGGCCGCGAGGCCGGACGTTTGCATACGGTCGATATTGATATTGTAAGTGAGGGCGGGGTGCCACAAGCATGACACTTCACGTGGGGAGTCTCCTTGGCGGGCCACGATTTCGCCAACCAAGTCTGTTCCGGACTGGGCAAACGGCACCACAATTTGATCATTGGAGTCAAGATCAAACTAATCATCCAAAACCGTTGAGCCATAGAGCCAGTCAAAATGCATGGCCTTTCATTATCCTAGCCCCTGACAGGCACGAAGAGTCATTGTGAGGCTGCTATCGATGCCTGAATCGATCCAGTGTTGCAAGATTGCAAGTAAACGAGTAAACCAACCACGTTGAACACTAAAACCATGGGAAATCACAAATTCTCACTCTGGGGATGTTTCCTTGTTCGCTAAGATGCAATACAGGCATATCCCCCAACTTTTCAGTCCAGGCCTTCTTCCCGTATTTGGAGGAGCTCAGGTAGGTCTTCCTTTTTGTGGTCCCCCCGAGGACCCGGATGTAATACCAGTTGCCTTTGCCTCAGTGCGGTCATGGGAAACACTCCGCCGTTCGGTCAATCAGTTGCAAACATGTCTCTTGTATTATTGCATATTTATGTGGCTCACATATGGCTTGTCATTTGCTTCTTAATGAATATCACTTGTTTAGTCGCTATATTCTGATAATATTCACACATACCAACAATTGCCATCCACTGCAAAAACAAAAGCAACCAGCACAAGGGTGGCGTCATGATCGCATGCTGAATTTCCCCCCCTCCGCAAGAGTCCCAACTTCAGACGTGTGGAGCCGCTTTCAAGAACTAAGTGAAAGGACACCTTCCTCACATAAAGCCCGGGCTTCAGCATTCACACAAGAAGCAAAGAAACGAGGTGCTGTTGGCTCCCCAAATTCACACCAAGAGATCTTGACCAACCTGGCTCTCTGAGAAAAAAAAGAGAGTTAGCATTCTCGAAGTCACAGCCACGTTGTAGATTCTATTGAACGCTGACCAGCCTTAAACCACCCAACTCATGGTCCCAAAGAGCTCAACCAGCCACCCACATGGGTGTTTGGACAAGGATGTGAGGTGTCCTGCCAGGATATGCCCGGCAACTGCTTGGCAAAAGCCCCAAACCGAGGCCTTCCAATGGCTGTGGGCCAACCCCTGGTGAACATGAAAATAGGTGGTACATGGGTGTTCATCCTTATGACCCATGGCCAAATCTCAGGTCCTCATTGACCGCGCTCGAAAAGATTCTCATGGACCCCGCCCCCCCAACCCTCCCCCCCCTTGGGTTTCCTCACCCAGAGGCTCCTGGCTTCGGCTTTCAATGAAGACCCGACCCCTCCAGACACCCCGCTTCGGTGTTTGGGACCCGGTCTCAAAACCCGGTCTTTTTTGAGGGCCCTAAATGGTTGTGGGTCAAAAGTGGGTACCCACAATGGAACCCTGGTAAATGGAAACATGGACTAAAACAAGCGGTCCAATTCCTGGTGGTATAATTTTGACTCATACCCAAATACATCGGGAGCCTTTGGGCAAGAAAAACGGCTCCGGCGCCAGAGTCCAGGCGGCCCTTGGAGATCACCCAGCGCTGCCGGCCGCTGAGATCGTCCTGGCTGAAAGCCGAATTCCCAGGGGCGTGAGTCGCACAGGCCGCAAACGACATGCCACCCGTATCAAGAATGAAGTCATAAAAAAAAAAAACAAAAACATGCAATGCCCAAAAGGGGCACAGGTTGTAAGTGGGCTTATTGCTTCGGGTATCTATTATTTGATATTATTCGATACCCAACATGGCGGCTGTTTGGAAGGCAAACCATAGGTAAACCACCACCTTGCTTTGTTCCTGCTTGTTTCTTTCTTTCGAGTGCAAGCCCATGGCGCCTCTCATGACTCCCCCCGGCTCCCGCGCTTGGTGACTCAAGGACCCGAGTTCGACGAACCGAAGGCTTCAAGGCCTGGGGCTTCAGCATCAGCCCATTGCCCTTCACCCAGCTATGGAGGAAGGACCTGCCCACGGCAGCACCGCTGAAGCTGCGCAGGTGCACGAAGGCCTGCGATGCTGGCAAGTCCGAAGACCAGCTTTTCCAGATGGGCCCAGTTGCATGGGGGCCAAGCCCTTTGAAGATGTGTCAACCACGACAGCTTGAACAATAATTCAATATGTTGTTGTTTGCCTTTAAGGGGAACCAGGGTATTGTGATTGAAAAAACGTCCTGCCCCCTGGTTCCATGCGAGGAACGGAAGCTCCGTAAAATCAACATCACACTGGGATGTTGCATGATGCCTTTCCGAACTCAGCGGGCTCATGTACTCCGGGCTGCCCTCAGATTCCCTGCTAAAAGTGACAAACTCTTAGTGGGTTAAATGGAAACTACCACTAAACCCACAAAGAAACACTAAAACGCTCAGGAACCCGATGGCTGGGAGCCCACCAAATGTTTTTACATCTCACCAGGCCATGGACAATGGACCTGTCAGAATTCCGCGCCCCTCATACTCTCTTTCCATGGGCCAAACTTGGCACGAGGCGAGAAGCTTGCGGTTGACACCGCAAAAATAAATGCAGGGAGTAAGGAAAACAGCGCGTTTTTCCATGCTGTGCGGTGAGTTTGCTTCTCACATTGAGTCAAGCAACCACATTTTTGTGGGAGAGGGGGAATTAAACTTTCAAGTAGGGGAAGTGGGTGTAAAGTTCCCTTCCCTTGAAAGAGGACATGAGTCCCAATCAAAACCCGGTACAAAAATGGTGAACCCAGAGCCATGTAAAGAATTAAGAAGGCGGCCGCAGCTATTTCGGGTTGGGATCTTCCCTTACTAACCTTCATCTACCCGGGTTTTGATTGTGGCTCACATGGGGTAGGGATATTTGGATTCCGATACCCCAGCAACCCATTGTCCAGTGTGAAAACACACTGAGGGTCCGGGCGGCTTGACACCTGCAAGTTGACTGGGCAAATTTACAGGCATTCTCGCCTTGTCGTTTTAGGCGCCCTGTTTGGGTTTACTAAGGGAACTGTGAAGGAAACGAACGGCTTCACTAAAGATCCATCATTTTGACATATGCTCAATTAGCTGACTATGGAGAACACCACAGGCAACATACGTTCATCATTCATTAGTACCCCAAAGCCAATGCGGGATTGCCCTGGCAAGCTTCATTTGCCACCTCCCCCGCCACAAGTTCAGCAGAACAATTGAAGACTTCATGCTCCTTTCGTAACCAACCGGACGGCAAAGCGCAGCCAGCGCCTTGCCCAAGCCGGCGCCACTCCAAGATCGCGTCTGCCCGGCGTTGTTGGCTTTGCAGTCCAGGGTTTTGTAGCACCTGACGGCCGGGCGCGTGGAGTCGCCAGATATATCGCAAGGGAACAGACAATGCTCTGTGATTCGCCTTGGCTTGCGGTTGTTTGGCTTGCAATAATTACTGTTTGTTTCCGGACTGTACCCCTGCGAAGTATCAAATGGCCTCAAGGCCCATCATCTTGCGCGTTTCTCAGGACTGGCTGAATGAGCCTATTACAAAGTCTTAGTGATGGGGAGTGAGTCTCAGACTTTGACCCCTTTGGCTCCAAGTACCCCTCTGATTTCAGCGGACCTGACTGTGCATACCTGCTTCACCTCGAGACAGCCCAACTCAGAACCTAAGCGGATGGATGTGGCCAGTCTTAGTGTCAAGTGGAGATGAGCTCTTGGCAAAAGGGCTTCTGAACAAGCTCCCAAGAGCACATAGGACAAATCCCGGTAGATCCGAATGTACCCAAAAGGAAGAACACTATGATCTGCCCGTATCTATGGTAATAGTGGTTGGGAAGGATCCCTAGCTTCCAAGTACGTCTTGATGTTTCTCGCGGTTCGATCCAACTTGGTGGGTTCAGGCAAATATGAAAGCAACCACCCATGGTCCGCGGAAAACTCTGAAAGAAGTCCGTGGAAACTAGTTAACCAAGTTTGTATGGTGTGTCTGTTGTTGTTGGTTTTAATTGAAGGGACACCAACAGGACAACCACATGTTCATGTTATTCTATGATAGTGAACTCTCATGTCTCTTTCTTTGGGTGTTCCCTACAAAAAGACACGCCCCTCTGTTGCAAGTCGTGAGTGGCCGTCTTCTGCGTGCCACGAGGGACACATCACATATGGCCCGCTGTGGGCCCCCAGCCTGTAGCCGGCATCCATCCACACGGAGACGAAGGTGGTCTGAGGATCTCGTGCAAGGCACAGGGACCATGCCGTCTTCACCCAGGCCTAGCGCGAGACTCGAAGACAGGAGACATTCATACCGTGGATGGACGAAATCCTGCACCACTTTGAAAACAACCGAAAACCATTGTTGGTTGGTATTTACAGGGGAATCGTCATTCCAGGGCTTCTTAGGTGCAGGATTTCAGACATGGAACACTTCAGAGAAAATCTACAATCAGCTTATACCTGTGGCTGTGTGTGTGTGCGCCAAATTTCTTGTGGAAGCTCCTCTAACTGGTTTCCTAGAGGCATGGAAAGGGCGCTCCGAAAAGAAAAGGGAACACTGGCTTGTTTCGTTTTGACCTGTCTTGTGAACGTCATCCAAAAAAGGGCGGAGACCCTCAACAGCGTCGTCGATTTTGCTTGACCAGACCGACGGGGCGGTGTTTGCTAAACGCTAATGTGATCTAGATCCAAGGACAAACAACTTGTTGCTTCCGTAGTTCCGCCTCAATGGTAATCGCGAAAATGAAGATAAGACAAGCAGTAAGCCAAACGCGTTGAGATGGTTGAGTCTGGTTGAGTCCAATAATTCAGTTTGAAACAGTAAGGCATCGACTCAGGATGTAAGTCGCTTCTCAGCCAAAGCTTTCCGAGGAAAGAACCACTCCCTGTGTTTGGTCGAATGTCAAGGAAAACTTATTGAAGCTGCTGTCTCACTGGACCAGTGGCCTAAAGAAAACAATGACGAAAAAGGATTAACTAGGGTGCTCCGGAGGAATGGAGCGCTTGCATTTGGTAAATTCCAGGCATACAACAAACAGCAAATACCCAAGACAAAAATGTGCGTTGCTTTCAGCTTCTCGGTCCTGCCTTGTACTGAGCCGTCTCAAAGCCTTTCTTCCCAAACTTGCTTTCGGCCATCGCCCACGCTGCGGAGCTATAGATCTGACCTCAAGCAAAGCCCATCATTGGCAGAAACAAGTGCTCTTCGAAACATGTCCCGACTGCTGGATAGGAATCGGTAGAAATGTTTGATTTTGGGATAGTCAGGATTGGGCTAAAAGAAGCACAACTATGGGCCTCTTTCAGCGTTTCAGGTACAGAAAAGCCCTGAAGAAGTGTCTTCAAACGAACGGAACAGCACAAAGGCTCACCTTCATCTATCCACAGGCGTCACGAAAGGATTTCCCCAACTCAGCCGTTTCATGTTCTTTTAAGGATCGCCGCTGATTCCCAACAAAAGCAGACATGGAGGAACCCAGGACCCAGCGACTCAAGGCCCCGGCCATTAGCACAGTGCCCGTTGCCCACGAACTGTTCGCTGGCCCTCGCCCGGCAACTCGTGTCGTCCCCGTAGGAGAAGAAAGTGCCGTGCTTGGAGTAGATTTGCCACTGGTCTTTCTGGCCTGAAGGGCGGGTCTGGGGGGGAGGTTGGGGGTGGGGTGGGGGGTGGGTGGGGGGGGGGGTGAGCCCTTGAATTCCAGATAGATGAGTGATTTTTCCTTTGCAGGGACTGGATAAGTGGCTTTCCGAAAGACCAAAGGGAACTTCTGACAGAAGGTTGACATCTGCCACCGGTCTGTCTGGGGCGAATCGATTGCGAGTGGATTGGTTGATAAGAAGTCCGGACGGTTGGTCTACCAAATGGCCTGTTAAACGTCCAACTTGGGAAGTGAGACAGGGAACGAGATGCTTTAGCTTTGAAAAACCAGGACCCGCCCTACATTTGGAGACAACTCCAAACTTTATCAACCTGGGTGTTTGCCTTTGAAGCTGACAAAGAGCAACTTGGCATTTCAACGCAAAAGCGGCTTTCCGGCCTGGCAGTTTTTCGGGGCACACAGGGTTCAGTGCCAGTGGTTCAACCCATGTGCTCAAGTTGCTTGTCAAAGCGAAGCCACAAAGGCTGTAGAATTCCTGTAATGTCTTTGAAGGGCTTGCCCAAACGCCCCTATTTGTCGGACCGTGGCAGACACCCCATATTTCTCATTGGCGTGACGGAAGTTGGCACTAGGAAAGTTTCAGCCACGAGGATGTGTCCCTTTGCGAGGGTATTCCTTTGTTGTAAAGGAAAACCAAAAGGAACACCACCCAGTTGTGGGATCCCCCCGCAAAAACAGACATTCACAAAACCCAACCCAGTGGCCCTCTGGCAACGGCAGTGTCCAACTCAACTAAAAAATGGGACATGTGGCCTTTTGGGAGGGAGGACACACCCAGTTGGGATTGGATGTTTTGTCGAGGGGAATCTCACAGGGAACCTCCGCGTGCAGTCTCAGCGCCTGCGTCGCTCAGACTTGGGGAGCTCACATTTTTTTGGTGGCTTCGCAAGTTTTTCTGGGTGGTCTTTTGTTAGGGGACCCCCCAAAATGGCGGTTGCCCTTTACGTTTCCTTTAAAACCCTACCAAATCAGGGTTCAAAAAAGACACACCCAACTCCCTCGCTCCCCCGTGTACAGCTCCACATCTTTTCTGCGCACCTCGCATCTGCGCAACTCGCCCCAGGCCTGTGATAGGGGCATCGCAGGTGCTGGAGGTGGCACAGAGCGCCGGCTCCTTGTCCTTCGCCAGGAATTGGAAGTAGGGGTGGTTCGCCGTCAGGGCTTTCATCTGGCAGTCCTCAGAGATGCGCACGCACATCTTTGGTACATGTTTGCCCCCCCCCTCTTGGATTCTGCGGGGCTGTGAATCCTCAGGTTGGCACATGGGCCCCCTCCAGAAGATTTCGCGGGGTCGTGGAGCCCACAAAAAGATACTGGGCACACGGGCACACCAATCATCTTTGGCATATGGGCCCGGCCCCCCCTCTGTAAAGAATTTAGCGGGTCGTGGAGCCCAAAAAACGGTGCCACCTGCAAAGGGGGTGGCCTTGGCAGCAGAAAGTGACCAAAAACCTTACAGTTTCAGACCCGGGTGTATTGACCCATCACTTTGAATGGGCAAAGGGACATAGGGCAGGTGACACGCAACATCTTACTTGTCTGGATGATCCAGAAATGACATCTTCACAGTGCAAAGCCCTTGAAAAAAACTGGTTGCCGGAATCAGACACATCATAAGGTCGGTTTAACTTCCTGCCACCGCAATTTGCTGTTTGAGCCAAAGGGCAAAAGTCGGTTAAGCTCGGCAACGGTAGGTACAAGCTGTTACAAGCTGAGAGCTCTAGAGGCCACAGAACGCTTGGAAGAGAGTCACCACGACAAGGGGGCACAGGGTCTTCGGATGGCCACGGTGCTCTCTCCCTGCGCAACAATTATTCAGCTACCCCGGACAGACCAATATTCGCAGGCGAATCAGCAGCTCCCCAAGCCGAGATCGCCTATGTCCGCAAGGCAAACACACAAGCCCAAAAGAACAACAAACAAAAAGAGAGCCAACCGTTGAGTGCTTGTTCCTAGGCAAATCGGATTGGGTCGTTTTATCTCTTGACGTGAGACAAGAGAGCAGTCCACCTCGGCTCCCGGGTCTTTGCCACGTGTGGGCCTTTGGCACTAAAAAATCCTTTGATGGTAAGGAATGATGCTGTTTGGCACATACTGACACCGTACCTAAAACAAGCCAGGTCGTGCAAGAAGCAAACTTGCCCCGAAAAACCCGCCTCCTCCAAAGGCTGCTCTCCCTAATAAGGGCTTCCGCATGAGATTGTTACAGGGCATTGCGGGGATCCTGTTTTGCCGTGACTTGAGTGCGGCACGGAGCCGTTGGACCCCACCAGCTTGGTTCTGTCCAGAACTTGGTGGGAAGTTGCAGCTTGAGGTTGGTGCGGCTGGCAGGCGCACTGCTGCTGGCCTACACATGCACTCTCACCTTCCGAGTTGGACGCCTTGTCCTGCATTGGCAGGACCGCAAACACATCCACAAAGTCCCCTGACCACCTAAAGTCAAGCACATACTGTGGTTCGGACGAAATCTGCATAGCGCGTGGCAAAATTTGTGATTTTTGCACGAAACTTGGGTTTGAACAACGAAACCGATTTGGAAGCTTGCGGGACACGTGCAGAACTGAAAAGAAAGTCTTAAGAAAGCCCCCTGCGGGCGCACCCGTTGTAGGGTAAACATATATATATATACTAGAGTAGAGAATAGAGGTTTAGGGTTTAGGGTTTAGACCGTCTAACAAACCCTGGAAGGATGATTCCCCTGCAAATTCCAAACACTGGCTTGAACCATGGTTTCCTTTAGTGGTGCCAAATGGATTTCGCAACCAACCACAAACAGTAAGAAGCTCATGCTTGTTGTGAACATTTGTTTTCAACATCAGACACACTTCGAGTCGCGATTCCTCCAGCGCCTAAAACTCGCGCAGCCCCCGACTCCCCGACTCCCCCGACTGCCCCGGGCTCGCCGGGCGTCCGACTTGTCCGCCACCTGCGACGTCGCCGCCGCGAGAGCGCCGCACTTGGCGTTGAGCCCACCGAAGGGCTGCCAGGGCTCCGCGTCCAAGTAGATCTCGTTGAGCGAAAGGAGAGCAGGGAGCTAAAAGCCGTTGCTTCAAGCAGCTGCTTGAATTTCCATATATGGTGATAAAGTTATAATGTATATATATATATATTATATATGTATATGTTGGAGGGTATTGGTTGGAAGGGGGAACCAAAGGAAAGCAACCCATTTTAAGGCTTCCCCAGGTTAAAACACCCTCCTGTGCAAAAATATGGCCGGTTCCTTTGACGCAAAAGCATGCGGGCCGCATGTGTCCAGGGGATCCCCAGAAGCGTCCGTGTTTGACAAAGCCCATAGGGTTTTGCCCTTCCCCCCAAGTGCGTCTTCCTCTTGAGTCCCTTTAAAGAAAACCCACCAAAAAGGGGTGCCAATGAAAGACACATCCATGGAAACACCGTCGTTCAATCAAGAACCTGTTGGGTGTCCTTTGACGCAGGCACAGGGAGGGGTCAGGAGTTCCCCCGTTTGAACATGTGTCTTGTCGCCGTTCCCCTCGTGGTTTATCGTGGAAGGGCAAACACCACGGTTGCAAACAAGTGTTACAGCAGTGCCCCTTCTGTCCTTCAAAGGGGGCCATGAACCACAAATGAGGGAAAGTGTGTCCTTGGAGAAAACCTACCACGCAGGTGTCAGAAGAAGCTGCTGTCACAAAAAGTGGGCTTTGTTTTAGCCACTTGAACTTGCTTTTTGAATGGCTTCCCTTCGAAGCGGACCAGGGACTTCTTGAATTTTCAGGTTTGCCACTTTCTAGGTAGAAGATTGGGATGGGGATCAGACTAAGGAAAGTACAGCTAGAACCAGCCCCAATTGCGGCTTAGACCCCCCAAGGGAAGTAGACACCGTCCCCCTATATCCAATACCATCACCTCCGCGTCCCAAGCCGCAGCTTTCTTCCAGCCGAAAGTATCCGCCCCGACCCTCCGCATCCCAAAGCATCTTCTCGCGAATCGATCGAATCGCCTTCCAGGTGGTGCCCTGCCAGGTTGGCACAAAGTCCCCTGCAAGGCGAACCTTGGACTTGGGCTTGGTACCTCGGATAAGAAGCGGACGGGTTCCAATGAAAAGCGCGACGGTGAATGAAGCGTGGGTTCTCTGCTTCTTCTGGGGCAACAGAAAACACGTTTGGGGGGTCAATTGCATTGGTGAGTGGTGTTTGTGTTGTACGTATGTTTGCTTGCTGCGTGCTTGTTTCTTGGTTGGTTGGCTGATTGGCTGCTTGGCTGATGTTGTTGCTTTTGCATTTGAAGTGTGTAAGCCATGTTTTTGTATGTTGTGTTTTCGTCATTTGCTGTTCGCTCCTGTGTTGTGCTGCTGTTTGGCAACACACAACATGATGTTGGGTGCGGTAGGCTAAACACTGCACGGGAAACTGAAGAATGGAAAGTTGAGGGCCAAAGCAAAACCGAGTTGGAGCTGAAAGCGCGGTCCAAACGAAGCAGGTATGCTTCCAGTAGCTTCCCATATCAAGGAGATCTTTGATTCTTTTGAGAATCCACCCATTGAGGAACAAGCCAAGCTTGTCCTATCTCCACCCTTGACTCCGCTTCCTTCCGGGCAAGATTATGTTGACCCTCGATGAATGCAACCACACGCGCACACACACACACACACCTTGTTCTTCTTGAGGGGGCTTCCATTCTGGTAAGCATCCCCTGAAAACCCAAGGCAACACCCCGCAACTGCACAGCTCGCTCATCAGTGGTAAACATCCCAAAGCTCCAAGTGTTCATGGGACCGAGATCGAGCTCCTTATTTTGGTCCAGTCCTTGATTTTATTCAAAAGCAGAAGGCCAGGCAGTGCTGGAGGTAAGTTGAAGCCAGGAAGCCGTACTTCAGAGTGGTGCCAGCAGAGCAGTCGGACCCGGGTAGGCTTGGGTCTGACGGGGGCTTGTTGCTGAAGAGGATGTAGTAGGTGCCCCCGTTCGACTCCTTCCTTTGCCCAGTGGCTTTCGGAAACGGGACAGATGTCCGATGTTGGATGTGAAGGGACGCCCAGGAATCGAAACGCGCAAAGATACACAAACATACACATGCATCATTTCGTGGAAACACACAAAAATACAAAACATACACGTACATGCATCCGCATCATTTCCAATGGACACATAATGACAGTGCGAATAGACCAGGCTTCTCTTTCAGCGTGAGGGCCGCGAACTTCATGCCCTGGACCTGCCAGAAATCACATATCACGCCGAAGAAAGGTCGGGTTGGGTGGAACACCAGGCCTGTCTTTCTGGGTATTACCTCGGGCCCGCGGGAACACTCTGGAGGAATACCCTGGGACGCCCATGCCGTCTTTGATACCAAACTGGGCTGTCCCCATGGCTAGTTTCCTTTTTGATCACTTGCGGGGGTCTGCTCGGTATCACAGAAAGTGGGCCTAAAGCGCTGATGGGCAAAATCCATTCAATATTGCCCTTGTCATCTCACATCGCCCGGTAAAACCACAGATATGCCTGAAGGCAAGAAATACCTCTCTTGCGCTTCTGAACACGAACGTTGAAACAAATAGTTGATCCCTATGAAGAACAACCATCAACCTTGTCGTTTCTACAGTGACGCACTGACTCGGAGATGCAATTCAGATTTTGCAACTATCCCAGCCAGTCCGTGGTTGCTGCCAAGTGCGCAAGGGTGTTCAAAGGCAGAAAACCGTACACAGACCATCTGGTCCCAGCCGTAAGGACTCACCGTGAGAGTCTCAGGCGCGCCTTCTTGCCATAGAGCCCCGCGCGATTGTTCGCCCAGACCTGGGCCAAGGAATTCGGCGCACTGGCGAAAGGAAATCCTGCATGTCCTGGGTGCTCACTATTGGGCTGGACAAGTGGACACAAGCCTGACAACACTCTCTTGTTGGCTTCCTAGTGGACAAACATTTGCCCATTTTGGGGCTGTTTAACAGCCAGCTCCCCTGGAGTGCGGTAAACCAGCATTCTGCGCGCGAGCAAGGCGCAAGTTGCCAATGCTGGATGGAGCTGCGCGGCTGACTTTCAAGACTGTGAAAGCAGGCCCGGTTTGCCCCTAACACAACCGTACGCAAAGCGCAACTTTCCAACTCTTCGGGGACCCGCACCCAAGGCCCACAAACGCCACCTATAGCCATTGCTGACATCCGGGTTCATCACCTCTCCATATCCCAAAGGGTTTTCACCCATTCGCTCCCCGGCCAAGAGGCCTCCTCCACACTTGCGGCGAACTTCTTGGGATACTTCTCCGGCCAAACAAACCCAGTGGGGATGGCGTTCCCCGGGACCCCCAGGCAGGTCGGCAACTGCGCGCTGGCGAACAAGTACATGCCTCGGCTCGAGCCGTGCCGCGCCGGGCTCGTGGGCTCCCTCCACACCTTTTTGGAGTGGGCAACTCAGGTGGGACCTCCTTCAATATCTGGGGCCTTTGTCGTGGATAGCTGCTTTCCTAGCTGAGGAACCTGTGATTTTTGGGGTCCGCTTTTTGTAACAACTTTTCGTTTCAAGCCAACTGGCTGAAAAAAACACGAAAGACATGCAGGCCTTCTGGCTTTGGAAAGATACAAGAGCAAAGCCGATCCAGAGAACATTTTTTTTTATATAACCCCCGTGAAATACAACAAGGCCAACAAGTCACAGAAAGGGATAGCCAATTTAATGCTGGGTGGAGATGGAGGTGAGATTCCAAGGACTTAGGTCTAAAAACAAAAAATGGTCCGTCTAACCCCTCCCAGCTCAGAGGCTAAAGGCTTAAAAGCCCCCCCCCAAAAAAAAAGAAGAATGCTTGACATATCTTTGACCTGAAGAGGAGTAAATGCTCCCTCCCTATAAAAAAAAAAAGAAGTCCAACACCACCCAAAAGCACCGAGATCCTTCACCAAAGTGCCAGAGTAGTTGTCGATGATATGCTTTCCAGCGTCCAGGATCTTCCAGTAGATTCGCACCTGCCCATCAGAAAAGACCATGTCAATGTTTCTCGGTTGCTTTCTGCTCCCCTGCTAAAAGTTTAACTGTTGGTGGTTGAATGGAAAACCCATTGGTTGGCAAAAAGTTAGAGTCCTAACATCCAAGCAAAATGCAACAAAGGTGTCATGCTGTGGACGGTTGCGAAATCCAAATCGCGGATCATCGGATCATGGGTTCAACCAATTCGACGTGCCAACAAAACAAAACAAAGCCGCCAGGTATAGCTCGACAAGATCCCTTCGGGTCGATTTGTTCCCACAAGAAACCAGCCATGATGCCATGATGTTGGTGTCCAAGGCAGTTCCATGGAAAACATGTAGTTTGAAGTTGTTTGCGTATGTTGCTCAGAGCGATGCTTAGGGTGAAACCAGCTGGATACTAAGGAACTCAGGGGGGAACATAGCTCACACGGAGTTGGATGCCTGGCTTCTACAAAGCCATGTGAAGACTAGCGTACAAGAGAAAGAAGAAGATGAGGGCAAAGGAGAAGGCGAAGGAGGAGGAGGAGGAGGAGGAGGAGGAGGAGGAGGAGGAAGAGGACGAGGAGAAGAAGAAGACAAGGAGCAAGAGCAAGAGCAAAAACAAAGAAGCGCAAGAACAACAAGAGCGAGCAGAACAATAATAACAAGAGCAACAAGGAAAACCATAAGAACAAGAGGAACAACAGCAACAAGACAAATAGAGGCATAACATGGCCAACCAACAAGACAATGACTATCCAAACAAGAGCAATGACAAAGAAAGCACAACAAACAACAATCACAAGGCAAGCTCTCAAAACAAGACACAGCGTCTTGAAGCACATACAGTACGTAACAACAATCCGCGATTGGCCCTCTTTCTGCCCCCCAGTGCCATCTACAAAGGTTGCTCTCACCGCATCAACAGAAGCTTCATCTGGGCACCTGATAGCCATTTGTGTCTGACATATCGGTGCTAAGCGAATATACAACACAAACAAACAAAGAAACAAGCAGAACAAAACAAAGAAAACAAACAACAAGCAAACTAACAAACAAACAAACAAAGAAACAAACACACAAACAAACAAACAAACAAACAACAAACAAACTAACCAACATGCATAAACAACACAAACAAACAATCAAACAAACTAAAACACAAACAAACAAACAAACAAACAAACAACTCAACACATGCACAAACAACACAAACAACCAACCAACCAACCAACCAACCAACCAACCAACCAAACAACCAACCAACCAAACAAACAAACAAACAAACAAACAAACAAACAAACAAACAAACAAACAAAGCACACACAAAATCAAACAAACAATCAAACAAACACACAGACAAAAGTACACACAACCAATGCAAACAATCAAACATAAAAACAAACACGCACGCACACAAACAAACAAACAAACAAACAAACAAACAAACAAACAAACAAACAAACCAACAAGCAACCAAAGAGAGCCCGGTTTGCCTTGTCCTTGTAGTAGTGAGTCCCCAGGTAGCTTCCCACATCCTAAGAGCAAGCCCGTCGTGCAACACGGAACGATCTTTGGCTTCACAGGTGGCAACCCACTGGATGGTTGGTTCCATAACTTGCTGGTGCGATTCGGGAATGATCGAGTCCGGGTGTTGGGACTGAACCCAGGAATTGGTCCCCTTAAATCAAAGGAAACCACAAGGCATGGTTTATAGGGGTCATTCCCTCATTCCCTGCTGAGCACCAGCAAAATAAGAGAACAGGGTTATCCCAAATCCTGTGGCTTGCTTCCATCTCTCTGTTCGTCTGTTAAAAGGGACGCCATCCTGTGTGGCTGAAACGTGAACCCGAAAACCGGCGCCATGGACCCTGCCCGTCACACAGTTCAAGTTAACAAACTGCTATTTGCAAGGTTTGGGGGGCGTCAAAACTGTTGTGAGGCCTCTAAGCTTGGCTGACCATGCTGATCAGGTCCACAACTTGTGAGTTGTTGTGTGAAGTCTGCGGGATGTGTGGATGAATGGTACTTGGCTGTCATGTTCGGGTTGGATCAAGAAAATAGTGGGTCCCGCTTTGACGCGACCTTCAAGTGGACACCAGCAAAGTTGTCCCATACACCTGTTCGCACATGTTTCAGCCAGAGTTGTTTGAAACGACATCCCTTCGGTTCGCACATGCTTACACCTATGCTGAAAGGCCTCGTGCTGGTTCGACTGTAACGCGCCTCAGGGTATGATTGCTCAAGCCAAATTTGCAGCCGAACTGGGCTGACGTTCTGCCCCCTAACATCACTCCCCGGAGATACTCAATAAACACAACAAAGCGATGTTCAACCAAGTATGAGGAATTCTGCGACTGGGGTCAGTCCAGCAACATTTTGCCCTATTGCCATTTGGCTTGCCCGAGTCTCTCCCGTGTCCGTCCACCCCTTCAGGTCGACCTTGCTCCATCTGTCCACACGCAGCCTTGGTGGCTCCAACGACCCCAAGGGTGTGTGTGTGTGTGTGCAACATGGTGGACCCCATCTCGGGCATGTGTTCGAGGACCAGGTTGGTGGTGCCCCATTTCACACCCAAATGGCCCTCCGACATGTTTGGGTTTTTTGGCCAAAGTTTACTGAACAAGCCAATTGATTCGGGGCTGGGAAACTAGGCCTTGACATGGTTCAAGCACCTTGCCCAGTTTGTACATGGGCTGCCCCGCCGTTGAACGGGATCCAACCCCAAGACGAAAGCAAACCAGAAACGCCAAAGCGGGTAAGCTGTGAGAACAAAGGGAACAACAGGAACTAGAACAAAGCTGCTACTGGAATAAAAATAATAAATAAATATAAACAGGTATCCAAGCAAAAACATGACTGGCAAACACCGAAACTAGCATGCCTGTTTCATTGGCCCCTTTCATTTACCACAATCAAAACCACCTCCCAAGAAGTACATTGAAGGACAAAAACATGTGTTCACGCAGCAAGCCGAACATCGCAAGCTCCACTTGGGCCCGAGCAAGTAGGCCAGGGTGGTTTGGGGCAGGTAGAGCGAATTCTGATTGGCCGAGTTGATGTCTTTGGTCCTGAGCGTGCAAAAAACACATTGATTCGGGATGAAAAGATCAACTATGGCCCATGGCTGATGCCCCCAACATGGCAAACAAAGCCTCCAAAGAATATGGCACATCAGAACAGCTGTGCGTAATTGAAACAGCGGTTACTGCCCAGACAGTCCGAACGGAGATCGTGTGATGTTCCTGTCAATGGACAAATCTGAATGAACAACAGAGGTGATCGATTATATTCGCAGAGAAACCAAATTCATCTCGGCATCGGACTGGACAACAACCTTTTGTTCTGAGAACCGGATTCTCAACAAAACCCGCACTAGTTCACTAAGCAGCAAAGAGAATAACCATTGTGGAGTCCCATTGCCCAAACAAAAGCATCTCATGTCCTATGAATCGCTTGGGTACTGGGTGTTTGCTTCGCAGGTCGTATCTGTTCCATTTAAAGCGGCGGTTCAGACTCTTCTCTGAAGGTTAAAACGGAACCGATGTCGCGGGCCCTCCAGCAGGAATCCTCTTCGTTTGCAATCGATTGACACATTAATTTGGGTGTCTTTCTTGAGGGTGCTCGTTTTTGGGTGGTTTCAAAGGTGAGCCAACAGGAAAAACACAATTTTGTGAGGTCCCCCCAACAATGACAGACCTAATTGTGTGGTTGGCCTACTCGATACCTAAGCCGGGTGAAAGGACCTGAATCTCAATGCTTTCCTTTTCCGCAACAGGCAACCAGGGAAACCCGCCAAACCAAAGGAAGCTTCCCCATTGCTATGGACTTTGCGGTTGACTTACACTGGTTGTCTTCAAAGGGGGGATCCCTCATCCGATGACCAATCCGTAATCCATAGTGGGACACCACTGCAAGGGAAATTACAACCATCTGGCATAAGGATTAGAACTCACTTTGAGAAGCTATAAAAGCAACACATTGCTCGTTTCAGTTTCGCCCACTAAGATTTCTTCATCCTCCACCCACTTGCAACGGGGTGAAAGAGGACTGCACCATTCCCCAAGTCTGGCTTAGTCCCCTCACAGTTGGGTGAACCACCCCCTTTGCCCATCTACCGGGAATCTTAATTAACCATCTACTTCCATTTGGTTAAGACGCCTGGGGAAAAATTATTTCCAGTAGTGATCAATTCCCTTCAAAACCAACAGGGGAAAATAAAAGAAATTATTAAGCAAATTGAAGTCTACTTTCAACCTGCGCCGCAGGCCGCATTTCGGCCACGGAAATCGGGCGCTCGGTGAAAACATCCCGACTTCTCGTCCAAGAGTCCCCCGCAAGGGCCAGGAAGCACTGAGGTAGCTCGGAAGCTTTTGGTAGTAAATCTGAGCGTTCAGACGGTCTGCACAAATTTGGATCCTTGGATCCAACCTGAAAAACCAAGGCCCCCCAAGGACCCAGGATTGGAAACTGCGTCTATTGTGGAAATGGATTTTAACCTGAAAACCGCTTGGGGTGGGAATTCACAAATTTGGGCGCCAAGCGTTGACCCGGGGATTGAATAACAAATGCACCCCCCCGCTTTGGCCCCTTTGGCACCGTAAGACGACACATGTTTTTGGGGTTCCCAAAGTGGGCCCTTGCCTTTGATAGCTCGATTCATCAGCCCCTGTTTATTAATACGGGGGGTGTCCCTGGTTTTAGCGGGGATTTACCACTTTTGGAGAGAAAACCCCATATTCATACACTGGAGTTTCTTAATCCGGGGCCAACATTACTGCAATTCACCAATTGGAAGCAAGGGATCTCAACGAAAAGCATCCTCCTTCTCCCCGTGGAGCACCTGGAATTTCACCCATCGTTTATCTGGTTCAATCTGGGCAGAGGGTTTCCCTAAGACTCAGAGACCTCTCTGAGCCGACATCAACTCCAAGCTTCACTGGTGCAGGCTTCCCTTCCCAGTAACTCGAACATGAGTCAACTCCAACATGATGTTCACCCCGGATTAATAAACCCCTGGCTGATTTTCATAGGGGGGTGTCCCCTTCCAGTGGGGATTCATCACTTCTGGAGAGAACACCCCACAATAATTTAATGGGATGGGTTTTTTGTCAATCCTGGGTCAACATTGTACGTCTTTTTCCGGTACACGTGGTCGAGGGTAATTTCTGGGTCATTCACGCTGTTCATGTGTTTGCCTCTCGTGCTGGCATCATTCACGCGTTTCCCCAACTTACGAATGCATCATTCACGGGTAAACACCGACTTTTGGGTGAACCACCGTCCTTCTTCTGCGAAGACCATGGCTTTACTAGCGTCTTGGAAGAACTGGGCTTTCTCATACACATCACCCCAACCGACGGATGTTTGAAACCACTGAGCTACGAGATGGGAACGCCTCTGTCATTGCTCCCACAGCACCCTGCCTACCCTGCGGGATCTAAGGATATTGCACCTGACAAACCAGATTCACGCTAGAAAGACTCGCAGGTTCCATGCTCACACAGGGGTTGTCGGACAAACCACCAGTGCCTGAACCCGTCAGGTCGGCACTTGCACCTATCAGTCAGGTTCCATGCGAGACAAGCTGGGTGAAAGGGCGTGGCGACGATGAAGCTATCAGCTTCTTCGAAACAAAGATCCACATGCTCGTTTCTCTGTGACTTTGGCGCCGGCCTCCTTGTTCTTAGCTCCCCATCTCTTTCCGCGTCGAATCGTCCTCAGCTGGGGGATAGCTGCGGTGCAATCGAGAGGCAAACCTCATTGATCGTGTCCAAAGAAACTCTCGATTTGGTCAGTATTCCCTTGGCCCGAATCGATCAACGAAAGCAGTTGTCTGTTCAGCAGAATTCCAGGACATGTGGTATGTTGTCCTTTTGAGGCTCGGTACCCGTCTTCACCTTACTTTGAACCATGGGAACCCAAATAAAAACCACCAGTTGTGGGGGTCATCCTGTTTCTGCTTGAATTATAGTATTTCGCCAATTTGAAGTAAGGTGGTTGCGAGCTATTCCCAATTCATAAACCACCATTTGGGGTGAATTCGGTCGTGTGAGGTCGCTCTATGTACGTGGGTCAGTGCTACATCCACACCCGCAAGCGCGCGCTTTGGTCAGCCCGATTGCTCCGAGCTGCAAGCGATCCTTCTTCAACCTCTCGCGGAAGCGCACGAGCGCGCCACGAAATCGGATGCCCTTTGTAGTCCAGCCCTGCGCGAAATCGACTGCCGCGAATCGATGTGTTTCAATGGAGCAAGCACGATCAAGCTCACTTAATGCTCTAAACTGCATGCAACCGGGGCCAATCATTTGCACTAAAAGTAAGGTCACGCAACAAATGATACGATGCAAACGCTGCCATGGATCGCACCAATGCTTGCAAACTGCGTGATTCCGACGAGACACTTTGGAGATCTCAGGATTGTTGGGGCAAAACCTTTCTGTGATCTGGGTACTGAGGTCGGCGATCCTTATGAGAATTGTTGTCACGAGGATTCCCTTGTAATCACAGGAAATGGGCAGATTTTCAAGGGGGATTGATGAACATATATTTTACATGGGATGACCATTGGGGACAACCACATTCCCACATGAGAAAAGTTTCCTATGGTCAAAACTGGGGGCACTCAATGGAATATGGAATATAGATGAACCCCATTTAACCGTTGACCAGACTGGCGCATATAGCGTGCAGGCAATCCTCCTTGAGACTCTCAAGGAGAAACCTTCCCAAGAAGCTCCGCCCAAAGAGGCCTTTTGAGACACTTTGGCCCTGTTAACCCTTAACTTTCTCTGGAGGAGGGCGGTTGAATAGCTGGTCCTTTTGCAGGGTCCCTGTTAGCGAGATCTCTGACTCTAAACTGGCAGTACCCTTCCGCCAAATTTGGACGCTTCTATTTCTTGTCAACAAAGAAACCTGTATAGAGGGCTTCGTTCTAGATAATATATATATATATATTATGCCTTCCCCAACAAACATCGTTTTTCATGACGAAGTGGGCAGAGATGGAATCACTTGGCATGATGAGGAACAAATGGGGCAGTCAGTCATTAAATGACACCAACCACAGGGAGCAATTCAAGCTATTTGAACAGCAAGGTCTCAAAATAATCTACTTCTGGAATCCTTAGACAGCCCCCATGTTGGCGCGTGCTCCTGAACTGAATAACCCTAGACATGGATGCGTGCAAGCTTTCATGTTACTTGGAGACAGTAAATCGGCCCAACGTTGTTTTCAAGCGCTGATCTTGGGGCGGCTGACTGGTCAATCTCGAACCACATCCTCTCACTTGCCCAGTTTGGGACTTGGAAACAAAAGGTGAGCACCTCGGACCTCGAAATATGGACCAACATGGGAAACCCAAATGGTGAAAAGGTCGAGTCCCTTTGGTTGCAAGTAAGTCCCTCCCGGCGCCTCGCAGCAGCCATAGACCTGGCTCGCGACAACCAATAGCCATCCACAAAGCTTCCATCGGTGTGTCAAAGAAACACCCTAAAATAATGGTCCCAAACAAAGCTGAGTAGGTACCCTCCTCCAAAACCACATAGCCGCCTCAACGGGTAGCCCAGTAGCAACTCTCTGCGAGAAAGAACACATCATATAGTAAGTAAGCCAAAGTCCCTGTTTTAAGTTGGCGTTTGGCTAATGTATGTCCTTCAGCTGGCTTCTATGAAGCTTCACACATGTGGCCTCTGAAGGCCCCTTCAAGCGGAAACAACGTTTTTGGGCATTCGGCTAGGTTTCCGTTGGCTTCTACAAATCTCCGACACCAATTGGTCTCGCTCTCCCCAGACCTCCAGTGAACCATGAGGAAGAAGGGGCCATCCTCTTTTTCTCGGTTGACTTTCCAGGGGAACTGTCTGGCAAGCGGCGAAAACGGGGAGCACTGGAGCTCCGGGTTTCCCATGGCTCACCTGACGAAACGACGCGCCGTTTCGGGCGGCGAGCAAAGAGAATCCGCGCCTCGCGGAGATCCACGGCCCCGCGGTCGTTGAAGGGCCAGGCTGTGGCGGAGAGGCTGTGGGAATCCGTCAGCCGCTGGCAGGTGGGGTGCTTGGTGTTTACCTCAGAAGGCGCCGCAAAAAGCTTTGGAGATGGGGTGAGATGGGGTGGGATGGGGTGAGATGGGGTGGGGGGTGCGGTGGCAAACCGAAAGCTACGAGTCCGTGCGACAAAACCAAGTTGATTCTGGTGGTTCCCTTGTTTGAGAGTGCAGCTGCAAAATCTGAAGATGCCTCACCAGCTCCTTTGGTTGCCTCCCGATGATCCCTTGACAAAAGTATCATCCGTGTCTTGGCAAAGGCCCTATATATAGGCCGGTCGTATCAACCGAGCTTTGCTCAATGTTGCCCAAAAAACAAGTTTGACACACCCCACAACAAACTGTTTCGCTTCCTTGTGGCCGCAGGTTCAATCCCGTCTTTCTGAGCCTAAATCCGATGCTCTGCCGAGGAACGCCCACTTGCACGTAGTTCGGGGTCCTCAAATCTTCATCCAGGATGGGGCACCAGGCATCCGAGGAGGACTGGAGGCCTCCGCATGCAATGCAATCCCGGGGGGGGGGGGGGAGGGGGAGAACAAGTTGATGAGTGGAAGTGCTGGCCCAAATCAGACTGAACTTATCGTCTACCACTAACATGGTCTTCCCAAAAAGTTTAAGGTCCATGAACTCAGGAAGTAAGTACATGCCACGGCCTCCTGGAATGTTCAGCTCCGTGAGACAAATCTAGGGAAATCGAATAGAAATCGAGACTTGGAGTTTGGGCACTAGAATGTGTGCCTACGAACAACATATAAATAACATACCGAAACATATTGGTTCACGCATCCTACTTCGATTAGTCTGCTAGTTCTAGATGGCAAGGCCGGACAGAAGCAACAGAGTGATGCATCATGCAACCATCTGATTGCCTCAGCCCGCCAGATTACGAAACATGAGAAAGCAACAGGCTTCAGCAATCGAATGTGATTGCACGATGACATTAGCATCCTCACTCTCACTTTCTCGTTCAACGTAGTTGTCAGATTCCATCTTCATTGCTGACAAGCGTTCGCAATACTGGAGTCGCCAATCACTGCAATGCAGCACAAATTGAAAGCTGAGGTGGTAGTCTCTTATTGACATGGGCATGGCTTCCGGCTGAAGCCCCTAGCCCCTGGCCCTAGCCCCTTTTTTGACACAGCCAAATGAGCCCCAACCCAGACGACTTCCGGGGTGGTCACTTGGACAGCGCGCCACCGCACCTGTTCTACCAACAGAACATAAGGGAGCATTGGACTGCTACCTGATGTCCTCTTCAAGAAGCTGCACGAGGAACATCGCAAAAGCAAACATCTGCCACAACCAGACATCTCATACCAAAGGTGAACCAAGAATCCGAATGGATCCTGCCACCCATCTGAACCGACAAAACACGGTTCGAAAAATCCCTGCATGATGAACCAAAGCCAACAAGCAACTCCTCATGCCAACCCCTCGCCGCTCACTTCGGCCCCATGGCACCCAACCGACCCCTCGCCTCCCCTGGGCCGTCGCCCTTTCTTGCTGCAAAGCTCCGAGTACCTAAGCCACAGCAGCCACAGCCACGCAGCCACGCAGCCACGCAGCCGCTCCTCTGGCGAAGCCTGTGCCATGCGTCCTTTGTGCGCAAAGAAACCCCACTTTCAACAGCTAGTTTGGAATGCAGGGACTTCTGTCAGCGACTTCTGTCAGCCTGCCGCCAATGTATCTGCATATGGGTATTGTATCTCCAAAAAACACTGATCTGCATGTTCTTGAAATCCCGTGCCGACAATTGCCGCCATCAGCCTGGCTCACGCCAACCCATTCACTGTTGCTATTTTGCCTCCTCTGATGCCCTGCACCGTGGTAGCAGCTCGGATTCGGCTCTTCTGGGCGAGGCACGTACAAAGCCGCTTTCCGTGACTCTCGCACTTGTCCTCACAGCATGCTTAAAGCTTCATAGATTCAAATCTGGGTTCTCAAAGTGGCGTCCAAAACCGAACAAAAACAATATTTTGCGGTGTCCCATTACATAAATATGGTGGAGCTCTGAAAGGAGACATGTTCTTGTTTCCCTTTACACTAATCCAAGAAAGGGTACCTATGCCACCCTCAAACGTAGGTTGCAGACTGTCACGGGATGCCTGAAGACAACTGTCAAATGCCAAAAACAACTGGGATTGGTCACGTGGATGAGTGCCCCAAACAAGGCTACGATGCGTCTGCTAGCCAACATGTCTCAAGGACAATCACTCGAAACCTACGACACCGTTGCCACTGTGTTCAATCGATGTGCTGACAACTTGAGGCGTGCACATACAAACACACACACACACACACCAAGTGGGGAAAGAAAAGACACGTACGGCTGTCCTGCAACTTGTACCAGCTCAAGGCCTTGTCGTTGCTGTAGTAGGTGACTCCCTGCCATGCAGAGCTACTGTGGATGGACCAAATCAATTTCGCTTGAAAAGCATGGGCAACCATATCAAGTCGGTTGGTATTTACAGGGGGCATCATGTCTTTCCAGGGTTGGAGTGCAGGATGTCGTCCACCCACGGTATGGCTGATTCCTCGAGTTGTGCAAGGGAACCAACCGCTTCGATCAAAGCAACCTCTGAATCAACCACCTGTGAACCTCTGATTCATCTACCAGGTGGATTTAGAGGGCCATCAACCTGCGGTCTTCTCGCAATGTGTGCCCGCAAAACATACCGGAAATAGCACACACACACACAAAGGGCCACCAGGCTCCCCTGACATTTCGCAGTAGGGCCTTTCACCGGTGATTCCTTCTCAACCATGTTCATCTGCAGGAATGTATTCGACAGTTGCTTGCTTACCTAATGTCTACCTCTGGGTGGTCCCTGCCTTCGGAAAATAGAGACTCATGGTAGTCCCCGTCTCGTCCCATGAACAAGCAGGTCAGCTGATGACATGCACACCTGTGGCCCGAAAAACTCGGCTATACTGCAACCCCACCTCAGCCAAGCACACAACTCTTGCAAGATTGAAGGGTTTCCCTTGCTCCTCACTTGCCATATTTAGGGCATCCGCTGAGCCCGGTACTAGCCCGGTTGCCCAGTGCACGTGTCTCGTGGGAAACCACCAAACCTCGGCCCAGCTAAACCCCAGGGTGGAGCTACAAAATAACATTCTGGTTCTGCTCCATTTATATTTTGTGCAGACCTTAAAATCAAACTAATTTCGAAGACGCCAATTCGATGTTCCATTTGCTTCAGCCCCCCGGACGAGAACATCCAGCAGTGAAATCGATTCCCTTTACCACCAGCAAGGGAAAATGGGCCGCCTGAGAGCAAGTGCGAGGACCTCCCAGCTTTTCGCAGCTCTTTGCGCAGCAGAAGTCCTTCTTGTCGCTTCCGCCTCGACTCGTCGCGATTGCGAGGTCGCGCTCAACGCCGCGTCGAGAAAACATGGGAATCTTCCAAGTAACCTGGGAAAATAAGAAACAAACTAAGTTAAACTGACTGGCTTAGCCTCCGTTAAGCAGATTCTCCAGGGTGCTATCAAACGCTCCAAAAGGGGCTCTTCACAAATGGGAAAGCCCACCATGCGGTGTTGTTTGAACAACATACCACAGGGGTTCCCAAACATGGTCTGGTCTTCATCTTTCTATTGCGAAAGTAAAGGCACCCTAGAGCGGCCCTTTATGTCCACGGGGAACCAACAAATTGGAAGCCAAACCGATGCCACTCCAAGAGGTGTGACAAAATCTTATCGGATGGAGCTCCAAACCGGCAGCCCACCCAACAAAGACACATCGGGGCGTACGAAGTAGCCATACGCGATTTCCACCCGGGTTTGGTGGAAATGCCACCTGACAGGGTCGATTTAAACTGGCATCCTGAAAAACTGACATCGCTCATGGGTGGTTGCAGGGATTTCCCCACTCCAAGCAATGAAATAAGAACCCCTCGAAATGCCAATTGGGACTCGAGATTCACTATGCCCCCACGGGCCAAAGATGTATCGGAACCCTTGATTTGAGTGGCTTGCTGCTTTCCCTTTGAACCACCCCCAAAAAAGATACCAACTTCAAAACATATACATCCAGATTCTACCAATCCTGTGCTCCCTTCGTTTTTCCTGTCATAAAACTCCTCTACTGGGGTAGCCTCACCTCTCCAGGCGAGGGGCATGTCTGCGCGGTGCACATGGTAGGCGCATCGGCGGGGCACTGAAAGCGTTGCCCATGGCCACCCTTCATGCAGCTCCAGTCCTGATGGGTTCCAGGGCTGTCTTCTTTGGGGGGACCCAACCAAAGAAAAAATGGCTTTGCACTTGGTTTCCCTTTAAAGCCGCCAATAAACCGGTACCCTCAAATGAGACAATTGCCACGGTCGAAACTCCGCATGCTTGGCCGATTTGGCAATCGTTGCTACCAGGTGGATGGCCATCCCTGCTGAGCCCAACTGGGGTCTTTCGACCATGGCACATAAGGGTGTCCCCTTTGGTTGGGGACCCTCGAAAATGGTGCTTTGGCTTCCCTTTGAACAAACCCCAGAAAGGGGACCCTTAACAAAAAACACACCCATTTATTTATCTTGAGTTGATACCCGTTGATTTGCGGTTTTCAGAGGGAAACCAAAAGGAACGTTGAAATCCAGTTCGACGGTTCGATTTAAACACAAAGACGCACCCCTAGTTCTCCAAAACAACATCCCATTGCCCCCATAAAACCAACAGAGGAAATATAGGGAAGCCTCTATGAGCGATGGAAGTTACACACCGTGCGACAAAAAACAGCCAACAAACACGGACATGAAGTTCTTTGGCTTCAGCCATGTGCAAACCATAACCCTTCAACAATAGGGTTATTGACAAAATTTAAGGGGGTTATAAGCCTTTTTCTAGGGGTCATGTAGACTCTAGGTCGCACAAATTCACCAACCTAAGTTTGTTCAGAAATCCTGGAATGGTGATTTCCCTGTAAAACCAAGTCATAATTTCGTCCATCCCCAGTCTCACCCACTTGTTTTCGGAACAGTGGCCATTTGGCCAAGTGGCAAACCATCGCAAACTCTTCCAGAGGCTAAGTCACCACCTCTCATGGACCCCCGGGGAGGGGGGGGCTATCCCTTGTTAACCCCTCAATCAGGCCTTTTTGAGGGCTTCGCCTTGGCTTATCCCTGGCTTCTCCAGAAAACCTCCCACCCCCAGCAAAGGCCCGACTTCACGCGACGCGACGCGACGCGACCGACGCGACGCGACCGACGCGTCGCGACCGACGCGACGTGACGCGCGCCTTCACGTACTTCCCGTCTTCGCAGAGCGCCTGGCCCAAGGCCTCGAAGTGGGGTGTCAGGAAGGCGCAGCTCTCCACCTGAGACTGACGTGTTGCGCGTCAGGTTTGGGGGCAAATGGGGAGACCACATGGAAGCCCTGGATTTGGTCTCCCATCCCAAAAAGGGCTGCCGGGTAAAGCCGGGGAAAGACGTACCCATGCCAGGGATCCTGTTGAATGATTGTTTTCATGCCTGTTCCTTCAAAGTCAACCCAAACAAAGCCCAAGCTCTCTCCCTCTCACAGGCGTGCCAGCGCAAGCACGCACGTGGGTGCACGCACACACACGCACACACACCCACACCCACACCCACACCCACCCCCACACCCCCACCCCCACCCCCACACCCCCACCCCCACCCCCACCCCCCCCCGCACCCCCACACCCCCACCCCCCAACCCCCACACCCACCACCCCCCACCCCCACACACACACACACACACACACACACACACACACACACACACACACACACACACACACACACACACACACACACACACACACACACACACACACACACACACACACACACACACACACACACACACACACACACACACACACACACACACACACACACACACACACACACACACACACACACACACACACACACACACACACACACACACACACACACACACACACACACACACACACACACACACACACACACACACACAACACACCACCCACCCACCCACCCACCCACCCACCCACCCACCCACCACCACGCACGCACCACACCACGCACGCACGCACGCACGCACGCACGCACGCACGCACGCACGCACGCACGCACGCACGCACGCACGCACGCACGCACGCACGCACAGACACACACACACACACACACACACAGACACACAGACACACAGACACACACACAGACACACAGACACACAGACACACAGACACACAGACACACAGACACACAGACACACAGACACACACACACAGACACACACACACACACACACACACACACACACACACACACACACACACACACACACACACACACACACCCACCCACCCACACACCCACACACCCACACACCCACACACACACAAAAACAAAAACAAAAACAACAACAAAAACAAACACAAAAACCAACACAAACACAAAAACCAACACAAACACAAAAACCAACAAACACAAACACAAACACAAACACAAACACAAGCACAAGCACAAACACAAACACAACACAAACACAAACACAAACACAAACACACACACACACACACACCCACACACACACCCACACACACACACACACCCACCCTCACACACACACACACACACGCACCTACATAGAGGGGAGCAGATTCCCTACGGCAATTTACGAATGTCGTACCAGGAAAGGCCCAGTGATGGAAACTGAGCTTGCCCTGTGGTGGTAAAGGAAACGGGGTAACTGGATTTACGCATCCTTTCAAGTCGAAAGCTGCAAGAAAATCTGCAGGTCTTCATGGAAGCAGCAAGGTGTAAACCAAACTTTGTGGAAAGGAGTGTGTGTTCGGCGGGGAATACTGTGCTCTGAGCGAAAACGATCACCTCTCGTGAGGACCTTCTACGAAGATTGCTACTCATGCTTCCACCATTGAACCGGATGCACAATTACCAGGCCACATTCACACATACTTGAGTGAGTCACACTCAAAATTCATTGCCTCTGCCCACTGACATCGTTGTTTTGATAAAGCCCCTAATATCCCCTATTTTTCTCTTGGCTAGTGGTGAGGGCGCCCACGAGAACCTGCCGGCTTCTCGCACAGTTCCCCCCTCCATTCTGGAAACCACAGCCCCTCGTACCCCTATGGTAATCTCCGGTCCGACCTGCTCCGCCTGGTTTTCCACCACATAGACTCGGCCCGAAGAGCGAACCTGAGATGCAGATCTCACGCACACAGAAAACTACAGGGAAACGCATGAGGACCCTCAAACTAAAGAATTCTTTGTACTGACCATCGCAGCGCGCAAGCTGATGTCGACGTGAGAAGCTCGGCTCACACGACGGTTTCCTCGTCTTTCATTGATTGGTGAAACTTTTCCTGGGATACGTCATAGCTCCCTCACGCTCAAGCTTGAAGGGTATGGATAGTGGTTCAAGACACATTGGCATCACTTGTCTGTGGCTTACCTTTCAAGGGAAGTCCAAGGGAAGATAATGCCAAACATAGAACTTAACCATAAGCCGCGGAAACCCATGTCAAGTAGGGGACCCTTTTGAAAACCCGCAATCTGTGATACAAAAGGCCACATCACTAGTTCCATCACTTTCAAGGGCACTCCCTTGCAACAGAAAGTGGAAGCCTAACATAGTCAACCCTTGGCAAGAAAAATGTGTGCGCGTTGCGAAAAACATGGCTTCGGGCCAAACAACCCCAAAAATGTATTCAAACGAGGATGCACGAATAGCCCGCAGCTCTGCTCTGCTGATCCCTACGGGGGAATCTATACGCAGTCCTTATATGAAGCCCAGAGTTTCTCTATGTGATCTTGGGATGTCTCGATTGGGTTTGGCACGGCCTCCTTCCACGTCTCTGCCGGGCAGCCGTGCGGTAGGGCTTCAACCAGACCTTCCCGCAGCCCCAGGATCTCAGCGTGCTGCCCATCATGTAGAAGGACTCCAAGTTATCGCCGTTCTTCATATAGTTGCTGCCTGAAAACATTCGCGAGACAAAACGATTTCAGCGCACATGCAAAGGGCGTGTTTCACCGAAGTTGGGCTTCCACCCCCCCATTGCAGAAAAAAGGACCCCCTAAGAGCCGCTGGTCTGGCCCAAATGCGAAGTTCAAACGGCGGATCATGGTTGACGTGCAAGCGAATCCGGCTACTGTAAATGCGCCCACCAAGTAAAAGAAATTGGGTGTGCTTTTTGAGGGTAACCTTGTTTGCCTTGGCTGTAAGGAAAACCAAAAGCAAACCCGAAGGAAAACCAACTATTCTTGGGTGATGCATGTATCTTGACACATGCCAATCTGGACTGAGACCTGGACAGTGCGTCTTGCCACACTCCGAGCAGGTTCGAACCTTGTGGAGTACGTCCTCCCAGCGAGGCTTCATTCAAATGCGCCGTTTTGCGCCTTCAAGGCCTTACTTTTCTAGGTCTTCCAGTAGAGTTAGAATACGGGGCACCCTTTTTCTGTGGTGAATTCAAGTAGGGAAACCCTCCCCCAAAAAAGGGTAAAGGGCACTAATTACTGGGGGACCTTACTTTTTGTACCAGTTTACCTGCGAACTGGAATCTGAAACAAACCAGAAGTAGACCTCAGTTTCATTTTGTGCTCTAGTGGCCACACATGTGTGGCCACCTCCGTGCAAAGAAAGTCGAAGCAAGCTCCTTGTCGTAGCAGTGCGCCGAGATGAATGCGCTGTTCTTGCCACCCTTGTTGTCCTGGTCCAGATCGCCTCCAGCAGAATATGTGGGAGACTGGGTGGAGTAGGAATATTCAATGATCATAAAAATCCCCAAGCAAATCCAAGCAACCACAAACCATAGGCTATGATTTTCTGAGCGTTTCACTATGTTCCGGGACGCGGAATGTCTGCTCCACTAGGTCGTGTTCCTCTACCCAAGCGGTAGGTAGTAGGGACACGCGCACCTGAGGGGCCTGAGCTGAGACGCTCAAGCCGGTCAAACCTGAAGAACAAACCCGCACGTTTTGGTTTGTTTTTTTTTTTCCCCAAAGGAGTGGGCTTCAATCCAGTAGTGGAAAAACAGAACCCCACTGAACAGAGACCTGCCATTTTTTGAGGTTTGGTCATCCGAACGTCCCAAGCGCGTACCTGAGCAATGGGTTTCTGTGTGTCAAGTCCGGGCAAATCCTCCTGCTTTCCTTTCAGAGCCAACTCCCGCAATCCCCCTAACTGGATAAATTGGGAGGACTGGGGAGCAATAACGTGTCCCCTTGTGTTCCTTTGGAACATGAAAACAGAAGCTACTATCTGCAGCTTTCAAGAGAAAGGAGAACTCGATTTTGAAACTACATGTCATTCTAATGGAAAAGTGGCTTTGACACACCTAAACAAAAACAAATAATTATTAAAAAAAAAAAAAAAAAAAAAAAAAAAAAAAAAAAAAAAAAAAAAAAAAAACGGACTACATACTATATGGAGGGAAAACCTAAGGGAATAACACAAGGGAAAGCTGAGACGTCCGTCCCCCCCATGTCAAGACACCCCCCCATTCTGAGCTGAGCACTTCTGGCCAGCATGCCGTAGCATAGCCCCTTGGTAAACACCACTTGCTTGCACTCCTTCTGCGCCTCGCAAAGCTCCTCGGGTCAGCCGAAAGGGTATGCGGATGGACGACATCTTTCACCAGTTGAAATTAATGAAATCCAAATCATGGTACAAACCGCCGACCGACTGGTGCAAAGCGGAAAAAATCGCCTTAAACTTAATAGTGGTTCAAATTCATCCCTTGCCAAAAAGAAAATATCTTAGACTCTTCTAGTGGGATATGACACAATTCCCTCTAAATCTCTAGAGCATCCAAGCTTGAGGGTGTGACTGAGAACCGCCAAGTAAACTGAAAAAGGGCAGGTAATACTCCAATGGTTAAAAACCGCTCATATACTCATATGGGTCATTGTCGTGGCTGCCTTGCTAGGAATAGTTTTCTATCAAGGGTCCATGGCAAATATGAGTTCAACGGACGCGCAGAGCTTTCTCCGTGAAACTGTGAACCTAGTAAAAGAACCGGCAAATCCCATGTACAACTCTTTGGACATCATGTAAGCGTGAACACGACTACCACGTGCATGTCGTTCTTGCCCATGAGTAGAGGCATCTCGCGTCCCAGGTCTTGGGTAAGCAAACCTGACCTGTATGTGGCGCTGACAAATTCGCGAACTCCCTGTTTTAACGGCGGCACCAACGATAAGACTTGCTTCTCGGGAAGGGAAAAGCAGCATGCATAACAAGATCGTCCCACCGGCTGTACCAGAAGCAAATACCCATCAACATGGCAGGGGTCGCTGACCCATAGTTCGTGCGGTAGGGGTTCTGGTAGCTATCACAGAAGTGGCTGTGGGTCATATCCCTGTACGTCTGGTGAACATCAAAATTGGTGGCAAATGGATGTTCATCCACCCCAAAATGGGATCGCCATAGTTATGTTGCATGGCCAGTGCCAATCAGCCGTGGCCAACCTCTCCGCCCGCTTCTCAGCGCGACGATAACCAAAATGCTCACGTCGAACCGAGCGACGAAATGGATTTCGAAGATGCAGCCCAGGCGCGAGGCAATCCTTCCAGGACTTCATCTTGGCACCATATTTGTTCTTTCCTGGGTCTCATGGGAAACCTCCTGGGTCTCATGGGAAACCTCGTGGGTCTCATGGGAAACCTGCTGGGTCGCATGGGAAACCTTCGGGTCTCATGGGAAACCTTCGGGTCTCATGGGGAACCCCCTACCCTTCGGGACACTATGGACAACCATGCCGTCGCAGATTCGTGTGGGCCACTGCTGAGAATCCCTTCTAGCTGGCATACCGGTGCCAAGTAAGTACAAACAAACAAGCAAACAAGGCAAGAACACAAACAAGCAAAGAACCAAATACCTGCGCTTTTGAAGAACCCCCATGATCCCATGGTTGTGGCACATGGTCAATTTCTGTGATACAGAAACGAGTCGATTCCCATGACTCCTCAATTCCTTGGCCGCTTGGTGCGGCAACCGAAAAATCTCAGCCGTTTCACCCACGAATGGAAAGCACCAAGAGGAACCTACCCGTCTGAAAGCAACAGTCCCATTGGGGAACAAATCATCAGTGCTGAACTTGTTTCTCAAGAGCCTCCCTCAAGTGCTGACGGATTATCCTGACCAAAGGCAGGCCAACCAACCAGCCTGATCCAAACAGGTTGGACAAAGCGACCAGCCTCGAAGAGTTTGGGTGTGCGCCAAAACTACGGACCGGGTGCTCGTTCTTTTGAAGTGATCCATCGCCCTTTGCAACCCAACAAAAAAATCGGTCCCACTGCGTATCCCCGTGCATAACTGGCACGGTGCCTACCTGCGCCAAAGATGCCGAGGTGCCCAAATTGATCTCCACCTTGGCACGTGCCGCGTTCGTTGCACGCCCTGGAGCAGCTTTAAAGAGTGGTACGCTGAGACGAACGATGACATGAGCACATCTCGGTTGCTTTCTGCTCCCCTGCTAAAAGGTTAACTTTTAGTGGTTTAATGGAAAACCCATTAGTTGGCAAAAAGTTAAAGTCCTAACATCAAGCGAACTGCACCAAAGATATTCTAAGCAAACACAACATGCGACCAAAAGCCATATTACTTCGAAATTAAACAGATTTGAGGCAAATGATTATGGGTTCTTGTGTGGGGAATCCTTTCATGTCATCCTTTTAGGAGTGACTATTTTGCTGCAAGTTGCGCAAGAAGTCAATCACCAGAAAAGGTCAAAGAGCAAGGACCAAGAATGTCTGGTTGATCAAACAAGGACTTGCGCTGCCTTTATGTCTCCAAACTGGGACCCTTTTCGGAGCTATCAGAAAACAACCAATCCGAGGGCTCCTGGGCTTGTTGGTTCACTGCCGAAGTGGTGTATGCCTTTCCCATTTAACACAACCCACACCCGAGGGATTCGAATCCTTCAGGCCTGCCCTTTAACCTGCTGAGGGATTCGAATTCCGAAACCCAAAGGTCTGCCGAGGGGCGTGTTTGCCCAGCCACTTCTTGCGCCAGTTGTCAAAGACGATGCACCGCCGCGCCTGCGACACTGCGACTTGAGGGTGGCCTTCAGCTGATCACCCATGGCACCCTCACCAAAAAAAAAATATTCGAGGAAAGCGGGTGGGTGTGCTCCAAAAGGTAACATTTTTGTTGGGGGCCCATGGAGGTCGACTCGAGTTGTCGGAACAAAAGTTGAGGTCGATCTGCCCCGCCTCCACCTTGTGGGAGGAGGGGGGCTTCCGACGACATTTGCTGAATAAATTGCCTCAAACATTTGCTTTTTGCCTCAAACGTTTAGTTTTTTGTGGCAAGCGGTGGGAAACTTGCACACCTGGAGGATGCACTGCATGTGTACGGTGGAAGGACGAAATCCTGCACAAGCCCTGGAATGATGATTCCCGTGCAAATAGCAGCAAACAATGGCGTCCCCTGGTTTGAAAGTGGTGCAGGATTTCGTCCATCCACAGTATGACCAAATCCATTCACGGGTTGTAACTTTGACAGCACTGCTAAAGCATCGCAGCAACTCTTCATGATTGATACAAGTAATAAAGTACCTGTCCATGGTTCTCCCAGTTCTCCCACAAGCAGATCAAAAGAAAGAAAGGGACAGTACACGTCCCCTGTTTCTTTCACGGAATCGGTGTGCCCTGAGCATCACCTTGGAATCGGTGTGCCCTGAGTATCAGCTTGCGAGAACTGACATTGCTGAACGTGCCGGGAACTTGACCCCATCATCAGGACACCTGCAAGGGCAGGGCCTATCTCATTCCTGCTGAATTGCCCCTCCCTCCGTTGACATGGCACCTGACAAGGGGAGGGTCCCAAGAAAAACTGATCTTCGAGGTACCCCACAGGCTTAATTCTTGTTGGGAGGAAGGGTAAATGGGGTCTTGGTGTTGACCAGTCACGGCAGCTCGCCAGTTCTCTTCACCTGAACCGCGGTCTCAAGCGCGTTTTGGTCTGTTGCCCCTCTGAGATGTTTGCCCCTAGAGCATAAATGACCTTTTGCGAAAAATCGATTGCACGAGGGACTGCCAAAAAAAGTGCGCCATGGTAAATGGACAACACTAGATCTAAACCAGTGCCAAATCTATTGCCAATTCTATTTCTGACCAGACTAACATAAAAAAGGACACCTATTAGAGATTCTTGGGCTAAGATGTTGAATGGCCCACTTGTCAGGTCCGATCTAAGTGCCTTCTTGTCCGCATGTCTCGCCCCCGCACCTGCCTTCTTGACGAAGCATTCAGCGTCTCTGAACCGCTTGCCTCCAAGATGCTTCACAAAGGCGCGGCGGACAGGATGGACAAAAGCTGCACACTTGGTAGGTGGTTTATCCCACTGTCTAGGGCTCCATCCTCCCAACAGGTGCAGGATTTCGTCTATCCACCGCAGCACTGTCACTTTGAAGCACTCTTTCATATCCCACACTGTGTGACAAGCATGCACCTCGCCGGCGCCTGATTTGCCCATTGCCACTGGCTTGTTGATGAAGAGGTAGCAGTTATTCTTCTTGTAGCCTTTGGCAAACCTCGGTTGACCAAATGTGGTCCCATGGGATGTCAGGCCAAACGACCAGGAGATACTCCTGTAACCGAGCCTTTGGAATTCAGCACGCGCAAGGGCCCGAAGCCGTGGCTACAGAGAAGAACCCGTCATACTGAATTGATTCCCATCCTCAAGACTACTGCTTCAGGTGAAATGGGTTTGCTTGGACACTCACAGAACGTTTCAGCCAAAACGGCTGCTTTTTCACAGTCCACGCCCGAAGCCCCCAAGTCCGGATTCGTTCGCCACGGCGCCATTCGTAGCCAGTGCAGCCCGCGGTGCGGTCACCTGGGCAACAGGTCCAGCAATCGCAGAACACCAAGAGACATGCTGCGTCAAACTCCTGCCACATTTGCGAGTTGTCCTTCACACAAATGGATTCCATTCTAACACATGTATCTCGTACCTCGCACTAGTCAACTTGGACTTTCTGGGTGAGTTGCAAGGACCATTGTCGTGTTAAGTGCCTCTGAGTACCCCAAATCTCCGCTTATCATTCATGGCCTTGTCCGAATCCGCCGACCCCATGCCTGGTCCAGACTTTTGGCATGGGGACGGTGTGTTCTGTGTTGATGTTGGTTTTGTGCGTTCTCTAAGTTTGCTGTGTGTGTACAATTTTCGTCCCTTGGGACGGAAAATTACGTCGGCTGGATTCCTGGAGTTGGGACTCCCCCCCCGCGTGTATCTCTGCATTTGCGTGTGTCCCTCTGGGTCTCCGCCCTGGGTTTTAGCCGGTGTTGCAGTCTGCGTGTGCGTTTGCGTTTGTGTCTCAGTCTTTGTGTGAGTACGCGTGCATGTATGAGTCTGTGGTTGCGTCTCTGTCTCGGCTTGTGCTGCTGTTTGTCTAAGTTTGGCTTAGCAGTTCCCCACTACCCGTCTGTACTTGTTTCGGCCCTTATAGTAACTTGCTTCCGGTGACAGGTAACCAGATATTTGCTCTGGCTCGTACTAGCATTTCGCGGGAGCTCCAACGTGGCCCAAGTGGCACGTGGTCTCACAAGCGCCGACGTTGCTTGTCACGCGGCCGCGGTCCTGCAGATCTGCATCCATGTCAGCGAGGGGATAATGTCTAATAGGTCCTCCAGTAGAGAGGTTAGAATAAGGGTACCCTTTGTTTCGTAGTCTATTTTAGTAGGGCAAACCCTCCCCCAAAAAAGGGTAAAAGGGAACTACTGGGGGACCTAGATATAGTAAAACGAACAAATGGGTGGATGTGTTTGACGCGTCCATTGCTTGAGTTATGACCACACGGACATGAAAAAGCACAGCACATGTTTGGGGAATTACCGCAAGTTTTGAGACCCACCGAATTGCCTGAAGCCTTGCCGCGTTTCATATTCGTCTCCTTGAAAAGACCGTCTAGGGGTGACATGGGGCCACGGAGGGCTGGGTGATAACTCATCTGCTTCCATAGAGCGAAAACCGATCATGGCCAAATCCTGTTTGGGCCAACTGGCAAAATCAAATAAATGAGCAAATGGATGTCTGTTCAGATTCCATAAGCGTCTTAAAAACTCAGATGTACGGTTGTGAGGTACTGAACAATACGATATGAGTCATGATCATGGGGCAACAATAGGTTTGAGTACTGGCCCTTACTTGTAGCTCATGATAACTCATCTGCTGAGCTGATCTCAACTACACCCTCTCGCAGGGCGAATCAGGGAATTGCCGCCTCATTTTGAAGAGGGTGCCAGTAACCAATTGCGCTGTCGAGGTGTCAAGACTCCAAATGACTTTCCAAATGAGTGGTTTCCCATGTTCCTCCTTCAAAACCACAAACGGTGTTGGCACATCCCCACTTGAGTCACTTGCCCACTGGGTCTGCGAGAAAACGATCATGGCCGGAGGTGTGGCTCTCCTGCTGTGCATTCTTTCCGTTGGAGTAGACACAGTAGTTGGGATAGGAGCGGTAGTTGGCCTGCGCGGTCTTCAAGGTTCCCTGTATTTCCCTTTTCAACGGAAACACACATCAACCTGGCTGTTGAAACGTGATGTTTGAAGCCACCAAATAGGTCAAAGTCATGACGGTCAAACATACAGTGAACCCTGGTTTTTGGTCAGAGCCAAGCAGAACCTGGCGGATTTGTTGTTGAGGCTGGCTATGAATCCACCAGGAGGTTTGAATTCCGGTTCTGCGCTTGCGAGGCAGACATGGACACAACGAGTGTCCCAACCTAAACCCGGCATCAAAGGAGCCAGGCACAGATCCTGCCAAGCCGAGACTTTGCCGTACAGCTTCTTTCTGGCGTTCAGCACCCCCTTTCGTATCCAAGCCAAGGATGAGGATCGGAACAGCCCAGTGTAATGGCTGCTATGTGTCTGTTTTTTCCCTTGTATTTTTCGGCCGGAATATGTGTCTTGATAATCTCCCTCGAACCCCGGCAAAACAGAGATTCCACACATTGCCCGAGGGTTTCTTCAGGTTTGTTCCTGGGATTTCATCCAAAAGCACAAGCGACAAACATCTTAACTTCGAGGGCTTTGCTTGGGCCTGGACTGTGCCCAAGGCAGCTGTGGGTGTTCTTCTAGGTCCTCCAGTAGGGCGGTTAGAATAAGGGTACCCTTTTTTCTGTAGTCTGTTTTAGCAGGGGAACCCTCCCCCACAAAAGGGTAAAAGGGCACTACTGGGGGACTAGTCTTCAGAGACTTCAAGTCGGTCGCCCCAAAAGCAAAAGGCAAGGCGGCGAGAACGCGAACCCGGCCATCGTGACAGGTTGCCTAAGTCCAATCATGCCGATCATCTTGCTGGTGCGATAAGCAGGTAATGAGAAATGGAATGAACCTGGGGTTCCCTTAAAGGAAACCATAGGGGATGGTTTATAGGGGTCATTCCCTCATTCCCTGCTGCGCACCAAGCAAGTCATTGGGACACTACCTTCTTTAACACCTGCAGGGGAACTCACGAAAGAAGGCATGGCCTCCTAGAAAGCTTTGCGTGCAAGATCCTCCAGGTTCTATCGAAAGGGGGAACTTCTACAGTTCAAACCCTTGCTTGTTGATGGCTGCTTTGCCCAATCTCTGAAGTCCTGGAGCTGGTTTCTGGTGGTTTCTGGTGGTGGTGGAGAGGACAGGGCAGCGACACCCGAAGAAGCTATGGCGTCTCGCTATGGAGCTGGTTTCTATGGTGGGTGTGGGGGTGGGTGGGTGTGTGTGGGTGGGGTGTGGGTGTGGGGGTGGGGTGCTGATTTAACCAGAAACCTGGTCATGTGATTCCAAGTCCGGCCTTCGAGGGGTGGAGGCCGCCGTTCCTGGGCAGGCTTAAGGAAACCCGCTTTTCCATGACCTCGCGGTATCACACAACCAAATTCCGGTGTGCCTACCCCCCAAATGAGGTGTTTTCCTTTTGGCACCCTTTAAAACCACCAAGACAGACCGACAAAAAATGACACCCCCATATGGGTGTGGCTCTGTGAGAGCCTCCAACATGCATGGTTTGCCTCTTTTGCCCTTCACACCAACCTCAACAAGAGTACACTCCTTTCAAGACAAACGGGTCAATTAACCATACGGTTCATCGAAGAAGCCCAGATTCCAAAACGAGCGACCAAGCGCTGCGGTTGCGGTAGGAATCCGGCGGTTCCGAGCTATTTGTCTGCGCACCGGCTCAAATTTATAGTGCCAATGTCATTCCAGGACTTCTTGCCCTATGGAACAAACCAAACAAAAAAGTGTGTAAGTGTTCGTCAACAAGCCCTCGACTGTCCATGAAGTCAATTTGACGAGGAGCAATCAGCGGGTCAACCCCCCACCAAAACCGGAAACGCCTCTTGTTCAGTAGTCATGGGAAACATACATAGGCATTATTTCGCGTTGGCTTTTTTTTGCATGGCAAAACATGCAAAACAATCAAACTCATGGTGCCACTGAGCAACTGTAGACCAGAACTGTGATATTCCAATTGTATCTCCAAGACTTGGCCTAATTTGTCAGAACTACACCAAATCTCTCAACATCTTTGCAACCGGGTTCACGCAGGTTCCCTTCGTCTTGGTTTCCCGTGCTTTACAGCGAAACCAAAATGGGTGTCGGTCAAAACTAGGTACCCAACATGTGTTGCTCCAAATGGAAACAAGGACTTTAATTGCTGCGGTCCACTTCCTGGTTTGATTTTCACCCATACCCGAATGGGTATGAATTTAAATAGGGACCCGAAATGGTGGACATCAGCATTTGGTGGGGATTTGTTTCAGTTCAGGAGGTTTCCCGTCAAAGTTCATAGCAAAATGAAACTATCGTTGTTTGTTGCTCCTTACCGATTTGCAGGTTTGTTGCATGCCCTTTCTGTATTCAACCCAACATGAAATCTTCGCCATGAAAGGGTCCAGCCACCACTTTCCAGGGGGCTTCCCGCCCTTTGCCACATCTCCACTGGCGCCCTTTGAGCTGAGGTGCTCAATCGCCGCCTTCACTGCCAGCGCTTGCGCAGCCCCGGAGCCTAGGCGCGGGTCTTTCGCGAGCAAATAGGCGGCTCGTCTTCTTAGGGGACCTCCTATGGAATAACGGTTTTCTTGGGTTCCCTTTAAAACCACTCAAACAAACTCCTCACAAAAAAAAAGAAGACAAACAAACAGGCCGACATATCGTTCAGTTCCTTTAGCCTCAGTGACCCTGCGCAGTATTTTAAGCCAAAAAGCCTCCCCACACAGCCCCCTTTGCACCCTTCCGGAGCTCTCCTTGAAAGCTGCTCCGAACCACTCCCAGCCCAGGGCACATTCAGCTGGCAAAAAATCAGTACGAAAGGCAAACCCAAGCCAATTTTGGTGGACATTTTGAAAGCCAAAGGGACCACCCTCCAAAAAAATCAGGTCGCAATGTGTGTCAAACCCATGCCCAGTGCTCGGTGCTGGTAGAAAAACAATTGGACCCTCTTAGGAGGTGATTCCATTGTAAGTGGGAACAGGGCTGTGGGCTAACTTCAAGCAACTAGTCTAGAAACAGCAGGATCCGGCTGAATTTCCAATGGAACTCCAAAAGGGCATCAAACCCAGGGGCTAAACCCAAAGGCTTCTTAAATGAAACACACAAGCTCCAGTCCAAAACAAATTCGTGACCGCAGAGGGCGGCTCAGAGCTGAAGGAGCGCGACAAATACTTCGAGCCAAGTGCCGAGCATTCCCAAAAGCACAAGCCAAAACAACAACCCCCCACCTCCCTGGGAAAGAAAAAACAAAGCAGCACACACCCACCCACCCACCCACCCACCCACCCACCCACCCACCCACCCACCCACCCACCCACCCACCCACCCACCCACCCACCCACCCACCCACCCACCCACCCACCCACCCACCCACCCACCCACCCACCCACCCACCCACCCACCCCACCCACCCACCCACCCACCCCACCCACCCACCCCACCCACCCACCCACCCACCCACCCACCCCACCCACCCACCCACCCCCACCCACCCACCCACCCATACCCACCCCCACCACCCACCCACCACCACCACCCACCCACCCACCACCCCACCCACCACCACCACCCACCACCACCACCCACCACCCACCCACCACCCACCACCCCACCCACCACCACCACCACCCACAACCACCGCCCACCACCACCCACCACCCACCCACCACCCACCACCACCCACCACCACCACCACCACCACCCACCACCACCCACCACCACCACCACCACCACCCACCACCACCACCACCAACCCACCACCACCCCCCACCACCACCCACCACCCACCACCACCCACCACCCACCACCACCCACCACCACCCACCACCAACCACCACCAACCACCCCACCCACCACCACCACCCACCACCACCCACCAGCCCCCACCCACCCACCCACCCACCACCCACCACCCACCTACCCACCCCCACCACCCCCACCCACCCACCTACCCACCCACCCACCCACCTACCCACCCACCCACCTACCCACCCACCTACCCACCCACCCACCTACCCACCCACCCACCTACCCACCTACCCACCTGCCTACCCACCCACCCACCCACCTACCCACCCACCCACCCACCCACCCCCACCCACCCACCTACCCACCTACCCACCCACCCACCCACCCACCACCCACCCACCACCCACCCACGCACGCACGCACGCACGCACGCACGCACGCACGCACGCACGCACGCACGCACGCACGCACGCACGCACGCACGCACGCACGCACGCACGCACGCACGCACGCACGCACGCACGCACGCACGCACGCACGCACGCACGCACGCACGCACGCACGCACGCACGCACGCACGCACGCACGCACGCACGCACGCGGCAGCACTATCAAGCCTTCCAGACCTCTGCCCAAGGCGCCATATTTGGCACCCCCAGCGCAGAACAGCTCCACGGAGTCGCAAGTCTTCCTTCCACCGATCGGAGGGTGTCGACGGAGGGGTTTTGCCGGCGACTGGTCATTCAATTCCAGCTTTGGTCGGCGGGTTTGGTCCCCTCCTTGTCAAGCTCGAAGCCACAGAACAACAATCGAAACTGTCCCAGTTTGATTTGAAAGGTGCTTCGTGGATGGCTTGCAAAAAGATGCTCAAGGGGCATAGTGCCCCTACCCACTGCTTCGCTGGGGGCTTCTAATTGGATCAGAGTCTTGGGACTTGTCCTCATTGGCTCAGAGTTGCCCAGTACTCGACCCCGCTTCTGCGATGCTCCGCAAAACACACTAGTGTTGAATCGCAGGCGCGGAAACAAGGTACGTCGTGTATTCATCCCCTGCTGCTTTTTGGGACACATGGCCAATCACAGGCTATCAGTTGTCACCCAACCACCGGGAGCCAGGCTTGTAGCTGCCGTAGCCAACCTTGAGGCTCGTCTCATGGAAAAGCCACTCCTCAGAGAACGCCCAAGCAGCATGTCAGGGTGGAATCCCAAATTGCGCCTTGGGAATCTGACAAAGGCTTGGTTGATCTGGGTGTTCTTCAACGTCCCTTGACAATACCAAATGCGAGAATGATGGGGGTGCAAATAAAAAGAACTCCGACTTTGGCCCGCTGCCCTGCACTCGTTTCCTTCGAGGGTCACCAAAGGGTCCAGGCTGGAAGCAGTCATGCCCCACATGAAATCACGTGCTACCTGGCAAACAACGGTGGCATCAACAAGGACAATAGCCAATGGTTTATATCATATCGACATGTGCGTGTATATACTGATAACGATCCTTATAAGACTGCATCACCACTCGGGTTTACCTCCATGATCCTACTTATCCCTAGATGGACGTGGTACGAAAGAACGTGGATCAAGCATAGGTACCCAGGCTTCATGTGGGGCCGCTTCGCAGGGGGAATGCCTATTTTGATTATAGAAGTAGGACCTAGCACATCCTTGATTCTATGATGTGCTTCTTTGCTCAAACATTCCTATACAACTCTTGGCAAGTGGGAAGTCACAAGAAAAAACACATTGGTACATTGCAGACAGGCATTTGAAAAGGCAGACTAGCGGCAAGGACTGCAACGGACGGGAAGGTCGCGAAAGGAAATTTGGTAGAAACAATGTTCAAGAGTAGCTTTGCACCTTCAAAGGGCACACTTTTGAAACAATGAGCTGTGAAAGTCCGATACACCAACACTCGACCCAAGGGCAACAAACGGCGAGGCTTCCAAACAACAGAATAGTGCTGCATACTGGCCAAGAAATCGTTTTTGATTGTCAAGAGAAATTGAAGAAAACTAATCCTTGTCAGATTCCCACCCAAAAAGCAATTTTGGGAATCCTTCATCATTCTCGCATTTCTTGGTATCTGGCCATTTTGGTGTGAGAACCCGCATCCGATCCACGGATTTTGCCAAAGTGGCCCCGCTCTTCCCTTTCAGCTTTGCGATGTCCCGGCCGCGGATGCCTGTTCAATGACGAGCAAACACTAATATAGGAAGGTGACTGTGAATACATGAACCGATCCGGATTTGCCTTCCCATACACTCAGGAACCCAGGATTCCTTCAAAAGGATACATACAGAAAGCACTTGCTTTGCAAGGGGATCCTCTGGGGCAGCTGCGAAAGGAGATTTGTTCAATGCCAGAATGCATCATGCAAATTAAGAAACCCCTGGAACGCCCCACATACCCTTTGGACAGCATCACTATCTTCCGGGTCAAAAAGATCTCTCTTGGGAGGCTTCCTGTGATGAGTACTGTCTTCCGGATGAATCCTGTCGGTACGGAACCGCGAAAGTAAAGAAACGACTTACTTTGAAGGCCCCTGTCCGGCTGAGAATAGAGGAACTACTCCGTGTGAAGGTGTGAATATCTTGTACAGCAACCCCTGTCTGCCTCAAATAAGACGCCTCAAGTTGAGGAGAAACATGAGCAACGAGTCGACCAACATGAGACCAGAACTTTGACCCAAGTCAAACTCCGAGAATGACATGTGGGCCCCTTGCTGGACGCATCCAGAGAACCCCCAACTCCGTTGGTCTCCTTGCGGGCTGAAAAAACCCAGCAAGTGATGTCCCGCAACTTAAAGCAACACCCAAGACTTGTCCAACCCCTCTGCACTTTGAATCCGTGATCATTATTCAGGTCTATATATGCGGGTGTCTTTTTTGGAGTTGGTACCCTGTTCTTGGTGGTTCTCCAGGGAAACCTCAAGGACCAAAAACAGACACCACATTGGGGGGTCCCCAATAACAAGACACACCCTATATACTGAAATTCCTACAAGCGCATTTAGCTACCAAAAGCGCAAGGCTCGATTCATGGCATGTCCGTGCTTGGGATCTCCGGCGAATCCGACTCAAATTCTTGTCCTCCCGCCCGCTTCGCCAGCCTGCCCGCTGCATCTGTGTGCACCAGTACTTGCTCAGGGGGCATGGTTCCTGCACCAAGGAGCTTCTCGTGTGCATGCTGTGCCTCACCTGTCTTGAATCCAGGCGTGCATTCGTTGTTCGAGCTTGCCCATGTAGTGAAACACCGGAAAAAGTGTGATCAATCCTCACATTGATAACTGTGCATAAACAAAACTGCGCACCTTGACAATTCAACTATATCTTGCCCGCAAGCGGCCTTGGGAAGCCTGCAAAAACTCAGATCGCTCACCGGCCCAAGAAAGGAACCCTCACAGAGGACATCTCAGCTCTAAACATCTGTAAGGTTCGACCAAGTACTTCGAAGTCTTGCGTGTCCCATGGTCACTCAACCAGAGTTCCACAAGCAAGCACTGTATCTTCGTGGTGATTCTGACTGAAATTGGCGGCGCAAAAGATATTGTTTAAGGCCCAAATGTGGACGGACCTTACAAATCGCAGCAGCTTGTCAGGCTGCGAAGCCTCCCCCGGGCTTTGCAATACATCACTGGCAGGAACAACTGCCGAAAGCAAGCCTCGTGCATGTCCTTCAGCTGATCGAAGTAAGGACGGGTTGGTACATTTGCTGATTTGCAGCTTTGGTCACGAGAGCTGGCGTGTTCCTTGAAAGAATGCTTTTGTATATGACTTGTCTGGCTGGTTCTCATTCCGAGAGATTTTGGTGGATTTCCTTGGGGTCCCTCTCCAAAACTCACAGACCATTCCCTGAAGCCCAGTTTGTCGCGTCCGAGACGGCGCCACTGAGCTGCGGGCCATGTCCGGGTGAAGTCCGCCGTTCCTCGGCAACTTGATCTGACCCGCTGTATCTATCCAGCTCTACCAGAATTTCCGTCTCTATCATGTGTTCTATCCATTCTTATCCATCCAGCATCTTAAATTTGTTTGCTTTTCATGTTTTGTGGGTTGCATCTAGCTCCATTCTGGGCAGCGAGGTGCATGTCAACAGTAGGCCATAATGATGAAGCGAAGAGGCATTGCGTGTGTGCGTGTTGCCACCCCGGTTTGCCAACCACACGTGTTCAACCAAGCTGCCATATCTTTTGGGCTTCAGTTGCCAGTCTCAGCCACACCCCCGCCAGGCAAAATCACCCGGCCCAGTCCTGATTGACTCAACATGCCGCAGACGTCCAGCCGCGAGCGCAAAAGCAGCCGCGCCCTCTTGGTGTTTTTTTCTTTCTTTTTTTCTTTTTTTCTTTTTTTTCCGATTTTCGGCCACCAACCGGGTTGCTCGGTTTTTGAGGGTATACCCTTTGGTTTGTGACTTGAAGGAACACCAAGAAGGAGAACCATCCAGGATATGGGTCCGATTTCTAAAACAGAGCCCAACAAATTCAACAACATTGAAGAGAAGTGGTGGGTGGCTCAAAACGTTTCAGAGCCAGGGCACTTTGGGTCCATTTACTTCGGCATATATGTCCAATGCGAAGTTCCCTCCAAAAAACCCACAGGTTCAAAAACAGATCGATGAACATTTCAAAACCAAAACCGTTTCAGCTCCAATCAGTCTAAAATCCAACAGTTCCTTTACCTCAAAAAAAACAACAGCCTCAACAACAAATCACCGTTATCATGTTCAGCTTCAATGTAACAAACTTCCCGCGCCATGTTGGGCTCTCCGTCCAAGGCCCCCGCTCACGCCCCATGCTCTCCGCTCCCCGAGACCCACCGGAGCCAAGTTGCAGGATGGCTTCCTTGACCGCTTGAGCCTGCTGAATGCCGAAGCCTGAGACGCAAAAACCGGGGCGCGGTCTAAGAGGTCCGGTGGAAACATGGCCTCGACCACAAACGTGAACATAAAATATAACATCGAACACACACCAAACACATGATTGCTTTAAACAAACATGTTGTTTGTCGAAAAAGACACACTTATTAATAGCAATACTGTCTTTGAAAAACATGTTCGGAGCCACAAGGAACTCAACGAGTAGCTGAGTAGGTAAGACCAGGACCGAGGGGCAAACTATCCAAGTTGTTTCTCCGGGAAGAGCGCTCTTCACCACTGCGGAACAGCAGATGCTGTGGTTCATCAACCTTTCGGCTGCGGTACCACTACATATAGTAGTTGTGTTCTGCCTTTACTGCTGAGCGCTTCCCAACAACAAAAAGAGTCCTTGAGCAACCACTTCAGAAAGGCTGGTCTACCCAGTTTTTGTCTTCTTCTTTTTTTCTGAAGCATGTTGCTGCCTCTTTCACCCGAAGCTGCCACAAGTTGGAGAGGATGCCCTGCATGCTGTATGAGATGCGCAAACGCACGTGAAAACTAACGTCAGGGCTCGGCATCCGCAACATCCCCAAGCATCACAGGCAGCCAACATCCCCACTTTTGTCTCCTGAACATCACCTGCGCTGAAGGCATTCTGAACATCCCCCTCCCCCTCCCCCTCCCACCCTTCCGTTCCGCACATGCCCAAAAGACATCCCTCCGCGGGCATCCGCATCCCTAGTATCTCACCCTGGCTGACAGTGCCTGACATCTCAAAGAAATCAGCATTCACACATCAGCATCCCTAACATTTCCGGCATCCCCAACAGTCCCCGCAACCACCACTTTCTCGTCCCTGCCATCCTTGGAATCCGCATGCCCGAGGTGTGTTTCCTTCCGGCAGGGACCGCGAGGAAGCAAACATCAACGGTTTTGTCCTCGAAACAGATCAAACCAAACTAAACCCTAGAAACCCAGCAGCCCTAAACATCCCAACGTCAGCATCCTGAAGCCACATGAACAATCAGCAGTCGGCCCCAGTCCTTTTCTCGTGCTGATTTTTCTGGATTGTCTCCCCCTGGAACATCTACTTTCATTTGCTTAAGTCCCCTGAAAAAAAAAGTTCCAGTAGTGATAGATTCCCTTTAAAACCAACAGGGGAAAAAAACTGACCCAAATGGGCATGGGTCAAAACTAAACCACCTGGGGACCACAGGTTTTAGTCATTGTTTCCATCTACCAGGATGCCATTTTGGGGCTACCCTATTTTTGACCCACAGCCAAATGAAACAACTAAATTCTCCAAGCGGCCGAAGCGGCTCTTCCCGGCGCAGAAGAGCTTCCGGTTGTCGCAGGCCTTCTTCCAGGAGCCTTGGCCCACCTGTCGTTGCGCTTAGAATGGTCGCAGGCCATTGGGCATTGGGCTCCCTAATGTGCATGGTTGCAAAATCCATTTCGCAGCACCTAAGAAACCCTTCAGAAACCCTGGTTTCAAACGATTCCCCTGAAAAAAACCAACAAAGAATGGTTCAACCATGGTTTCAAAGTGGCGCGAAATGGGCTTCGTGCATCCACAGTATGTTGAAACCAGCTAGTGTGAACTCAGATGCCCAGTGGATTTCCATGGGAAAAAAGGGCATCCCATTTGTTTCCCCGCAACCCCACCCGTTTCCCTCCACCCCCCTCCACGTTCGGGAAACCCCAGGAAAGTGGGCGGGCTCATGTTGGCCAACGAAATCTACAAAGGCGTCCCTTCGCTTGGCGACCAACACCCTATAAAGGAAAGCCTGCAAGAGAAAACACAACACAGCAAGGATACAAAACGATGAAACGCCAGCTTTTCTTCGGGAATGTATCCCCTAGAAGCGCTTTCGGAAATCTATCCCCAAGCCTCCGGAACCCAGCGAACCCCCGGCTGCTTGGCTTCCATCGACCATAGGGACGTCTTCGTCTCGCCTTCGTGGTCTCGCCCTTGAAGTACCACACCTCAGCTGGTTCATTTCGCCGAAGGAGGGCAGAGGCATCGAAACCGGCATCCCATTTCAACTGTTGCACTTAAGATTTGCATTGTTTTTTTTCTGAAATGAGCAGCCTCCCATGAAATGGGTTTCTACACTACGGGGCTGCTTAGTTATCCCATTGTGCGCTCACACCCTGACAAAGGGTTCCTTCGAAGGAAACTTCTCTCTGGCGAGGTCCATGTCAACTGTGAAGGTAGGCCATTGACTGAAAAAAGGCAGCACGCTCCGCAAGAACGACTGGTGGGTACATTTGCTCAGTGCATCAACACTCCACCCAGTTCCAAGATGTGAGTCGTTTCTAAATGAGTGTTCATTAGTGGGTGTTTTTTGCATGAGGATATAAGTCTACCGCGACCGGCCATGTTTGAGCCTGTTCTCATCGAAATGTCAGGCCCAGATCACTCAGTGGACGCATCTGCTGCATGACCGAGACGCTCCTTTGGAATAGCTCACCCTGCCGGCATCGTTGCGAACCAAGCCTGGCGTAAGGCCGGTGCAAATGCTGCAGGTTGCACCAAGTAACACAGCCCAATGTTTATGACGAGGTCTAAGGGTCTATAGGTTGATCTATAGGGGTGGTAGTCCCTGCACAACCATAAGGTCTGAATGAGGAAAGCGAGGCCATGAAACCCCCCCAGGACCCGCCGCTGAACAAGCAAGCACAAGCCAGCCAGACAGCCGTCCAGTCCAGCCCAAAAAGCTTACCCACCAGCCAGTCCCAACGGAACCCGTCAGTCATAGCCTTAAGACGCTGCCTCAAAGATTGGCTCCTGCAAGGGAGCCCGGCTTGTGAAATTGCTTGCTCACAAAACTTACCCGTCTTAACCCTTTAATTTCAGGTGTCTAAAACTTCCACTTGCTCCCTCAATCTTGTACCATCGGTATTCCACTCCTTTCCCAGTCGAATCCTCTGCGCGGCCTGCTCTCTGAAGCTGCTTGCACCAATATTTGCCCAGCGTGCAGAACACCTGCCAAGGACGTGTGTTCTCAAACCCTTGTGAAAAGTACGCCCCCATGCCCTTCCCCAAAAACATAGTCTCCTTGCCTGGAGGCCAAACAAATGAGTGGTGGGCGCTAATATTGATTGGACTTCCGCAAATCTTCCGCAGTATGAAGGGAACCTTCCGCGAGCATGTTTCTATATACGTGCTTCCGCCATCCTTCCGCGGGCAAGTTGTGTCCGGAAACTGAGGAATGGTAGCTTCCGCGAGGGCATTCGGGCGCACGATCTGCTAGTATTCCAAGCAAGAGCAAATGTAATTCTGGAAAAAAGCCTTCTACAAACCTTCCGCGGCTGCAGTGTGGTGCTACCCTTTTATTGATATGTCCACCTCTAGACATTTGTGCATGAGCAGGAAAGCAAAAGCAACGCCACTCGAATATGTTTTAATAGGCTTAATTTCTGCACCAGAGGATTCCGCTATGGTCCTCGTCCAAATGGGTCCCACTATTTATGGGCTCCAATAATCGTTAAAATGCAATTTCCGAGTAAGGAAATCGAACAGCAGTCATCTTTGGATTTGCGATGGTTTCGAATTGGTTTAAACTTGGTTTGGTACGGGTTTAGTATTGGTTTAGTCTTGGCTCTAAAATGTATCCTAATAAGACTGGAATTGGGGTCGGCGGTAAACTTGCTTGTTTAGAATTCATTTTGTCTTGGCTATGTCTAATTCAACATTGTTATTGGGATATTTGGATCTGGGAAAAGCACTATTTACTAACAGGGTGTGTATATCTAGATAGGAGGAACTAAGTTTATAGATTGTACATACATACATATATATATATACACACATACATATGCACATCTCAAGAACTGTCGCCGTTTACTAAGAGCGCGTGTTCAAGACAGTTTGCCAAGGGGGGGTATATGTTGTTTGGAGCTTGGTGGCATGCATGGTGCTTAGCGACCTCTGCTTCGCCCGGCCTTGTCTGGATGAATTCCCCCGTTCCTTGGGAAAGCTCAAGAGCGCTCGAGAACGATCAATCATGAGGACAAGCGTGTGTTCCGACTGCCAACTACTTCATGTTGAATCATGACACCAACAAGCCCACGTGGTGACAAACACTATGGCTGTTTGGCTGCTTCTTTGTGCGTTGTGTTTGATTGAAAGGGTTGTCGTCACTCAAGAATGCAGGATAGATCCGGTATTTGGAAGATGGGACAACGCAGGTTTGCCAACCCCTCAGTTGTCGTGACTCGTGATCTGACACCTTTAAGTCACAATTTGCATGTAGTGATGTCCCCTGACCAATTTCTGAGCCAACGGTGTCACAATTGGAGGTCCTTGTGTCATTTGAGCCAAAGGGCGAAACGGCCCTGCCTAGGGGAAGGGGGGAAGGGGGTGGGGGTCCCTTTCTTCCCAAAGCGAACATGCCACTTGGTTGCTGTAAGGACCCCTCTGCAAAAAGTTGTCCACTTTTTGTGGGTTCAATGGAAAACCCGATGATTTCAAACAAAGAGGTAAAGGCTAAAGGTCCAACCCGATAGCAGTCAAGCCATACATAGAGCTGCTCCCCTACGTCCCTAATTGCTCAAGAGCACCCGCAAATCGCTGCAAAGGTTGGGGTCATGTGGGCACCATTTTGGAATAGGAATTGAATCCACCAACCATCCTCCATTTGCTTACGTCCCCTGGAACAAAAACGTTTCCAGTAGTGATAGATTCGATTAAAACCAACAGGGGGGGGAAAAATGAAGCCATGCGCTCATTTCGAGTGCAGCCGCGGGGCGCAATCGCCTTCTTGACAGCTTGGGCTTGCAGACTGCCCTTCCCTGAGCGACCATCCGTTGGCACGGCTCCCGTTTCCAGAATAAGAAACGCACACGAGTGCGTGGCCAAATGGCTGTGGTTACGTCAAGAATAGGGTAACCTCAAACTGGCTTGCCCTGGTAAATGGAAGGGACGAAAACGCCCGCGGTCAGATTCCTGGTTTAATTTTTGACCCATGCCCAAATGAAAGGATGATGTGAGCTCGTTTTGGTGACCCCAGGCTTCACACCCAACAACGCTTCAAGAAATTCCAAGAGCTGCATGGCCCCGCACTTCGATCTTCTGAGACACCCGCCGAACAGCTTGCCACCAGCACAGTAGAACTTCTCCCGGTCGCACTTATTCTTGTAGGAGCCGTAGCCTACCTTCACCCCCTTGTCCTTGTAGATCCATTCCTCGGCAAGCATCTAGAGACAACAAAGTGTTGAAGTGAAAGGGCCAGCCAACCGGCATCTCACCAATTCTCACCGGCTAACCTTGCGCTTGATTGCTTGCTCTCCTGGTTTCTCCCAAAGAAAACAGTCCCAAAAAACTGGACTGCCCCTGGAAGCCCAACCGGCTGGCAAGGTGGGCTCGGATTTGCAACGAAGGATGGGATTCTGGCCAAGCTGCGCTGTCCTTGACGCGAAGCTGGCCCAGATCTTTCTTGGAGATGCCTGCACACCAATCAGTCTGATGGGCAAACAACGGCTGGAAGGCGAAGAAACTCCCTCAGGGACCTCATCGGCTGAACCTCTTGGCAACAAGTGCAATGGGCCGAAAATGTGTTTGGCAGACCGGGCCCTTCACAGCAAGACGCGCCGGTTAAAGGATCAAGTCTGCCCTGGCCGCTAAAGTCGTGTTCTCTGTGTTTTCGCAGCATGGAAACGAGGCCCGCAGAACTATGGTGAATAAAAACCCGCGGTTAGTCGCTTGCTCTATCTCGTGCCACAGAAATGCAAAGCACTCGCCAGGCCCACACCGCCACCTTGTAATTGCAACAGTCTGCCTGAGAACTTCACTCCGGTCAAGCTTTGGTTGTATGCCTCGCCAAACGTCAGGCTCTGTAGGCTTCCTGGCAAAGTCACTCCGTCCAAGCTTTGGTTAAATTCATTGCCAAAAGTCAGACTCTGCAGGTTTTCGGGCAAAGTCACTCCGTCCAAGATGTGGTTAAAATCATTGCCAAAAGTCAGACTCTGCAGGGTTTCGGGCAAAGTCACTCCGTCCAAGCATTGGTTGTATGCCTCGCCAAACGTCAGGCTCTGTAGGCTTCCTGGCAAAGTCACTCCGTCCAAGCTTTGGTTAAATTCATTGCCAAAAGTCAGACTCTGCAGGTTTTCGGGCAAAGTCACTCCGTCCAAGATGTGGTTAAAATCATTGCCAAAAGTCAGACTCTGCAGGGTTTCGGGCAAAGTCACTCCGTCCAAGCATTGGTTGTATGCCTCGCCAAACGTCAGGCTCTGTAGGCTTCCTGGCAAAGTCACTCCGTCCAAGCTTTGGTTAAATTCATTGCCAAAAGTCAGACTCTGCAGGTTTTCGGGCAAAGTCACTCCGTCCAAGATGTGGTTAAAATCATTGCCAAAAGTCAGACTCTGCAGGTTTTCGGGCAAAGTCACTCCGTCCAAGCATTGGTTGAAAGTGTAGCCGAAAGTCAGACTCTGTAGGCTTCCTGGCAAAGTCACTCCGTGCAAGCTTTGGTTAGGCCAAAAGTTCTGCAGGTTTTCGGGCAAAGTCACTCCGTCCAAGCATCCGAAAGCTTGCAGGTCGAAAGTCACAATCGCCCAAAGGTCAGGACTCTGAAGGCTTTCTGGCAAAGTCACGCCCTTCAAACCTTGGCAAATACCAAGAACACACCTCTTCAGAAATGCGCCGAGGTCAGGTCCGCCGAGAGTCAGTGTCTGCAGTCTGCATGGCAAAGTCACTCTGTCCAAGGTTTCTTGCAGGTTGAAATCAAAGCCAAAAGTCAGGCTCTGCAGGCTCCCTGGCAAGGTCACTTTGGTCAAGCTTTGGTGGACATTGGCAAAACTCAGGCTCTGCAGGCTGCTTGGGAAAACCACTCCTTTTAAGCTTTGGTCGAGCATATTGCCAAAAGTCAGGCTCTGCAGGTTGCCTGGCAAGGTCACTTCGTCCAAGCTTTGGCTGAATTGACTGCCAAAAGTCAGACTCTGCAGGCGACCTGGCAAAGTCACTTCGTCCAAGCTTTGGTTAAATTCTATGCCAAAAGTCAGACTCTGCAGGTGTTCGGGCAAAGTCACTCCGTCCAGGCATTGGTTGAAAGTGTAGCCGAAAGTCAGACTCTGTAGGCTTCCTGGCAAAGTCACTCCGTCCAAGCTTTGGTTAAATTCATTGCCAAAAGTCAGACTCTGCAGGTTTTCGGGCAAAGTCACTCCGTCCAAGATGTGGTTAAAATCATTGCCAAAAGTCAGACTCTGCAGGTTTTCGGGCAAAGTCACTCCGTCCAAGCATTGGTTGAAAGTGTAGCCGAAAGTCAGACTCTGTAGGCTTCCTGGCAAAGTCACTCCGTCCAAGCTTTGGTTGAATTTGTTGCCAAAAGTCAGACTCTGCAGGTTTTCGGGCAAAGTCACTCCGTCCAAGCATTGGTTGAAAGTGTAGCCGAAAGTCAGACTCTGAAGGCTTCCTGGCAAAGTCACTCCGTGCATGCTTTGGCTGAATCGGTCGCCAAAAGCAAAGCTTTGGAGCGTGCCAGGCAAAATAGTTTCAAAGTGCTGGTTCGAATCCCAAGTCAGCTGCGTGATGCCTTCCAGGTCCTGCATCATATTGGTCATGTCGTGTCCTTTCAACAGATTCCATGCCGTCATCAGGCAGGTCTGAGTGTATGTAAACATGCCAATCAAGTCAGACAGGCCCTGCTGTTGCAGCGTTTTGTCTGGCAGAAGCTGGACACCACCAAAGCTCAGGCGAAGCGCGCAGCCGGGCTTCAGAGGCAGCTGGGGTCGCAACCGCCGCATCAACTCACTCCCCAGGATGCAGGCTGGCACAGTCAGGCAGACCTCATGGCCATTGACACCAGTCAGGGTCAACTCCAATGGAGCATCCATGACTAGAGGGGATGAAAATAAGTGTTTCTCGCCATGGGCAGTGTAGAGTGAATGAGTCACATTGCTTGTTTATTGTTTGTGGAAACACAACAAATGCCCCGAGCTCCAAATTCACCAACGACGAATCTACATGCTCCGACCATGCACCGCACTTGCTGGAATCCGAAACATTGCTTGACGGAAATCTGGCCGTTTCGATGCGCGGAAAACACGAAAGCGCCAAGGCCCAGTTTGGTGACACGAAAGTCCCGCCATGGAAATGTTGGCTGTCCAAGGGAATCGCATGGAACAAATGATTTTCCCGGAGCGATGCGAAGGGCGGAGCAACACACAATCAAGAATAACAATCACACACACACACACACAGTTACTGGGTGTTGTTCAAATGTTAGTGTTCGCGGATTTGGGCCCTATTGCCTGCCGCACTTGCACGACACTTGCCAGTTATTTCACACTTGCCCGTTCGGCGACGTTCGCCGGCAGTACAAACCAGAAGCAAAGGTTTACGGACGCCGCCCACCGCGGTTAGCTTTCTTCTGGCTCCACTCCGTCTACGCTGCGTGCGTGCCCCTGCCAAGAATCCCTTGCACCTGGCAGACCGATGCGAATCTTGTAAAACACACAAACTGACAAGCAAACAAATAAGCAACAAGACAAGAAGCAAGCCAGCCAGGAAACACAAGGACAAAGACACACCTAAGCAACAACACAAATAATCAAACAAGCAAACACACCATGTCAAAAATAGTTTATTATTTGTTCAACACATACACAAATAAAGAAGAACATTCGCAAACAAACAAACAAACAAACAAACAAACAAACAAACAACGAAACACATAAACAAACAAACAAACAAACAAACAAACAAACAAACAAACAAACAAACAAACAAACAAACAAACAAACAAACAAACAAACACACAAACAAACAAGCAAGCAAACAAAAAACAAAGAACCAAATAAACAAACAAAGAAACAAACAAACAAATCAGCAAACCAACAATCCAACAAACCAACAAACCAACCAACCAACCAACCAACCAACCAACCAACCAACCAACCAACCAACCAACAAACAAACAAACAAACAAAGCACACAAGCGCACAAGCACACAAACACACAAACAAACAATCAAACAAACAAACAAAACAAACAAACAAACACACAACCAAGCAAACAAACAAACCACCACACCACACCAACACACCAAACAAACCAATCAAACCAATCAAACCAACCAGCAAACAAACAAAAAGCAATGAACAACAAGCAATCAATTAAACAAGCAAGTAAACAAACAGACAACAAACAAACAATCAAGCAAACAATCAAGCAAACAGACAGACAGAATAGAACGACAGCCAGACAGACAGATAGACAGACAGACAGACAGACAGACAGACAGACAGACAGATAGACAGGCAGGTATATCCAGGCAGGCAAACAGACAGGCAGACAAACAGACAGACAGACGGAGGAGCTGACGGACGGACGGACAGATAAACACGTGGGCAGGCAGACCGAAGAAAGACAAACACAAGCAAACAAACAAACAAACAAACAAACAAACAAGCAACCTAGACAGGTAGGCAGGCAGGCAGGCAGGCAGGCAGGCAGGCAGACAGACAGACAGACAGACAGACAGACAGGCAGGCAGGCAGACAGACAAACAGACAGGCGGACCGAACAAAGACAAACACAAACAAACAAAACAACAGAGAACAAAACAAACGAAACTAACTATCTCGCTCACAAATCAAAAAGCAACAATGCATTCCCCCCCCCAGGTTGTTGGACATGGGCTGCTTCCTGTGAAGTGGTCGGTTTCCCTGACTACTTTGTCGCGCTAAGGAGACTCCTTGGCCTGCGGTCTATGGCTGATCTCTGATTGTTTGCTTTTGACTCGTGTCGTCTTCATGGTACTCCCATCCGCAAATGCGAGCCCGTTTCAGACAAGCTATGGCTCCAAAATACAGCGCTCAGAATGGCTGACTGATCGTACTTGGCTTGTTCAAGGTGCCAATGCCCAAAGTCGTATCGCTCTGTACTAGGTTGCTTGTGGTTGCTTCTCCTGGGTCTCCCTCTTACATGCGGGCAGCATTTCCAGCGTCCAACGTCTTACCAATCCAACGAGTCCAAGACACTTCAAAAGGCCCTTTTCAAACACAATGTGTTAAACTCACATATCGGGTTGCTTCAAAAGAGGGTTGCTTTCAGGAGCTGACAAGCCCCAACACTTTGCTCCTAGAATGATAGTTGTCCTTTTGGTTTCTTGAAACTTCCTCTTGAAATCAGCTTGAATCTTGGCCGATGGCATGCAGGACAAGCATTGGACAAACAGTGGGAGGAAAGCATTGGTAAAGCTGGAAAACAAACAAAAACAAAGAGTTGATCAAACGTCCTTTACATGAGATGACCCGTAGGGGAGCACTAAAAAAGATGGCTGTCACCACTAAATGGGAAAAGTTACCCATGGTCATTTGGGGGCAGACATATCGATCAAGCCTGAAATGGAAAAGCATTTGCGACCCCTTTCAATGGTGCTGGTGGAACTGAGAAGGAAGCCAGGCAGAACATGTTGGGAAACAGTGGCAGGAAAAAAACTGAAGATGGAACATTGATAGAGACTGCGCTTTGGAATGACACAGCTTTTCTCTGGCCTTACACGGCACACTGCGTTCCGGTCTACTGGCGGGAGCACCACTGCCCGAGCAACCTGAAGAAATCCGGGTCTTTCAAGATGAACCAAATCTTCCGTTTCTGGAACGAGCACAACCCATAATTAGCTTTCGGGGCACCGCTTCCGCGGCGCTTCGCGCGCCTGCGGTGGTCAGAGTGTTGCACCACCACTTGCTCAGCGTGCACCCGGCCTCGCGGCGTGCGGAAGTGGCGAGTTCGAGGCGGACTCGCCCAAGGGAGGTGCCGCGGCGGTTGATTTTCGGAAGCGTCCGTTGCCTCTTTGATATATGTCTGTAGCTGAAAAGATCGCCCCATGAACCATAGCAAACAAATCTGGTCACTTCATCTCACTCAAGATAAAACAAAACAAGTGTGGAAACAAAGCTTCCAGGTAGGGACACAAACGGGACATCGCAGCTTCGCCTCCAACCCGTGCGCAGCTTTCCAAGCCGTGCCTACTCGATTGTGATTCCTCTTGCTTCTCTTGGCCAGTCTCATTGGTTTCAAGGTGCCTTGTGCTTTTGCCTGCAGAGGTCAACCAAAGAGAAACCACCCTTTTGTGGGATTTGCTGTTGCTTCCCACCCAGCGAGATGGGATTTGGAGAGCCTGAATATCTGGATGCATGCGGCAAGCAAGCCATGAAGGTATTGACAAGCAGCCACTTCTCGGCCCAAGACGGATTTCCCTCAACTTTCATATACGAGTATATGTGAAAATACGGGTAGCCTCCAAGTTGTCCTTCACACCCTTCAGACTTCAAACCACCCCGAAAAGGTACCGGGTACCCTCCCAAAACAGCCATACGTCGCTGGGTGCGAAATCCTGCACCTAAGAAACCCTGAAACGATGATTCCCGTGTAAATACCAACCATGGTTTCCCATGGATTTGAAGTGGCGCAAAATGGGCTAGCCCTTACGCTGAAAACTCATGGAATCCTTTGAAAGGCTATTCGGAGAGGAAATGGCTAGCCCAGAACCAACACTCAAGGCCATGGTCCCGGAAGCTGTTTCAACTGGCACCACCATTGGAAGGACCCAGAAGCTGCCGGAACAGATTGGCGCTTTCTTTCTTCAGGGCCCTATGGCCTGATCGCAATAATTTTACATCTTTCTAGTTGCGGACGTCTCTCCCGCAATAGCGGCCCCGCCCGGCCTTTTCAGGATGAACGCCCTTGTTCCTGAGTTGTCAAATGCGTCAGCTTCTCTCGAGTCTCGGGTGCGACATGAAATCAAGAATAGGGTCCCTGGAGCCATGGGAAAAGCACCAAAGCATCTGCAAATGTTTGCTTGTGCGGCTCCCTTGTGGAAAGAGGGACACCTGGAAGAAAAAACACGAGCAATGCCCCTCTGCCGTACTAAGTGTGTCGACTGTCCACCGGGTTAGAGGCAAACGTCATGTGACTGGCATCAGGCTGTTCCCGCAAGACCAAAACTTGGGTTGGAGGTTCGCAACTTGTGCTAACCCCAGCCGAGACCCCAGCCGAGATACCTGTGTCGAATGACCACACATTTTCCCAGGACCCTGCTCCGGAATGAGACGCGCATTGTGCTTTGCTAAACATCTTGCACCGGCTGGTGAAAGGAAACAAGTTCAGTAACCTCTGCAACACCTGGCTTCTAAGTATCCATCCAAAGTGACATGTTAAAAATGGCCCCTTTCTGTGCTTCATGCAAAGAAGTCTGCCGAATAGAACCTGACAAAGGTTTCTGGTGGTTGACGGGTCACACATCCATCCCCTTGTGGCTTCCACGTCGCGCAATTCACATCTACAAGGGCAATCACTTGCGCAGGTTTGTCTGGCAAATAACCATTCTCGAACGAGGTTACGGAAACGATGGGCAAATCGGTGTGCGTGGCTGTGCGTCAACGCTTTGAAGGAGGGTTTGCATCCCATCTTGTGCTGCCAATCACTACGGGGAAGCTAGGTGCTCTCCGCCGAGTGGCTCGATGGCTTTCTTCAGCGCCTCCGCCTGCTTCAGCCCCGGGCCTCGCGGGTCGCCGAGTCTCGCGACGCGAAGTTGCCGAGCCGCCGAGCGCGGCCGGGGCGCTCCAGAAGGCCGAGCGGATGAATGCAGGTCAACAAAAACAAGCAACGCCGTACATGACATCTACCAGGAGCCTCAAAAACCGATGAAAATGTCATACCTAGGTACACATAAAAACCTCTGATCTAAAACGACAAACAAAGCAATATAACATGAGGTTCTGGGAATCAGCTGATTTCCCGCAATCAAGCAAGCTACAATTAAATGGTTAGAGGAAATCTCTCCAGGAGCTCTTCAAATCAAAGGGCATCCAGCCTTTGAGCTTAGGAATGGCGTGCTGGTTGAGTTGTGCGCCGGCCATCTAACTCTGTGAATCGTGCTCTTGAACCAGGGTGGCAGAGGAACCCGAAGCTGAAATGGCAGTAGCTCAAAATTAAAGAGCTAGGGTTACGCAGGTTTTGGTCCATGTTTCCACTTACCAAGGACCTTGGTTCCATTTTGGCACCGGTTTTTTGAGCCATACCCAAATAAGAACTGGAGGAAGCTTCGTGGCTGAGGTCGCAACCCCGTGCCTGCAAGTGCAGAACCTTCAGGAGGTCTCTTAATTTTTCAAACATAAAACAATAGACAAAACACACGTCAACCAAAGAAGCAAAACAAAACAAACAAACAAACAAACAAACAAACAAACAAACAAACAAGCAAACAAGCAAACAAACGGACAAAAGAAACACTCCGAACCAACACCAACTGACAAACAACTAAACGAACCTAGCTACCAACCCACTACCTCCACAAACACACAAACAAAAGGCAAATCTTCCCCCAGAACCACAAGCCCTACAAAAAAAGCCATCTCGAGCAACCTGAGTAACCCCTCCCCCCCCGCCCCCGCCCCCGCCCCCCCTCCCCCCCTCCCCCCCTCCCCCCCCCCCCCAACCCCCCCAAGGCTCCGGGCCGTAGGTCTTCCCCCCGGCGCAGAAGTAGGCCTCGCCGTCGCAGGTCTTCTCCGACTCGCCTTTGCCCACCTCGAAGCCACGTGCGCTTCGGGTGGAAAAAATATACGCCCTTTACATGTTTTTATTATTACTACGTATCATTGTTTAAATACGTGTATACATGCATACTGCATATATATATATATATATATCAGATATTGTATATATTAATATGTATATATGTATATGGGATATATACATATGTTTGTAGTGGATGCCCTAAATATTGCAAGACAGGCAACAAGTTTGTCGTATTCTATGGTCGAAAGGGTTGGCGAGAATTGGTGTACATGTCTAGCTGGTGTTGCTTTTCTAGGTTTTGAACCTGCGCCCAGCTAAAGAGGATCAACAGGGCTATGCCAGCAAATGGAGCAACAGCACGTGACGCCTTCTGCATGGGTTCACGAGGAGAATCAAGGGGAAACCACCTCGGTCCTAATTACAAAAAATGTTGAACTCACCCCCACTGTTCGACCATTTGAGGTTCTTCGCAGGATACATGGCTTGAAAAAGCATAGTCCTGACACTTGCAGCTGGGCTGCCCTCAGATCCCCCGCTAAAAGTTCTAACTTTTAGTGGGTTAAATGGAAACTACCACTAAACGTACTAAACACTAAAAGGCTAAAAGCTAAGGGGATGGGTGGGAGCCACCAAGGTAGGGAATGGCCCGGGGCGAGGGTTCTTCGACTGTACGCACGGAGAACCAGCGAGAACCAGCCCCCCACCTTGGTGCCCTCCGCATTGTAGAACCACTCCTCGGCAAACTGGTGGCTGGGCCCAAGTCATTTGGCTGTGGGTAAAAAAAAAATGGAACTCTGGTAAATGGAAACATGGACTAAAATTCTGCGGTCCCCTGGTGAGTTGAATATTGACCCACACCCATTTGAGCGTGGTTCCTTTGTTAGCCTTCGACCAACAGGAACCTGGGTCCTGGAACACCATGTTGTTGCGGAAAGGCCCTTTGGTGGTGTTTCCATGCTTGCTCAAAGAAGGCGAACCATGTTGTGTTTGTTTGGCGGATCACTCGCTCGGATTCATCCGAAAGGGTTGAAGTCTGCGGACAAGGATTGCAATTACATCCATTACAGTCTAGGGTCAGCCGCTCCCAAGGGTGAGGGAAGTTGGCAGATCAAAGTGGTGAAACATCGAGCCCTTTCGGGACCCGTGTCATGTCAACTTCGGTCCCCCAAGGCCTAAGAGTTTTTGTCATCCACCGATGGGTCAGTTCAAAAAATCACGGTCTACATAATATGTAGATTCCATGGCTTCCCCGCGCACTTGCACTTACGCCAAGTTTGTGTATACGACGTGTTGGCTGACGATACATTGGCCCATAGATTCAATTGGCGTGGAAATGAAAGCTCTACCTTGACCACTGCCCTGACGTTACGAAGCCAGAAAATTGGATTACTGAGGTCACCCAGACTCTGGCGACATGGACATGATCGCACCTCTTGGCATTTTTCGGGCTGCAAAATGCAGACAGACAGCAAATCTGGAGCTCTGGATAAGAAAGCTCCCCAAAACAGGGAGCTTTCAGTTGGTGTTGAGCAGGTACCCAGGAACCTGCGTTGCCCTTTGTGGTCCAAATTCCAATTTACCATACACAAGCCACAATCAACACCTGGTTCTAAAGTAGTCGGCTAAAACCAACGCAAATAGTCACAAACACGCCAAAACCCCGCACCTATCTATTCCTGGGACTGTCTCCTTGACGTCGCCTGACATAAGTACCCAGGATTTGTATGGTTTAACGACGTCAAGGATCTGGTTTATTTATCTGAGATGCCCAGTGGCCTTGAGAAAAGAAGGCCACCTTTTTTTGGTTGGTTCTGTTCAAAGGGGAACCCTTACCCAAAACAAGTTGAACAATGGGCACCACCGGGCAAAGTTCTTCCCGGGATTGACGTCGCCGCCGTTTTTCTTGGGTTTCGTTCTCAGATTCAACAAATTCCGCACCTCTCGCGTGTTTAAACTCGCCCGGGCGCTGTTCCCTTGAAGGTGATCTTGGCCTGGTCGGCCACCGGGATGCCTGCAGCTATGGGCTTGACGTGACTGCCTCCAACTCATGGCCCTCGCCCCACATACACCTGAAATTACGCCATAACCGAGAAACATTTGGAAACAACCTTGGTCTGTAATGTGTATATATATATATATATTGTGTATTGGATAACACAAATAACTTGAAGCGAGTGGCACTCATGCGTGCCTCTATGCTTTTAATACCCGCTGTGGATGCCTGTCCTGTGCACAGCGTTTTTCATTCTCAAGGAGACTCGAGCGGGCCTGATCCCGACCTCCCCCCGTTGGCATCAAAATCATGGCCACGAGTGAAAACGACACAGAGCCGCAAATACAGGCACTTGTTGCCCTGTTCCCAGAGGGTCCAAGTACTTTCTAAGGAGGTACTTAGACCCCTTTCGAAACCCCTCAAAGCCATCCTCAGGAGGTACTTCGACCCTCTGGGGTTGCTAGGAACTTGCGAATATCATCGCTTTGCGAATGACCCCACCTCCAGGGCTCGCTTCGGTGCATGCCGAAGCGAACTATTGCGTCAGAAAGCCAACCGCACCCACGCACAGAACCATGGAAATTACGGTAAGTCAGGCGGCTGTGGGTCAAAAATAGGTACCCAAAATGGAACCCTGGTAAATGGAACCATAGACTAAAACCTGCGGTCCCTTGGCGGTTGAATTTCTACCCATACCCAGGTGGTTCCCTTGTCCCTTAAGCAATTTGTAGGGCATCCGCCGTTCCTAGCTCGTTTCCCAGCTATCTCGGCACGCGAGACGGGAGACCAAACCCCGCGCGAGTGAGCCTGCTTTTGTGAAGTCCTTGCACCAGGAGCCCATGAGGCACTTTGGCTTTTCCTGCACGTGGCGGTGGTTGTGAAAAATAGGGTACCCCCAAAATGAGTTGCCCTATGGAACCAAAGGACTAAAACCTGCGGTCTGGTGGTCTTGAGCCACAGCCATGAAAAACACTAAGGCAAATGGAATGTCCGGATGGCTTATCGACTGAAGTCGAACCTGCAATCTGCGACACAAACCCCCTACGGCTATGAAAAGAGACATATTCACAATTTTTACTCTCTGCAAATCAATCTGAAACAACCGGGGGTCCCCTTTCTTGGGGGGCCCCAAAAAAATCGTTTAGTTTCAGGATCCACGTTCTAACTGTTTAAACAGGGAAGTCGCGGCCGGCGTGAGCCGTTTTTCTGTTTCCTCCTTCTTGGCGACCACCGTCTTCTTCTCCCGCGGCGGGGGCGGTGGAGGCGGCCTAGCCAGCGGACTGATGTGCCGATGTGCCGTGGGCATCTTGGGGTCTCTCAAATGCGCGCGAACTCCTCGGCTGATCTTCGAAGTGAAATGGTTCTTTCTTGGCTCAGTTTGGAGAACATCCCTATAGTATCCTGACAAAGTCACTACACACACACACACACACCAGTGTTGGCCGTGGTCATGGGTGACTTCTTAGAAATCATGATGCCAGTTGCCTTACGCACTGCTGAAAGAAACCATGACCAGGCAGCAAATCTTTGCACCATGCCACGCATGAGTGTTAAAGTCCAATAGGGGACCCTTTGGTGGACATCATTTAGGAGGGGATTCATGTCCACCCACCACTTTGGAGGCGGTTCCTTACAGACATGCATAGCCATAAATGCCTTTCTGGCAGTTGAAAGCGAGGGTGGGCGTGAAAAACAGTGAGTCCCATATTTTTTCATGAGGGATGTCAGGGGATGTGTGAGACGGGGGCTTCACCCCACACTCTTGAAAAGGACAGGGCACTTTTTTGAGGCCGAGGGGTCACCACGTCTGCAATGGGATAGTGCCAAACGGCAGATCCTGAGGTGGGTGTTCCTGAGGGACCCTTGGCAAGCTTGGCATACCAAGAGAAATCCGTTCACTTTAAAGGACGTCACAAACAACTGTCACACGAAATATCAATACTTCTTCCACGCCCCCCCGTTTTGGGAGTTCCTTTAAACTTGTTTTGACATGCTTTGACACCCATTCGCGCAATTTGTCTGAAAAAAGGACGCCCCCAGCGCTGCCGAGCTGCGCAGGGGCAACGAAGGGACTGTCCGGCTCCACCTGCACACGAAACTGACGGCCTCTGTTGGACCCGGGAAGGGGCGAGGTCTGTCGCAAAACCTGTCAACACGGAAGTTGAATTCCACACATGCTGAAGCCCAAAAGGCTTTCTTGCACGCAATATTCATTATTATTCATTCTTGGAGACCTTCCTTTGGAGTAGCTGCGCGGAGTCCTCTGGTTGAAACCAAAACGCACTAGCGGGGAACCAAGCAGGAAACGAGCCAAACAAAAATACTGCGCCAAGGAAAAGAGGCTCACATTTTGCGCTGGACTCTGTCAGTCGAACCCCTTTCTGGGATCCTTCAGCGATGGTTCTAGGTCCAAGCAGTAGGGATCCGGCCGCGTCAGGCTACTCTTGGGGGTTCCTTAAGGGACCCAGTTTTCCAGGGCTTCCTTTCATGTTCTGAAGCAAGCAAGCTTGCCTCCCCCCTCCCCACCAGAAGGCTCGGCATGGTTGCGCGTTGGTTTCACCCGGACCTTTGGCTCTTTGGAAATGACGGTTTTCCCGTGAGATAGGAAGCGGCCTAGCATTTTGCGATTCAAAGACCCAGGATTAGTCTTAGGCAAACCTGCATGGTATTACGGTTATCCTTGGACAACTTCCGGTTGATCCTGCCGTTCGACCATTCAAAGGTGCAACTTGGATACAGGGTTGCCTTCGATCTGTTCTGGACAATCAAGGGACTGCCTCGAATCATTGAATAATTCCAACACCAGGAAGAAGGGATCCTTTTCCAGGAACCTCCATCCTGGATGAGCTCGTTCGATCCCAGTCAAGTTTTAACAGCTCATGAGGATTCACTCGTGTAGAAGAAACAGCGCAACTCCAAAACAGATGACAACTGTACAGAATGACAAGTAAGGAATCCCAAAAATACAGGGCCCGCCAATTTTGTCTCTATGGGAACCATGGGGTGGGTTCCTAAAAGTGGGGCAGGCTTGGTATGAACCCCAAACCCTAATTTGACATTGCATGACATATCTTTGAATTTCTTCCAAACCAAAGAAGCCACCCTTACCCACAAATGGAAGCTGAAAGAGGATTTCGCAACTCTTTTCCGCTTCCATGACTGTTGGAAAGATGGCAACCAGCTGAAGCGGTTCAACTCTGCAATTCATCTCACCAAACACTCTGAACAAGGAGCCCCAAGCTATTAATCTTCTTCGTGATCGATTTACCTCCAGGTACTCGTGTTCAATCTGTAGAGCCCACAAGGCCGTGTCGGACTTGCGAGGATGCCTCGGAAACCATCGCCGAAAGTTTCTCCCTGCTGAAGAACAACTTCCTAGGAAGACTTTCATACGAGTGCGGCTTTTTGGACTGGGCTCAAGTCCTTGGGATTTGCTCCGGACCCCGGAGCCAGTCAGCTCACGCCGCGAGCCTGGCCTGAAAAGCAGCCCTCGGATCTGGGCTCAGATCCCCTAAGAGTGACTAACTCTTGGTGGGTTCAATAGAAACTGCCACTCAACACTAACCCCATACTCAAAATACCCGCTTCTTGCAGGTTATTTTTTGCAAGAACCTGGTTTTTCCACGGTACATACCCTCCTTTTCTAGCAGAGGGTCGACATGATGCCCTGAAAAAGGCCGGGTATTTGGAGTAGTGGGAACAAGCTAAAAAGGCTTTTGGAGCCGCATGGCCGCGAAAGGAATCACACGGCCCAGTCCCATGGCCCGTCAGCGTGTCGCTCGCTGGCCTCAGCCTGGGTCTTCTTCTCCACGCGCTCGCGCTCCGCCCAGCCTTGCGCTACGGGATCCATCCGAGTCATGATCAAAACCCCGGAGTCGTAAAGCCCTGGTTGACTCAGAGGGGGGTTGTTGTCCCCTACTAAAATGGGGAGTCAGACCACTTTTGGAGGGAACATCCCCCCAATGGGACGGGTCAACATTAATCCTGGGTCAACATTAATCAAAACCTGGTAGGTCGATGCCCAGACCCTGCAAAGAATTGCCAAGGCGAATATCTGCAGCAAATTATGGTTGGTATCCGCTACTAGCTTCATCTAATTACCCGGGTTTGATTGTGTCATGTGAATAGTGGACGTGGGAAAATCCCCCGAAAGGTTGTCAGATCCCTCTGGTGCTTTTTTTTGGGGGAAAAGCGGGAATTAAGTCTGGAAGATTGATCTGCAAGCCCCTAGTTTTGTGGCTGAACCGTGAGCCCGTGACCCAACCACGTTGAGCATACACTACCGCAAGCTTTGACCGAAGATCAGAAACACATTGGATGGCTGGACAGGAATGATGTGATGCGTTCAAAATGGGGTGAATCAATTGGAACCCCTTTTGACATCCACCAAGACTCACACAGCTTGAACATCAAAAAAACATCGAGGCGCGATTCCCCGGCTCACCCATTGTCTGAGAGTTCCAAAGTTGAGGCTGAGGCGTCGCTTTCATCCCATCCCAAGGTCCCAGTTCCAAGGCCCGAAGAGATCCCTCGACCCCGGACCCCTGGACCAAAAAAGATCGCGCCAAGCTGCGGCCCCACCAGTGGTCATCTCCGGAGCCCCCCTGGCGATCGATCTCGGGAGCCATCGCCCCGAAAGCCGAGGGGTCGGATCCGGAGGCTCAGAGTACCTCATCCATTTGCTGAAGTCCCCTGGGAAAACAATATGTCCAATAGTGATAGATCCCCTTTAACAGGGGAAAATAAAACATAGTCTTAACCAAATTGAAGTCATGGGAAAACACCAAATTTGAGGCTTTTTCTGCACTGGTTTGCTGCTTTGCGTGTGCTTTGCATGTGTCTTTTTTGTAATCAGACCCTGGCTCATTCAACGGGGTGAGTATCCCAACTGGGCATCTTTCACTTCTGGTTCTTGGTCCATATGGAAGGGAAGCCCAAACACAGGGCACTGAAGGTTTGTTTTCCGACCAACCCTGCAGGTTGGGTTAAGTAGAGGGGTGCCTACGGTACGTTGCTTGCGGTACCATCCAAACGTCACCAGTTTGGAAAAGCCTATAGGATCACAATCAGCTGTTAAGACTGCTCGATTTCAATATGGACACGTTGCCGATCTGTGTATAGCTTTGATGGAACCCTCGGCACTGCTCTTAAGCTCGATCTCCCATGCTGTTCTCCCATGATCCTTTCCAGCATTTTTCCAACTTCCGTGAAATTTGCCCCATTTTGTGCAAAACATGATAAATGATATCTGAAAATACTTACGAGGCTACAGCTACAATGGTAAACAACCTCGAACATTCTGATTGGCCTAACATGCGTACTTACCAGTTGTGCCGGACGAAGAAGAAATCTGACAACAAACAGGCATCTGGCTTTCTTTTTCCGAACATCATGAAATAGGGGAAGGCAAAAATCAGGGTTCCACTGTGTAACTGCCCCAAAATAGACTTAAACCTAGAGGCGCTCCTTTCGGGGGGAATAAACCACCCCTATGTTCAATTCTACTTGGGGTAGTCAAAAAGTGGAACCCTGGGCAAATACTAATCGAATGGGTTTGTTTGTTGTACCTGAAAACCAGCTTCCGTCAGAATAAGATAATAATCTGTGTGACTTTCACATTGAAACCCCCGCCTCGGAGGTGTCATCCTCCGCCCTCGCGGAGTCCTTATCTGTCTTGTCCTCGTCCTCGTGCTCCTCATGCTCCTCATGCTCCTCATGCTCCTCATGCTCCTCATGCTCCTCGTGCTCCTCCTCGTCCTGAGGGCTCGGACGTGTGTTGAGTCTACTGTGTGTGTGTGTGTCCAGCTGATGATTGACCTAACTGTGTGTTTTAGTATTGTTATGTATGTATCTGCTTGATCATCAAAAACCAGCTCACTTTGGTCGAATATGGATGCTCATGGGTATGTGAAAATAGCGCCTCCCCAAACAATAAGCATAAGCAATTGCCCATGTCCAGTTGGTTTTCCTTTGAGTCACTCAAAAAAGGTAGTCACGCTCAACAAAGACAACATGCCCATGTGGACGTGTACATGCAGCCTTGTTCATGGAGCCTTTAACATGACCAGGGAAAACCAAATCATCACTGTTCAGAGCAGGAGCCTACTAGAGTAGCCTGGACCGCGGAAAACTTCTGATGGGTCTTGATGAGTCGCCGTGCGAGATATACCCTCACAAACCCAATGAAATGATACTGGCAAACTTGTGAAGTGACGATCGGAATCGCGCAACCCTGCTAAATAGGCAGAATCGTTTGGGGGACCTCATACAGCTCCTTTTGTCCCGAATCGGGATTCTCAAGCACCAACCTGGACATGTCCTGTCAAATGCGTGACTCGCACCATCCCCAAAACAAGCATTCAAAATTCGACCTGAAAAAGCAGGACGACGAGCTTTTTTCATCATTTTTTCCACAATCAGTCTATCCCTGACGTCTTTCGATCATGCCGAGTGGGAAAGCTATGGCCACCCAACACGACGCATCCCTGACCCTGACCTCAGACTCGGTAGATGGCATGGAGTAGGCCTCCACTGCATCTCCTGCCGCGATTGTCCTATAAAGATCCAAGTCAAGAGTGTGGGATGTGGGGCTGTGTCAGAACAAGTTGGACTCCTTGACTTCAGGTGTTCAAGAAAAGCAAACGGAAATCAACCTTTGGAGGATTCTTCAGTTTTGACTCTTGCTCACGAAGCTGCATTGTGATACAGACCTACTGAGCGAATTGCTTCGTTTTGCTGTGTATGAGCCGATACCTCTCATTTTGCTCACATAAACATCCCTGGACATTTGGTTGTTTTAAACGAGAGAATGCCACGGTGGGAAACCACTGCCATTTGGCATCAGGAGTAAGGATTGAGTTTGAACAACCCAGGGAAGCAAAAAAACAGGCCAGAATCAGACACCTGCTTGTCGCGGGGCTTCCTGACCAACATACTGAGGAAACCGCAGCAAAAGTTGAATGTTTCCCCGTGATCAAACCCTCTATATATAGTTGTACATCACCGAGGTGCAAAACCTCGCAAGAACCTCGCGAAACTCGAACACCCGCGAAACCTCACCACAAAAGGGAGCGCTAATCTTATGGTGGATTGGAGGTAAATATTGATCAGCTAACTCCAAGAATGGCTACTTTGCCTTTGGTTTCCTTGAGCAATCTCAAAATGTGTGTTCCCTTTAAAAGACAACACACTCATTCTTTCAGTTGGCTCTTAGTGTGGCAGTCCATCGGCAAACGGCACCGGAGCCTCCAGAGGTAGCTTCAGTCGTTTCCATCGAGGTGCCGGCAGACTCCGCCTACGCACCCGTCGGACATCAAACGCTGAGACGTGCGGACGCAGAAAGGGACATGGTTGTGGGTCAAACAAAGGTACCCAAAATGGAACCCTGGTAAATGGAAACATGGACTAAAATCTGCGGTCCCCTAGTTTTAATTTTGACCCATAATCAAATACATTTCTTGGGTTGTAAGACTAGACATGTCATCATGAGGCCAAGAGTATGAGTACCAGTAGAGCCATCGAAGCTGGTTGGCGGAAGTGTTTTACAAATATATGGGTCATAGTGATCTGTCTCTACTCTTCTATTTCTTGTCATCTGTATATTTTAATTATCTTCCTCTTTCTCTTTATGTTTCTCGTTATCTCTCTCGCTCTCTCTCGCTCTCTTTTCCTAGTTATTATTATATTTCTCTCTCTCTCTCACTCTCTTTCCCGTTCTCTTCTCTTTGTCTTTCTCTATCTCTCGCAATCTGTTTACCGTTCCCCTTCTCTTTCTCTTTATCCTTATTTATTCTTTATATTTATCTTGATCTTGCTCTTCCTCTTTCTCTTTCTCCTTCTCCTTCTCTTTCTCCTTCTCTTCCTCTTTTGCTTTCTCTTCTTTGTTTCTCTTTCTCCTCTTATTTTCATTTGTCTTGTTCCTTCTCTTTCGTCTTGCTCACCAGAGCGAGCTTTATGCTCATTGTCTAAAACTCCGCTTTCAAAGCCTCGATGGCCGGCTCTATTCACTCTACGTTGCTGGCATGTTTACTGAGTTACAGGTGTTCTGCCTTAAGCCCGGCAATCTGAATGCTCAATTTAGCAACGTAGGGCCCCACCCTTATCTAATTAGATTCCTACACTGCCAAAGGGCGACAACCAGGTCCTCTATGGTAAACTCCGAAACCCAAAACACCGCCCAAAGCCTGCGGAGCGTCGAGGTTGCCCAGCACGTCAAACAGCTCCGCGAAAGTATCATCACAGGAATAGCAGTCCTGTCCCCATTTGCTTGCTCAAAGGCTGTGCTCCAATCCCTAATTCAGTTGCCCAAAAGGACCCAGAAAAAAAAGGATTGACTTTCGGACTTTTGGACGCCATGAATATAAATGGATCAAAACGGGAACTAAAGCGTCCAAAGGTCGGCCTTGTAGTATTTCGGCCACAGAGCAACAAGGAAATGGATTTCGTGCATCCACAGTGTCATAGCCCATCCGGTGTAAGGGGAGAGCACCGGCGTCCTTTGGCTGGGGATGGTGTCCAGTGCAGGGAAATGAGCTCCGGATAGCGGAGAAGGTGTAATGCTGTGGATGGACGAAATCCATGTCACACAAAGAAGAAACCACGGTTGAAACCTTTTGTTAGTTGGTATTTAAAGGGGAATCGAATCATTCCAGGGTTTTCTTAGGTGGTACGAAATGGATTTTGTCGATCCACGGTATGAATATGGTGTCCGTTGGTTTCCTCGCCGCTAGTTTGTTCAAACACATAAACAACCCACCCGACTGTGGAGTTCTGTTCATGTCTGCAGATTGCTCCGGAGGACCGTACTTTCCCTTTTAGTAAGGACATGCGGCGATTTTGGGGCATTCCGCTGACACGTTGGGTCCTCCAAAGAACTCATAAAACCACTGCTGTTCAAGCATCAACTCGTTTAGCTGGCCGGCGAAGTTGGCAAGTGGTTGGTAACCTAGGTGAACCCACTTATATACAAACAAACTATGTGATAAGTCAACCTTCCGGTTGCTAGCTTGCGCTCTTGCAATATTGGGGCTCTCCAAATCCCAAGTATTAAGCGAGTTGCATCTCAGTACTACTCACTTGACCAAAGGATCCAGAAATAAAAGGTTAACCTTGTGGGGCCACTAAAACTGGTCCTTGAAGGGCGATTCGCTTTGGGCAACTGAGAAGAACTGGCCGTGGCTCCAAGAAATGGCACCCAAACTAGCACCTTGGCAAACAAAGACTGAACTATGCGTAACCCTACAGTGGATGGATGAAATCCTGCACCACCTAAGAAACCCTGGAATGATGATTCCGCTGTAAATGCCAACAAGCAATGGTTTCCATTGGTTTCCAAGTGGTGCGAAATGGATTTCGTCCATCCACAGTAGGTCTTTCATTTTGCGTCACGCCCAACTACTCGCCACATAAGAGGGCAACCAGCAACCGGTCGCCCTCCTGGTCCGAAGAGTTGCCCGGCTCCGCCTCTTGCAGCGAGCTGTTAACGATTTCCATGGCCGGCAGCTGCTCCTAGCGCCATGGAAATGCGGGGTGACCGCCACAAATCCTGCCAAGACCTGGCGAAAGGAACATGCGGAAAAACGAAAAAGCTTCCTTCGAATTCGGCTTCCCTTTGCCAACCCAAGGAACAACACACTTCATTGTCTTTCAGATGTCTAGACAAACTTTCTTAGCTTAGCTTTTGGGTCTGGTTCAAACCTTTGGCTGAAGGCTGGTGACCTGAGACCCCAAAGAAGCTGCGGTTCTCGGAAGGACACCCGGGTGAGAGCGCTGGAACACGCATGGACCCAGGACTGTCCAGGGCAAGAAGCGACTCCTGGCTTTGGTCGTCGAATCAAACACCGCCAAGTTGTCATTCATAGTTTTTCAGGCGCGAAATGTCCACTTCGCACCGGTTGCTAGACGGTTTGTCCCATTCGTCCATCCCAGGAGTTTGTCCATCAGTATGATCCTGCAACTCGAGGAACCTAGCTCGCAAGTGGGTGAATTGAAGAAATGGCCGTGGCTCAAAAAACTGGTACCAAAATGGCCACCTTGGTAAATGGAACCGAAGCCTAAAACCTGCGTAACCCTAGCTCTTGAATTTTGAGCCACGCCCAAATGGAACCTCTCCACAATGCGTCTAGCTGATGATTGGGATGCAATCCGTGGCTCAAGCTACGAAGGTCAGCCCACGCGCAAGGTGGCCGAAAGAACCCCCGGTACCCTCAACGAAACACCCAAGACTCTTTCCGTTCCCGTTCCCAACCAGCCCCAAAAGCGTACCAACTCAAAACCGCCAAAAAGGGCACCAAGTCTGAAAGCCCTGCCCGGCCCCTCCCCACCAGAGTCTCTGCTGTCTGTACCCACTCATTCAAAGACTTGATACCAGCACCCGCCGAGGGTTGTCCATTGGTACCCAACATGGGTCACACATTTTGGAACATCAGGTACAAATGGACCACCCTTGGAGGGTGCTGATAAGTCCCCTTGCGGCCCAGCTCCTCCGTCACATTCACCGGCTCCGCAATGTCCTCTGCGTCCTGCAGCTCAGCGTCCGCCTGCGTGCTCCGAGGCTCGCTGGGCGGGCGGTTTGGGCCCAGTTTCCCATGCAGTTGTCACTATGTGCCGGCGTCCTTTTGAGGGTACCCCTTTTTGGGTTGGTTTTAAAGGGAAACCAAAAGGACAGCTACTACCACTTCTTTTTGTGTTTGTTTTTCTGTAGGGCCCACCCCAGGGGCGGAGCATATGTTTGTTCGCAAGGGACCTCCAGAACAAGCCACCAGGTTGTGTGCAGAGGGATATGGCGGAAGTTGACGCTCAGTTTGTGTCTGCGGCATGCTTTAGAGCATATTCGTGTAGGCTAGTTGGATGAAAGGGAAACCACTATTTTTGACACGTGCGGATCAACCTCTTAAAAATAACCGAGTTCCTTGCAGACAGAGTACCCGCAACTCTTTTGGCGCCACAACAATCCTTTAGGAATCCTTTGTCCCAACAAGCTCGCGCTCGAGCACCCGCTTCTCGCATCGATTCGATCCAGCCTGAGACTCAGATTGGTTCTGCCTCGGGCGCCGGGAGTGGCTCTCTGAGGAATACTTTTTGCACTGGAGCCAAATACTCAGGGATTCGTGGGAAGGGGAGGAGGAGGGGGGGGGTCCAAATCGAGCCCTGTGCCCCTGCTCCCGCGGTTCCTTCGGCTCAAATGGCGGGCAGCGGCTCTTGTTCAAAACCCCAAGAAGGCTCCGCTTCGAAGCTGCCCCTATCCAATGTTTTGAGCGACCTCCTTTGGGTGATTTGGAAGCGCGATTTGACAAACATGGGGACTGGCTATCATGGAGTTGCGAAGGGTTTCCCTTTGGAAAAACACATTCAGAAAGGCAGGTGAAGGCCCAGAAAGCGCCCAAGTGGAGCTAAGCTGGGAACCTGTGGGAACCTTTCCTTGGGGCTGGAACAAAAGCCGCCATGAGGCCAAGCATAACTGGGTGGTCTGCGCCCCCCTGCAAATAAACAAATGTGTTTTGCAGCTATGCGTTTTGCAGTTGAACGATTGGTAAAGGTCAAACCCAAAGCACCCTTTTTTCAGGTGCACATGCCCAACAAAACCGGAGAGCACCACATTCCCCACGACTTTCTTTGGTACGTCATCTTCCGTCTACTAACCGCTCAGGTCGTTGGGTTTCACGCGAGCCGCTAGGCACCTGGCGGTGGCTTCACCTCCGGCTGCGTCTCCTCGAGGATGTTCACATCCGCCGGCGACGCAGCCTTGCCCGTCGGTCCCCAGTGCCGGGGGAAAAAAGAGAAGAACTGAGACAGCTGTAGAACTGGAAAAAGGATTGCTCATGAGCTCCAGGGAACATGCATGTGTATATATATCCGCCGACCCCTTCTCCTGAAAGGGGGAGGCGCACGGGAAGGGTGGTTACAGCACAAGTCCAAGGTGGGTTGGTAAATGAGCATATCCGAAGATTCAACATTATCAGCGTAAGCAATACCGTCATCGTAGCATCCTTTGCACCTCAAAGATGTGTCTTTCTACACCTTTCAAGTGTGGGGTTAGAAAGCATTGGTGATGCAGAGGATGCTACGATGATAGTTATTTTCCGAGCTACTATTATCGTTGTCATCCTTATCTTTCTCCTATCTGATCAGATCTGTGTCATATACGTTTCAAGCGTGCTGTTAGACCCGGTTGGAGATGCAGAGGATGCGTAGTGATGACGATGATGATGACGATGATGACGACGATGATGATGACGATGATGATGATGATGACGATAATGACCACCATCATGGTGATGATGACATGGTCATCATCATCACATTATAATCGTTGTGACCTGATTGGAGATGCAGAGGATGCGTAGTCATCATTATCATCATGACTGTTGGTGATGCAGAGGATGCACGATGATGGTTATCATCGATGATGATGACCGTGATGATGACGATGATGAGCGACGGCTCTTTATGTTTTTCATATACGATTCAAAAGTCCCGTTAGACCCGATTGGAGATGCAGAGGGTGCGTAGTCATCATTATCATGATGACTGTTGGTGATGCAGAGGATGCACGATGATGGTTATCATCGGTGATGATAACGGTGATGATGAGATTGGAGATGCAGAGGGTGCGTAGTCATCATTATCATCATGACTGTTGGTGATGCAGAGGATGCACGCGTAGTCATCATTATCATCATGACTGTTGGTGATGCAGAGGATGCACGATGATGGTTATCATCGATGATGATGACCGTGATGATGACGATGATGAGCGACGGCTATGATGAGGATCCTTTATCTTTATATACGATTCAAAAGTCCCGTTAGACCCGATTGGAGATGCAGAGGGTGCGTAGTCATCATTATCATGATGACTGTTGGTGATGCAGAGGATGCACGATGATGGTTATCATCGATGAGGATGCACGTTGACGGTTACATCGATGATGATAACGGTGATGATGAGATTGGAGATGCAGAGGGTGCGTAGTCCCGTTAGACCCGATTGGAGATGCAGAGGGTGCGTAGTCATCATTATCATCATGACTGTTGGTGATGAAGAGGATGCACGATGATGGTTATCATCGATGATGATGACCGTGATGATGACGATGATGAGCGACGGCTATGATGAGGATCCTTATCTTTATCTTTTTCATATACGATTCAAAAGTCCCGTTAGACCCGATTGGAGATGCAGAGGGTGCGTAGTCATCATTATCATGATGACTGTTGGTGATGCAGAGGATGCACGATGATGGTTATCATCGATGAGGATGCACGATGATGGTTATCATCGATGATGAGAACGGTGATGATGAGATTGGAGACGCAGAGGGTGCGTAGTCATCATTATCATCATGACTGTTGGTGATGCAGAGGATGCACGCGTAGTCATCATTATCATGACTGTTGGTGATGCAGAGGATGCACGATGATGGTTATCATCGATGATGATGACCGTGATGATGACGATGATGAGCGACGGCTATGATGAGGATCCTTATCTTTATGTTTTTATATACGATTCAAAAGTCCCGTTAGACCCGATTGGAGATGCAGAGGGTGCGTAGTCATCATTATCATGATGACTGTTGGTGATGCAGAGGATGCACGATGATGGTTATCTCGGTGATGATAAACGGTTGATGATGAGATTGGAGAAGATGCAGAGGAGTGCGTAGTCGATCATTATCATCCATGAC